GGTCCCTCATTCTCACATCGTTTTGTCATTTCCATCTTGGATAGCTTAGTACTTGTATTGACTGTAAGACCTGCGACTGAAATGTGCATGAAGTGTCTCTGACTTGGTGTATCTGTTTTTCTCCTTTTCAATCCCTCTCATGTTTTGCAGCAAGAGCGATCGCCACAACAAGCTACAGCCAGTGGTAACCAGCTATGACCGTTATGGTTCGAATCAAGATGCCGGGTCTGGAATCATTCCCGTGAATCAAGATGTGAACATCTTTGTCTCGGAGATGGATGGCCCAGTGAGTGCCACGCCCGAATCGGCTGCTGCTGCGAGGAGCTTGGAGTACACACTGCAGAGGGGGCGGCAGATGTACCTGCTGTGCATTGAGGGTGGCCTCAGTGTGACCTCCAAGCAGAGTGACAGTAAGGAGTCACTCGATGCCCGTGATGCCCTGCAGGTATGCGCTTCACCACTTCCTTCATACCCGCTTTTATATATTCAGAAAATGCGTTATAATTGCCCGTGGCCGTTTTGCAGGTTGCTGCGCCCAGCAAAAGTGACATGTCTCTCGAGTTTCAGCCTCGTGATGCTTCTGGAGCTCATATTTTATTCCTGGAGATGGCAAGAACAGTTTGAGTTTATATCATGGATGCGATGCTGTATTTTCTATAGCAGTGTCAGGGGGCTACAATCCACCCCCAAAGCTTGCAGGAAGGATCGTACACACTTGAACAAGCAGGAGGCAGAACAAGCTCAGGCGCAAAGTAGCTAGCTTTGCACTGCGGCTGAGACATACGGTACGGGGTAGCAGTTTAGTGCGATCTAGGGAAACATGGTGATAACAGGTGTGTTGGCAGTGCAGAGCAGAGGAGTCATTGGCCTGGCAGAACGCCACCCTTGCTCGACGAAATGAGCAACAGCCAGAGGGCAGGGGCAGAGGAACGGTGGACAGGGACTAGAGTGGGCGACACTTGCCTGCCCTTGTCACTGAATTCTATCCGACCAGTCTGAGAGCGAGAGCATGTTGTGTTCACTCTCTCCACTCTTAACTCCCGCTGTTGCTTGCATCTCATAGCACTGACTTGATATACAGAGGCAGCATCTCTCGTGTGCCATAGGGGGTTCCTTGTTGCGTCGTCTATTGCTCACATCACATCTGTAAGGGGGCCAGCTCTGATGATGCTGTCGAGATAGATTGTGTGGGTGCTCATTACGAGAAGCGTAAGTGGAATCAAGTGGCTCTGAGAAGGTCAGACTGCAGGAGGTCGGCATACAAGAGCTCGTTCCAGGTGTCAGGCACGCCAGGCAGGCACCAGTGCACGCAGTCACGCGTCATCCCCCCCACTCGCACTCCCCCTGCACCACCACCGCCCCGCCCCACCACCGACCCGTTCACTGCCTCGTGTGGCAGCAGCGGTTTCTCTGACGTGAACGGGTGGGGCAGAGGGAGGGCATTTGGGAGTGGGTGGAAGGCCACGACGTGGGTGTCGGGGCGCATGAGGGAGAGCGGGAAGGCGTCTAGCAGGCGCAGCCACGGGATGCTGGGCTGCCCCGACACGGAAGTAGGCACGGCCGAGGCAGAGGGTGGTGCGGCAGGCATGGTGGCCGCACCGGCTTCTGTACCAGCGGTGGCAGCAGCTGTAGTGGCAGCAACAGCACCGCTGGCAGCTGCTACAGCTTCCTCTGCTGCGGCATCACGGCAGTCGGCAGCATGTGGGCACGCTGTTGCAGGTGAGAGGGGCTCCTGGCGGGAATGGGTCCGGGGGGAGTAGAGAGAGGGGAACAAGGAAGAAGAAATGTTCAGATATGTATGGGGTGGTGGGGAGCAGCATGTGCAGCAGAGCGCTACTGTTTGCTGCAACAGCTTGTGCTCATGCATGTGCACGCAGCGTGCATATGGCCGTACCAGGTGTGTGCACTCACCGCATGCATGCATGTGGCAGCTGCCACCGGATTGAAAGGTGCCGCCAGTGAAATGGCTGGGCAAGGCAGGGCGCAGGAAGATGAGCGGCGCAGCGGCACGGGGTGAGTGTGCAACTGAGAGCGCGAGGGAGCGCATGACTGCCAGCAGTGCCTGCCCGCGCAGGTCGGCCAGGAATGGCGTTGACTCCAGTTGACTCTCAGACGGCACGAACGGCCGGGCTGTGGGGGAGGTCTGCACGGCCCGCTGGTTGGCCCTGAAGCTGAACGGGAGAGAATGAGGTGGAGGATGGCGAGATAAGGGGCAAAGGAACGGGAAGGACCGACAGGGGGGGGGGATGTAAGGCAGTGCAAATGAGGGGCCGGGAGGACGAGGGGGGCGGAGGTAATGAGGAGTGGGTGGCGGGAGTGAGGGGCGTGTGATGAAACACAACCCGAAGACCCTGCCTTCCTGCCTGCGTGTATGCCTCGCCTCATGTGTATGCCTCGCCTCATGTGTATGCCTCGCCTCATGTGTATGCCTCGCCTCATGTTCCCTCCCCGTGCGCGCAACTGTGGGCAGTCCAGTGGTTGGCGGTGCTGAGCACGACCACATCCAGGCGCCACAGGTGCTGCAGCAGCCACTCGTCCGCCTCATACACCTGAACCACCCGCCGATACTGCCGCCTCCTCCCCGCCCCCACTTGCCGCCGCCCCTGCCCGCCCTCCTCTACACTCTCCCCTCACTCCCCCCTTCCTTCTTCTCATCCTCCCCCTCCTCCTCCTCCTCCTCTCCCTCTTCCTCCACAGGCACGACAGCGGGCAGCACCTCCTCGCGGCACAGCAGGTTGGACGTGCGCTGCAGCAGCGTGGTGTTGCTGCCGGGCAGCCACACAGCCGCGCCCCTGGCAGTGCCGCGCACAGGCGCGCCCCACGTGAGGTTGAAGCGCCACCCCACGTCCACCACCGCCACGCCCTGCCCGCCCTCCCTGCCCTCGCTGGCTGCGTTGACTGGGTGGGTGTGGTTGGGCGGCAGCACTCGGGGGCAGGGGGCGCATCCTGGCACACGCATGGCATGGGGTTGGAAAGGGGGGGAAAAGGGGGAAAGAGGGGAGGACGGGAGGAGGGGAGGAGGGGAGGATGGGAGGAGGGGGTGAGATGTTGCATGGCGTGGCAAGTGAGAGAGTGCATGTATGGCACCAACAGCTGCCAGTGAAGGGGCACGGGCGTTTTGGATTGAGGTGGTGGCACAGGGAGCGAGCGGCGAGAGCCGAGGTGCCATGGCTTTGCCCAGCGCCTGGTGCGCTGCAGTGGGCGCCACATGGGGTGCGGGTGAGGGAGGGGAAAGGGCCGTGCGTGCCTTGGGAGGAAGTCGGAGGCGTTGAAGGCAGGCACGTCGCACCCATGGGGCTGCCACCCATACTCCTCAAACGCTAAGTCCCGCCTCATGCCCTCGCCCTCGCCCTCCCTCTCTTTCCCACCCTCCTCCTTGCCCTTATCTCCCGCCTATCTGCCTCTTCGCCCGGTCTGCTCTCCCTGCTGCGGCGTCCCTTCATGCGCCCCTGCATTACTCGTCTGCACCGAACCTCCCCCCACACCTCTCTCTTTCTCCTCCTGCTGCCCTTCCTCTTGTAACCGTCGCCTTTGCAGCATCTTTTCTTCGGATTCTGCATTTCCGCGCTGCTTCCCCCGGCCATCTCCCACTGGCCGTTGCATGCGGCGGCAGTTGAATTTCTCCCACAGGCACTGCGATATCCAGAAGCCCTCCCCGCCGTGGTAATAACGAGAAACAGGTGTTCTCGCGCCCCTCACCCATCGACCCTGGTACAAGTGACAGTAACGGGAAGAGCCAGACCGCTGGCTTGAATGAGTATCACGGGGTGGGCTCCCCGATTCTTGTTGCTGTGACTCAGTCTCCGCTTCGAATGAAGATTCACGTGATTTTAACGGGGATTTGTCTTCTAGCGAGAGTGTTTCAGAGAGGGCATCGGGGGAGTCTCCCACCGGAAAGTTCTCTCCGACCAGAAGGTCGTTTTGGCTGCTGCTGTCGTCGGCGATCAGCAGCAACAGAAACCCTCGATTGCCGAGGATACCTGTTCGCGAAGGCATTTCGCACAATCGCTGGTGAAATCCGCATATGTTCTCGCGGAAGGGAGTCCTGGCGCTGGGCCAGCGAGCCTCGTGGTAGTAGGCACGCGTCGTGTCGGACGCCGAAGCGAGAGCGTCAGTCGCTCTCCTGCTGCTGCTGCCAGCAATGCGCGAGTGGCGGCGGGCTTTTGGTCAAGTCATTGCAGAAGGCATGGTGGACGTGGAACGAGATGGCGATGCGCGCGAGCTAAGGAGCATCGGTGCGTATGTGGAGTGAAGGTATCATTGCTAGGTGGTTGAATGCCATCCTCTCTATGGCATGATTGTTTGGAAGCAATGGCGGCTTGCAACGGAGAGCACAACCGGATTGTGATTGCGATACTACCTGTGAGCGAGGCTGATCCATGTCGGCCCATCAAATGCATTCGTTCGAATAAATGTTTGTGTGTGTTACGAGTGCAATTGAGTGAACGAACTAGAATTGCACTATCGAAGCAAGAGTACAATGAGTGAAGGCATGAGCGAAGAATATATAGCGAAACTACAGTGGTAACGGTAATGGACTGTGGTTGTCGCGTGAGGGGCCTGTGACTGAGGTTGGGAAAAGTGTCGAAGCGGAGGCCCGGAGCGCGGGTTACCCGCCGAGCCGTGAGGTCGGGGTGCGACGTGCGAAGGTGGCGGGCGGATTGTCGATGCGAGGATTGCGAGTGGTAACGGTACTGACTATGGTGCTACAGTGATGTACGCGTTGAGCAGGGACGCGAAGTAAGGAAAAAGAGGTTGTCCTTACAGTGTGAAACCACTGTACATACAAACATTCAAAAGGTACACTCCGCACAATCAGCTGCATACACCCATTTTTTTCGACAGCTGCTCTCTCTCACCCCTTTTCCCATCCACGCTCCTCACATCTCCCCACATCTCACCGTTTTCGCCAGCTCCGTTCCCTCGAACCTCCTCGATCTGCTTCTCCTCTGCTCCCTCCTAGCATCCCTCCTGTTCCTCTGCGCGCGTCGGGCGTCGCGATGGCTCTGTTTGACTACGAGCGCGTGGCGCGGGCCGTAAAGGAGTGGCCGACGTGGGTGCTGCGGAAGGCCAAGGTCGCGGCGCAGTACGGCTTCGTGCCGCTCGTCATCACCGTCGGTATGCTCTACACCGAGCCGCAGCCGCACCTCCTGCAGCTCATCGGCCCTTAGACCCTCTTCTTATTCAAATCGAGCCGTTTATCGTGTGGGAAACAGTAGATTTCATCCTCGACTTGGCAACCGAGCCCGATACGCGTATCTCCTTGAAGGCGATGCAGAGCGTCGTCGGCGTCGTCGCACGGCTTCAGGGATGCGACCAAGCTACTTTCGCCAACCCCGCAGCGGACTGAGCGGATCTCCGCGGCGCGTCTGCGTTCCCTTCAGTATCCAGCTCCCCGCACGGCGTATGCCGTTGGTTGTGTTTCCTAAGTAGATACGGTAGGTCATAAGTGCCTGCTTCTTGTGTGCAGTGATGCATTGGACTTAGGCGTTGCTGTTTGCCTGATTAGATGATACAGCGTCAGTTCTCCCTTTTCGTCTCCTCCCTCTCGCCTTGGGGTATATGTCCTTACGAGGTCTTATCTTACGGTAGTTACTATTCCCTATACATCGTGCTGTCATTGGTCGATGATGGTGCAAGGGGCATTGTGATCCAGTGCTGGAGGCAATAACGATATAATTTGTGATTCTCAGATGCTATTTTTATGACAATTTACACTTTCTGCACGATGGTATGAACTTGATCTGTTTGGTACACCACCTTGAGTGTAACAAGATCCACGCCGTCCGCGATCCTCGTGCCCAGGTAGGAGCTTTCGATTCGCCAATATTCCAAATCTTCCTTACGGGGAACACCACTACAACATTCACGCTCACTCGCCACTCTCCGCTCTGCTCATCTCTACGATCTTGTCTGCTCTCGTCGCCGCGAGCCCAAGTGCTCACCGTCGCCCACCGCCATTGCATCGCACGAATTTTAGGTGATCGCGGCAAGACGACTCGAGAGCTCGCTTCCATCATCACAGCGGCTGCCGCTCTTGTCGGTACTGGTGTGGGCCTGCTTTTATCGCGTACTCTGCTGAAGCCTAAAATAGGAAAATTGACTGTGAAGCACGTATTCCTGGCGAAATTCAAGGCGGATTGGACGGCAGAGCAGATTCAGGAGCTGATCGACGGATATCAAGCTCTCACGAAGAAGATTCCGGCCATGAAAGGATTCGAGTGGTGAGCTGCATTATGCCTCATGACCCTTTCCTCTCCCCGCGGTTTTCCATTTCCTCTTCCTTAAAGAAACCTGTCAACGTCATTCCGTTGGCTTGGCCCGTGCTGATCCACAGGTGCATTTTCACGAGCTCCCCTGTGGAATCCCCAAGGCACCATGGGGCCAGACTGGCTATGGGGCCAGACTGGCTATGGGGCCTCATCCTCCCCTCTGCCCCTCCCTCTCTTCCTCACAACCCCGTTCTGTGCCAACGAACACTCCCCTGCCGCCCTCCCTGCCGCCCCCACTGCTACTGCCCCCCCTGCTTCAGGGGCGCGGACGTGAGTGTGGAGGGGCTGCACAAGGGGTACACGCACGTGTTCATCACCACCTTTGACGACGCCAAGGGGCGTGATGCGTACGTGGAGGATCCGGCGCACAAGGAGTACGCGGGGGTGCTCTTCCAGGGGCTGGAGGACGGCATCGTGCTCGACTATGTGCCCTCTGTCGCCCTCTCCCGCTTCTACTCCTGACCTGTCACCCACCTGCTGGCGGCGGATACCTCAGCTGAGAAACGGTATCCCTTTGATGATTTCAGTGGCTCGAATAGGTATGCATTGTTGACAAGTATGTCATCCATGTAGGCGCATGTAACCATCTCATTCACTTGTCCAACACATAATGAGGGCACGAGGGGAAGTGCCCGTAGCTAGGGTACAACGAAGCCCATTGAGCAACAGATACCGTAACAGCATCTTGAAATGGGTGCATGCTCCTTATCTACTGAGTCTGTTACAGTGGTTCATAGGGCTCGTCCCCAGGAGGCACGGGCTGGGGCGCATCCCTGAGCTGCAGCCGCTCCCCCATCTCCTCCTGCAACAGCCACGAGTACGCCGCCCACCCGCCCGCCACCAGCCGCCCCGCATTGACAGAAAGTTCCTGGAAGGGCGAGTGCATGAGGTGCAGCTCCCTCAGGACCGCTGCCTTGAGGGGCGCCACCTGTGCTAGCCTGTCTGACGTGGCGTCCTTGCGCTTGCTGTGACTCCCGCACCCCGTGACTGTATCGATGGCCTCCGGTATCTCGTTGTGCCACTGGGACGTGGGCAGGCAGACAGGCAGACGGGGGGCAGGGGGCAGGGAGGAAGAGCAAGGAGATGTAGAAAAGAGAGTGGAGGGAATGGGACGGATGGATGGGGGATTGGTGAGGATTGGAAAAGGAGAAACTGGAGAGACTTGATGCGACTCCATGATGGGCGAGCACGAGGAGAGGAGTTACGCATACAGTGCACAGGCAGCTGGGCATCAGGACACACGGGCATGGCCAATTCTCTTCCCACTCTACACTCTCCCTTTATAGCCGCTCCCTACCCCCTTGTGAGCAGCGCACCTGCCAGGCGGTGCGCAGGTTGCGCAGCCAGAGGAAGAGGAAGGCGCAGCGGAGCCAATGGAGTGCTCGTGCAGGTCCACATTCCAGATGCCCTCCTCCCTCCACATGCCGCCGCCCCTGCCGCCCCCACTACCTCTCTGCTTGCCACTCCCAGTACCACTGCCACTCTCACTCTCACTGCCACTGCAGCTCTCCCTGTGCCCCACGCCACCCCTGCGTGCACCGCGCGCCTCCTTGTGCAGGTCGTCCGCACCGCCATACACGCCCAGCCCGCGGCCCAACGCCACCACGCGGGCAGCGCGGCGCCGCATGCCAAAGCTCCAGAGCACGTGGGCCAGCGCGTTGTAGAAGGAGCGTCGCATGGCCAATGGCAGCGCCTGGAACGCACCAAACATCCGCCCTGCTGACTCCCACAGCCCCTCGTCCCCCCTCTCGCCCCTCCTGCCCGCCCCTCCCCGCGCCCCTCTTCTCACCAGCCCCTCCACCACCTCCTCCTCACTCGCACACTCCTCTCCTTCCTCCTCTGGGCCTGCCATCACGAGCCGACACATGGCGACCTCCCATTCGCCGCCAGTCCTCTGCAGGCGGTACAGCAGCTCCAGCGAGTCCTCCCACTTCTCACACCGCGCACAAGCAGACAAAATCGCTGCGTACGTGATCAGATTCGGGCGGCAGCCCTCGGCCTGCTTGCGCTCAAACGCCCCTGCTGCCTTGCCATAAAGCCCCGCCTTCCCAAACGCGTCAATCAAGCAGCTCCAGCTGTACACCGGCGGGTGGTAACCGCACGTAACCATGGCGACGAGCGTGGCGTCAGCCTCCTCGTAGTTACCCGCCTTGCCATGGGCGTCCAGCATGGTGAGGAACGTCACCTCGTTGGGCAGCACGCCCGCGTGCTGCATGGCAGCCAGCGTCTCGGTGACGCGGTCCGACAGGCCAGCGCGGCCAAAGGAGAACACGTCAGGGGGGATGCCTGCCTGCAGCATACGCTGAAATGCCTCCTTGGCGCGCTCCACATCGCCTGTGCGGCCGTACGCGTCCACGAGTGCGGTGAACGCGGTGCCGTCCGCTGCCATGGCGGTGCGCTCCATTGCCTGCAGCGTGGCCTCGGCGTCGGGGGCGTGGCCCGCCTTGCCACATGCGTTGATGATGGTGTTGCACGTCACTATGTTGGGCTCCACCTGCTCGTCCAACAGGTCGTCCAACACCTGGTGGGCGAGTGGGGTGGGGTATGGAGGATGGGGGGTAGTGAAGTTGGGAGATGTGGCTGATGCTGAGGAGTCACATGTGGTGTGGTAGAAGCAAAATGTATGAGATGGGTGTATGCACAATGTGCACCAGCTCACCGTGTTGCACCAGCAAACCGTATTGACACCAGAATACTGTATTGACACCAGCAACCTGTGGTCGCATAGCATAGCACACCCACCTGCAAAGCGGCATTGAGCTGGCCTTCCCGGCACAAGGGGTCGATGAGCGTGTTGTACGTCACTATGTTGGGCCTGGGGGAAACATGTGTGGGTGGAGAGGCGGATGAGATGGGTAGAGGGAAGGTCAAACAAATGAGAAGCCATGAGCAACCCCATACCCGCCCATGAGCGTGTTGTACATCTTTTTGTGTGGATGCGCGCATAAAAGGGCGAGAGAGAAGGTGAGAGAAGGAACCAATCCTCTGAGCAGTAATTTCCTTCGTCTGCACTCTTCACTTTCTGCACGTCCTGTATTTGTCTAGCCGTCGGCCTAGGCGTGAGCGCCTCTTCCCTTGATAGTAACGTGCTGGCAGGACATAAGAGCAGTAACTGGCTGCACCTCCTTTGCATGTGCGGGCATACATGTCCACAATGCTTGCTCTGCATGTCGGCCCACCCGCTGTCGGCCCAGCACGGCACAGCTGACCGTCAGTTGAGTGGCAGGCGGCCCGCCCCAGAGCGCATGTCCATGAACACCTCCGCTGCCTTGTCGTACATGTCCCCCTTGCACAGCGCACCAATCAGCGCGTTGCACGTCACTGTGTTAGGCCTGGGTGGGATGACAGGAGGGGTGGCAAGGGGTCGCGATGATTTACAGTGAGACGTGCAGGCGGGTTTGGGGCGATGTGAAGCGGCAAGGAACAGCGTGATGCCCATCCCATCACAGCTGGCACACTGTGACGCTCTCACCGCCAGTAATCCCCTTTCCCTCACCTGCAGTCATTGTCATCGCACGTCTTCATGTGGTGGAAGACAGCAAGCGCGTCCTCAAACCACCCGGCGCGGCTGTACGCGTTGATGAGTGCGGTGTAGGTGAAGTGGTTAGAGCGCGCGCACGACAGCAGCATGTCCTGGAAGAGCAGCGTGGCGGCGTGCGCCTGGTGCTCCCTCGCCAGGAAGCCCATGAGCGCGTTGTACAGCCGCATGTTGGGTCGAAACCACGCCTGCTGCTGGCTCCATGCGAACACCTGGCGCAGGGGAGAGGAGGAGGAGGGCGAGGAGGAGGGGGAGAATAGGGAGGAGGGGGATTGACGAGGGCAGACTGGGTGGAGTAAGACGCTCATAAGGGCGTTTTAGAGACACAACTTCGGGAGGGGAGGGGACGGGAGAAGGGGGAGGGTTGCTGAGGTTGTGCCCTGACCATCGCTTCTTTAGAGCGGCAAGATTGAACAAGGGGATGGCCCAAAAGCGCGCGACACCTCGAGGGTGGCCTTCCAGTCGTGGTGTCGTTGCAGCTGCGTCATGACCTCCTCCACCTCGCGCTTCTCCAGCTCCCCCGCCACCTCCGCCACCACCTCCTTCAGCGACCCCCCCTTGTCAAACTATGTTTTGCATAGTTTATATTACTGTTTGTAGTTAGTGTTAGTGTAGTTATATATTTGCTTATCTGGTGGTGCACCTTGGCTAGTTTGCTATATGTACCTTGTGTGCTATAGTGAAACCAACCATTCTCACATTCGCTTGGCACAAACTCTCTCGACATACGTTGGCCTAGGCTACTAAGCCTAGGCCCTAAACCCTTACATTAGTACCTTGACATGGTATCAGAGCGACTCGCCTGTCCCTCTGTATAGTCACAATCGCTTGTAAAATACGGTCGCTGATGGGGCTTTAGTTTGCCATCCTGTCTGCTCTGTGCCGGGGGGCTCTGGGCGCGGCCTTGTTCACCCACATTGTCGACTGTAGGGGGCGAGGGGTAGGGGGGGTGGAGGAGGAGGAGGAGGAGGAGGAGGAGGAGGAGGAGGAGGAGGAGGAGGAGGAGGAGGAAGAGGAGGTCAAGGAAGAGGAGGAGGAGGAGGAGGAGGAGGAGGAAGAGGAGGTCAAGGAAGAGGAGGAAGGGGATGACGGTATTGCTGATAGCGGTCGTGCTGGTTTGGCTGCTTGAAATGATTGGGTTGGTGGTGGTGTGGCTGGTGTTGGTGCTGGAGACGCTGCTGAGGACATCGCTGCGCGGATCCTTCCGCGTTTTGGGGCTGGAAGCACTCGTTCCGAGTGGTTTTCTTCCGCCGGGACACGTGTCTGCGCTTGTCTGGGCCTATTACCAAGACAGCAAGGGCTTGGGACGGTTGCGAGCATCATCAGTCATCGACGCTCGCGAATGAAGAGCGTCCGCTGCACTTCCTGCACATGTGCGGATCCTTCCGCGTTTTGGGGGTGGAAGCGGTCGTTTCGAGCGTTTTTCTTCCACCGGGTCACGTAACAGCGATTGTCTGGCCCTATTACCAAGCCAGCAAGAGTGTGGGAGGGTTGCGAGCATCATCGGTCATCCGCGCTCGCGAATGAAGAGCGCGCGCTGCCCGCTGCTCTTCCTGCACATGTGCGGATCCTTCCTCGTTTCGGGGCTGGAAGTGCTCGCTTCGAGCGATTTTCTTCCGCCGGGTCACGTAACTACGCTTGTCTGGGCCTATTACCAAGCCAGCAAGGGCGTGGGAGGGTTGCGAGCAACATCGCTCATCGGCACTCGCGAATGAAGAGCGCCCGCTGCACTTCCTGCACATGTGCGGATCCTTCCGTGTTTCGGGGCTGGAAGCGCTCGTTTCGAGCAATTTTATTCCACCGTGTCATGTAACTGCGCTTGTCTGGGCCTATTACCAAGCCAGCAAGGGCGTGGGAGGGTTGCGAGCATCATCGATCATCGGCGCTCGCGAATAAAGAGCGCCCGCTGCACTTCCTGCACATGTGCGGATCCTTATGCGGTTTGGGGCTGGAAGCGCTCGTTTCGAGCGTTTTTCTTCCCCTGGGTCACGTAACTGCGCTTGTCTGGGCCTATTACCGAGCCAGCAAGGGTGTGGGAGGGTTGCGAGCATCATCGGTCATCGGCGCTCGCGAATGAAGAGCGCCCGCTGCATTTCCTGCACATGTGCGGATCCTTCCGCGTTGTGGGGCTGGAAGCGGTCGTTTTGAGCGATTTTCTTCCGTCGTGTTACGTAACTGCGCTTATCTGGGCCTATTACTAAGCCACCAAGGGCGTGGGAGGGTTGCGAGCATCATCGGTCATCGGCGCTTGTGAATGAAGAGCGCCCGCTGCACTTCCTGCACATGTGCGGATCCTTCCGCGTTTTGGGGCTGGAAGCGCTCGTTCCGAGCGATTTTATTCCGCCGTGTCACGTAACTGCGCTTGTCTGGGCCTATTACCAAGCCAGCAAGGGCGTGGGAGGGTTGCGAGCATCATCGGTCATCGGAGCTCGCGAATAAAGAGCGCCCGCTGCACTTCCTGCACATTTCCAGATCCTTCTGCGTTTTGGGGCTGGAAGCGCTCGTTTCGAGCGTTTTTCTTCCCCCGGGTCACGTAACTGTGCTTCTCTGGGCCTATTACCGAGCCAGCAAGGGTGTGGGAGGGTGTGGGACGTTTTTTCATGCGGCGGGCCCGTTTGAAGGCAAAAAGAGCTGGAATCTCGTCCCAAGGTCTCTAGGATTGTGGCAAACACGATTGTGCTGGGCGGTCCAGGATCTGAGTAACATTGCTTCACATTTTATACCGGTACGGATTTCGCAGCTTCCCGGGCTCACAAACGCCCTTATATGGGGACGTTTTTTCATGTGGCGGGCCCGTTTGAAGGCAAAAAGAGCTGGAATCTCGTCCCAATGTATCTAGGATTGTGGCAAACATGATCGTGCTGGGCGGTCCAGGATCCGAGTAACATTGCTTCACATTTTATACTGGTACGGATTTCGCAGCTTCCCGGGCTCACAAACGCCCTTATACGGGGACGGTTTTTCATGCGGCGGGCCCGTTTGAAGGCAAAAAGAGCTGGAATCTCGTCCCAAGGTATCTAGGATTGTGGCAAACACGATCGTGCTGGGCGGTCCAGGATCCGAGTAACATTGCTTCACATTTTATACCGGTACGGACTTCGCAGCTTCCCGGGCTCAGAAACGCCCTTATATGGGGACGATTTTTCATGCGGCGGGCCGGTTTGAAGGCAAAAAGAGCTGGAATCTTGTCCCAAGGTATCTAGGATTGTGGCAAACACGATCGTGCTGGGCGGTCCAGGATCCGAGTAACATTGCTTCACATTTTATACCGGTACGGATTTCGCAGCTTCCCGGGCTCACAAACGCCCTTATATGGGGACGTTTTTTCATGCGGCGGGCCCGTTTGAAGGCAAAAAGAGCTGGAATCTCGTCCCAAGGTATCTAGGATTGTGGCAAACACGATTGTGCTGGGCGGTCCAGGATCTGAGTAACATTGCTTCACATTTTATACCGGTACGGATTTCGCAGCTTCCCGGGCTCACAAACGCCCTTATATGGGGACGTTTTTTCATGTGGCGGGCCCGTTTGAAGGCAAAAAGAGCTGGAATCTCGTCCCAAGGTATCTAGGATTGTGGCAAACACGATCGTGCTGGGCGGTCCAGGATCCGAGTAACATTGCTTCACATTTTATACCGGTACGGATTTCGCAGCTTCCCGGGCTCACAAACGCCCTTATATGGGGACGTTTTTTCATGCGGCGGGCCCGTTTGAAGGCAAAAAGAGCTGGAATCTCGTCCCAAGGTATCTAGGATTGTGGCAAACACGATCGTGCTGGGCGGTCCAAGATCCGAGTAACATTGCTTCACATTTTATACCTGTACGGATTTCGCAGCTTCCCGGGCTCACAAACGCCCTTATATGGGGACGTTTTTTCATGCGGCGGGCCCGTTTGAAGGCAAAAAGAGCTAGAATCTCGTCCCAAGGTATCTAGGATTGTGGCAAACACGATCGTGCTGGGCGGTCCAGGATCCGAGTAACATTGCTTCACATTTTATACCGGTACGGATTTCGCAGCTTCCCGGGCTCACAAGCGCCCTTATATGGGGACGTTTTTTCATGCGGCGGGCCCGTTTGAAGGCAAAAAGAGCTGGAATCACGTTCCAAGGTATCTAGGATTGTGGCAAACACGATCGTGCTGGGCGGTCCAGGATCCGAGTAACATTGCTTCACATTTTATACCGGTATGGACTTCGCAGCTTCCCGGGCTCAGAAACGCCCTTATATGGGGACGATTTTTCATGCGGCGGGCCCGTTTGAAGGCAAAAAGAGCTGGAATCTCGTCCCAAGGTATCTAGGAATGTAGGGGCGCCTATCTCTATGTGCGCCTATCTCTATGGGCGCCTCTCTTTAGGGGCGCCAATCTCTGGAGGTGCCTATCCATTTGGGCGCCTATCTCTATGGGCACCTATCTCTAGGGGCGCCTATCTCTAGGGGCGCCTATCTCTATGGGCGCCGATCTCTATGGGCGCCTATCTCTAGGGGCGCCTATCTCTATGGGCGTCTATCTCAAGGGGCGCCTATCTCTAGGGGCGCCTATCTCTACGGGCGCCTATCTCAATGGGCGCCTCTCTTTAGGGGCGCCAATCTCTAGAGGTGCCTATCTCTATGGTCGCCCATCTCTAGGGGCGCCTACCTCTAGGGGCACCTATCTCTAGGGGCGCCTATCTTTAGGGGCGCCTATCTCTAGTTGCGCCTATCTCTAGGGGTGCCTTTCTCTAGGGGCGGCTATCTCTAGGGGCACCTATTTCTAGGGCCGCCTATCTCCAGGGGCGCCTATCTCTAGGGGCGCCTATCTCTAGGGGTGCCTATCTCTAGGGGCGGCTATCTCTAGGGGCGCCTATCTCTATGGGCCCCTATCTCTTTGGGCGCCTATCTCTAGGGGCGCCTATCTATAGGGGCGCATATGTCTATGGGCGCCTATCTCTAGGGGCGCCTATCTCTATGGGCGCCTATCTCTATGGGCGCCTCTCTCTATGGGCGCCTATCTCTATGGGCGCCTCTCTCTATGGGCGCCTCTCTCTATGGGCGCCTATCTCTAGGGGCGCCTATCTCTATGGGCGCCTACCTCTATGGGCGCCTATCTCTTTGGGCGCCTATCTCTATGGGCGCCTATCTCTAGGGGCGCCTATCTCTAGGGGTGCCTATCTCTAGGGGCGGCTATCTCTAGGGGCGCCTATCTCTATGTGCGCCTATCTCTATGGGCGCCTCTCTTTAGGGGCGCTAATCTCTAGAGGCGCTTATCTTTTTGGGCGCCTATCTTTATAGGCGCCTATCTCTAGGGGCGCCTATCTCTAGGGGCGCCTATCTCCAGGGGCGCCAATCTCTAGGGGCGCCTATCTCTAGGGGTGCCCATCGCTATGGGCGGCTATCTCTAGGGGCGCCTATCTCTATGGGCGGCTATCTCTAGGGGCGCCTATCTCTATGGGCCCCTATCTCTAGGGGCGCCTATCTCTAGGGGCGCCTATCTCTATGGGCATTTATCTCTAAGAGCGCCTATCTCTGGGGGCGCCTATCTCTATGGGCGCCTATCTCTATGGGCGCGTCTCTTTAGCTGCGCAAATCTCTAGATGCGCCTATCTCTATGGGCGCCCATCTCTAGGGGCGCCTACCTCTAGGGGCACCTATCTCTAGAGGCGCCTATCTCCAGGGGCGCATATCTCTAGGGGCGCCTATCTCTAGGGGTGCCTATCTCTAGGGGCGGCTATCTCTAGGGGCGCCTATCTCTATGGGCGCCTATCTCTAGGGGCGCCTATCTCTATGGGCGCCTATCTCTTTGGGCGCCTATCTCTATGGGCGCCTATCTCTAGGGGCGCCTATCTCTAGGGGCGCCTATCTCTATGGGCGCCTATCTCTATGGGCGCATATCTCTATGGGTGCCTATCTCTATGGGCACCTATCTCTATGGGCGCCTATCTCTATGGGCGTCTATCTCTATGGGCACCTATCTCTAGGGGCGCCTATCTCTAGTGGCGCCTATCTCTAGGGGCGCCTATCTCTATGGGCGCCTATCTCAAGGGGCGCCTATCTCTAGGGGCGCCTATCTCTAGGGGCGCCTATCTCTATGGGCGCCTATTTCTAGGGGCGCCTATCTCTATGAGCGCCTATCTCTATGGGCGCCTATCTCTATGGGCGCCTATCTCTTTGGGCGCCTATCTCTATGGGCGTCTATCTCTAGGGGCGCCTATCTCTAGGGGCGCCTATCTCTATGGGCTCCTATCTCTATGGGCGCCTATCTCTTGGGGCGCCTATCTCTATGGGCGCCTATCTCCAGCGGCGCCTATCTCTATGGGTCCTCTCTTTAGGGGCGCCAATTTCTAGAGGCGCCTATCTCTATGGGCGCCCATCTCTTGGGGCGCCTACCTCTAGGGGCACCTATCTCTAGTGGCGCCTATCTCCAGTGGCGCCTATCTCTAGGGGCGCCTATCTCTAGGGATGCCTATCTCTAGGGGCGGCTATCTCTATGGGTGCCTATCTCTATGGGCGCCTATCTCTAGGGGCGCCTATCTCTATGGGCGCCTATCTCTTTGGGCGCCTATCTCTATGGGCGCCTATCTCTAGGGGCGCCTATCTCTAGGGGCGCCTATCTCTATGGGCGCCTATCTCTATGGGCGCATATCTCTATGGGCGCCTATCTCTACGGGCGCATATCTGTATGGGCGCCTATCTCTAGGGGCGCCTATCTCTAGTGGCGCCTATCTCTATGGGCGCCTATCTCTAGAGGCGCCTATCTCTATGGGCGCCTATCTCTATGGGCGCCTATCTCAATGGGCGCCTATCTCTATGGGTGCCTATCTGTTTGGGCGCCTATCTCTATGGGCGCCAATCTCTAGGGGCGCCTATCTCTAGGGGCGCCTATCTCTATGGGCGCCTATCTCTATGGGCGCCTATCTCTAGGGGCGCCTATCTCTATGGGCGCCTATCTTTAGCGGCGCCTATCTCTAGGGGCGCCTATCTCTAGTGGCGCCTATCTCTATGGGCACCTATCTCTAGGGGCGCCTATCTCTATGGACGCCTATCTCTATGGGCGCCTATCTTTATGGGTGCCTATCTCTTTGGGCGCCTATCTCTATGGGCGCCTATCTCTAGGGGCGCCTATCTCTATGGGCGCCTATCTCTATGGGCGCCTATCTCTATGGGCGCCTATCTCTAGGGGCGCCTATCTCTATGGGCGCCTATCTTTAGCAGCGCCTATCTCTATAGGCGCCTATCTCTAGGGGCGCCTATCTCTATGGGCGCCTATCTCTATGGGCGCCTATCTCTATGGGCGCCTATCTCTATGGGCGCCTATCTCTATGGGCGCCTATCTCTATGGGCGCCTATCCCTATAGGTGCCTATCTCTTTGGGCGCCTATCTCTATGGGCGCCTATCTCTATGGGCGCCTATCCCTATGGGTGCCTATCTCTTTGGGCGCCTATCTCTATGGGCGCCTATCTCTAGGGGCGCCTATCTCTATGGGCGCCTATCTCTATGGGCGCCTATCTCTATGGGCTCCTATCTCTATGGGTGCCTATCTCTTTGGGCGCCTATCTCTATGGGCGCCTATCTCTAGGGGCGCCTATCTCTAGGGGCGCCTATCTCTATGGGCGCCTATCTCTATGGGCGCCTATCTCTAGGGGCGCCTATCTCTATGGGCGCCTATCTTTAGCGGCGCCTATCTCTAGGGGCGCCTATCTATAGTGGCGCCTATCTCTATGGGCACCTATCTCTAGGGGCGCCTATCTCTATGGGCGCCTATCTCTATGGGCGCCTATCTCTATGGGTGCCTATCTCTTTGGGCGCCTATCTCTATGGGCGCCTATCTCTAGGGGCGCCTATCTCTAGGGGCGCCTATCTCTATGGACGCCTATCTCCATGGGCGCCTATCTCTAGGAGCGCCTATCTCTATGGGCGCCTATCTTTAGCGGCGCCTGTCTCTATAGGCGCCTATCTCTAGGGGCGCTTATCTCTATGTGCGCCTATCTCTATGGGCGCCTCTCTTTAGGGGCGCCAATCTCTAGAGGCGCCTATCTCTTTGGGCGCCAATCTCTATGGGCGCCTATCTCTATGTGCGCCTATCTCTAGGGGCGCCTATCTCTAAAGGCGCCTATCTCTATGGGCGCCTATCTCTAGGGGCGCCTATCTCTATGGGCGTCTATCTCTAGGGGCGCCTATCTCTAGGGGCACATATCTCTATAGGCGCCTATCTCTATGGGCGCCTCTCTTTAGGGGCGCCAATCTCTAGAGGCACCTATCTCTATGGGCGCCCATCTCTAGGGGCGCCTACCTCTAGTGGCGCCTATCTCCAAGGGAGCCTATCTCTAGGGGCGCCTATCTCTAGTGGCGCCTATCTCCAAGGGAGCCTATCTCTAGGGGCGCCTATCTCTAGGGGTGCCTATCTCTAGGGGCGGCTATCTCTAGGGGCGCCTATCTCTATGGGTGCTTATCTCTAGGGGCGCCTATCTCTTTGGGCGCCTATCTCTATGGGCGCCTATCTCTACGAGCGCCTATCTCTATGGGCGCCTATCTCTAGGGGCGCCTATCTCTAGTGGCGCCTATCTCTATGGGCGCCTATCTCTAGGGGCGCCTATCTCTATTGGCGCACATCTCTATGGGCGCCTATCTCTATGGGCGCCTATCTCTATGGGTGCCTGTCTCTTTGGGCGCCTATCTCTATGGGCGCCTATCTCTAGGGGTGCCTATCTCTAGGGGCGCCTATCTCTATGGGCGCCTATCTCTATGGGCGCCTATCTCTATAGGCGCCTATCTCTATGGGCGCCTATCTCTATGGGTGCCTATCTCTTTGGGCGCCTATCTCTATGGGCGCCTATCTCTAGGGGCGCCTATCTCTAGGGGCGCCTATCTCTATGGACGCCTATCTCCATGGGCGCCTATCTCTAGGAGCGCCTATCTCTATGGGCGCCTATCTTTAGCGGCGCCTGTCTCTATAGGCGCCTATCTCTAGGGGCGCTTATCTCTATGTGCGCCTATCTCTATGGGCGCCTCTCTTTAGGGGCGCCAATCTCTAGAGGCGCCTATCTCTTTGGGCCCCAATCTCTATGGGCGCCTATCTCTATGTGCGCCTATCTCTAGGGGCGCCTATCTCTAAAGGCGCCTATCTCTATGGGCGCCTATCTCTAGGGGCGCCTATCTCTATGGGCGTCTATCTCTAGGGGCGCCTATCTCTAGGGGCACATATCTCTATAGGCGCCTATCTCTATGGGCGCCTCTCTTTAGGGGCGCCAATCTCTAGAGGCACCTATCTCTATGGGCGCCCATCTCTAGGGGCGCCTACCTCTAGTGGCGCCTATCTCCAAGGGAGCCTATCTCTAGGGGCGCCTATCTCTAGTGGCGCCTATCTCCAAGGGAGCCTATCTCTAGGGGCGCCTATCTCTAGGGGTGCCTATCTCTAGGGGCGGCTATCTCTAGGGGCGCCTATCTCTATGGGTGCTTATCTCTAGGGGCGCCTATCTCTTTGGGCGCCTATCTCTATGGGCGCCTATCTCTACGAGCGCCTATCTCTATGGGCGCCTATCTCTAGGGGCGCCTATCTCTAGTGGCGCCTATCTCTATGGGCGCCTATCTCTAGGGGCGCCTATCTCTATTGGCGCACATCTCTATGGGCGCCTATCTCTATGGGCGCCTATCTCTATGGGTGCCTGTCTCTTTGGGCGCCTATCTCTATGGGCGCCTATCTCTAGGGGTGCCTATCTCTAGGGGCGCCTATCTCTATGGGCGCCTATCTCTATGGGCGCCTATCTCTAGGGGCGCCTATCTCTAGGGGCGCCTATCTCTATGGGCGCCTATCTCTAGGGGTGCCAATCTCTAGGGGCGCCTATCTCTAGGGGTGCCTATCGCTAGGGGCGGCTATCTCTAGGGGCGGCTATCTCTAGAGCGCCTATCTCTATGGGCACCTATCTCTTTGGGCGCCTATCTCTATGGGCGCCTATCTCTAGGGGCGCCTATCTCTAGGGGCGCCTATCTCTATGGGCGCCTATCTCTAGGGGTTCCAATCTCTAGGGGCGCCTATCTCTAGGGGTGCCTATCGCTAGGGGCGGCTATCTCTAGGGGCGGCTATCTCTAGAGCGCCTATCTCTATGGGCACCTATCTCTTTGGGCGCCTATCTCTATGGGCGCCTATCTCTAAGGGCGCCTATCTCTAGGGGCGCCTATCTCTATGGGCGTCTATCTCTAGGGGCGCCTATCTCTAGGGGCGCCTATCTCTATGGGCGCCTATCTCTATGGGCGCCTATCTCTAGGGGCGCCTATCTCTATGGGCGCCTATCTTCAGCGGCGCCTATCTCTATGGGTCCTCTCTTTAGGGGCGCCAATTTCTAGAGGCGCCTATCTCTATGGGCGCCCATCTCTAGGGGCGCCTACCTCTAGGGGCACCTATCTCTAGTGGCGCCTATCTCCAGGGGCGCCTATCTCTAGGGGCGCCTATCTCTAGGGATGCCTATCTCTAGGGGCGGCTATCTCTAGGGGTGCCTATCTCTATGGGCGCCTATCTCTAGGGGCGCCTATCTCTATGGGCGCCTATCTCTTTGGGCGCCTATCTCTATGGGCGCCTTTCTCTAGGGGCGCCTATCTCTAGGGGCGCCTATCTCTATGGGCGCCTATCTCTATGGGCGCATATCTCTATGGGCGCCTATCTCTACGGGCGCCTATCTCTATGGGCGCCTATCTCTAGGGGCGCCTATCTCTAGTGGCGCCTATCTCTATGGGCGCCTATCTCTAGAGGCGCCTATCTCTATGGGCGCCTATCTCTATGGGCGCCTATCTCTATGGGCGCCTATCTCTATGGGTGCCTATCTCTTTGGGCGCCTATCTCTATGGGCGCCTATCTCTAGGGGCGCCTATCTCTAGGGGCGCCTATCTCTATGGGCGCCTATCTCTATGGGCGCCTATCTCTAAAGGCGCCTATCTCTATGGGCGCCTATCTTTAGCGGCGCCTATCTCTAGGGGCGCCTATCTCTAGTGGCGCCTATCTCTATGGGCACCTATCTCTAGGGGCGCCTATCTCTATGGGCGCCTATCTTTAGCGGCGCCTATCTCTATAGGTGCCTATCTCTAGGGGCGCCTATCTCTATGGGCGCCTATCTCTATGGGCGCCTATCTCTATGGGCGCCTATCTCTATGGGCGCCTATCTCTATGGGCGCCTATCTCTATGGGCGCCTATCCCTATGGGTGCCTATCTCTTTGGGCGCCTATCTCTATGGGCGCCTATCTCTATGGGCGCCTATCCCTATGGGTGCCTATCTCTGTGGGCGCCTATCTCTATGGGCGCCTATCTCTAGGGGCGCCTATCTCTATGGGCGCCTATCTCTATGGGCGCCTATCTCTATGGGCGCCTATCTCTATGGGTGCCTATCTCTTTGGGCGCCTATCTCTATGGGCGCCTATCTCTAGGGGCGCCTATCTCTAGGGGCGCCTATCTCTATGGGCGCCTATCTCTATGGGCGCCTATCTCTAGGGGCGCCTATCTCTATGGGCGCCTATCTTTAGCGGCGCCTATCTCTAGGGGCGCCTATCTATAGTGGCGCCTATCTCTATGGGCACCTATCTCTAGGGGCGCCTATCTCTATGGGCGCCTATCTCTATGGGCGCCTATCTCTATGGGTGCCTATCTCTTTGGGCGCCTATCTCTATGGGCGCCTATCTCTAGGGGCGCCTATCTCTAGGGGCGCCTATCTCTATGGACGCCTATCTCTATGGGCGCCTATCTCTAGGAGCGCCTATCTCTATGGGCACCTATCTTTAGCGGCGCCTATCTCTATAGGCGCCTATCTCTAGGGGCGCTTATCTCTATGTGCGCCTATCTCTATGGGCGCCTCTCTTTAGGGGCGCCAATCTCTAGAGGCGCCTATCTCTTTGGGCGCCAATCTCTATGGGCGCCTATCTCTATGTGCGCCTATCTCTAGGGGCGCCTATCTCTATAGGCGCCTATCTCTATGGGCGCCTATCTCTAGGGGCGCCTATCTCTATGGGCGTCTATCTCTAGGGGCGCCTATCTCTAGGGGCACATATCTCTATAGGCGCCTATCTCTATGGGCGCCTCTCTTTAGGGGCGCCAATCTCTAGAGGCACCTATCTCTATGGGCGCCCATCTCTAGGGGCGCCTACCTCTAGGGGCACCTATCTCTAGTGGCGCCTATCTCCAAGGGAGCCTATCTCTAGGGGTGCCTATCTCTAGGGGTGCCTATCTCTAGGGGCGGCTAACTCTAGGGGCGCCTATCTCTATGGGCGCCTATCTCTAGGGGCGCCTATCTCTATGGGCGCCTATCTCTTTGGGCGCCTATCTCTATGGGCGCCTATCTCTAGGGGCGCCTATCTCTAGGGGCGCCTATCTCTATGGGCGCCTATCTCTATGGGCGCCTATCTCTAGGGGCGCCTATCTCTACGGGCGCCTATCTCTATGGGCGCCTATCTCTAGGGGCCCCTATCTCTAGTGGCGCCTATCTCTATGGGCCCCTATCTCTAGGGGCGCCTATCTCTATTGGCGCACATCTCTATGGGCGCCTATCTCTATGGGCGCCTATCTCTATGGGTGCCTGTCTCTTTGGGCGCCTATCTCTATGGGCGCCTATCTCTAGGGGTGCCTATCTCTAGGGGCGCCTATCTCTATGGGCGCCTATCTCTATGGGCGCCTATCTCTAGGGGCGCCTATCTCTAGGGGCGCCTATCTCTATGGGCGCCTATCTCTAGGGGTGCCAATCTCTAGGGGCGCCTATCTCTAGGGGTGCCTATCGCTAGGGGCGGCTATCTCTAGGGGCGGCTATCTCTAGAGCGCCTATCTCTATGGGCACCTATCTCTTTGGGCGCCTATCTCTATGGGCGCCTATCTCTAGGGGCGCCTATCTCTAGGGGTGCCTATCTCTATGGGCGCCTATCTCTAGGGGTGCCAATCTCTAGGGGCGCCTATCTCTAGGGGTGCCTATCGCTAGGGGCGGCTATCTCTAGGGGCGGCTATCTCTAGAGCGCCTATCTCTATGGGCACCTATCTCTTTGGGCGCCTATCTCTATGGGCGCCTATCTCTAGGGGCGGCTATCTCTAGGGGCGCCTGTCTCTATGGGCGCCTATCTCTATGGGCGCCTATCTTTAGGGGCGCCTATTTCTATGGGCGCCTATTTCTAGGGGCGCCTATCTCTAGGGGCTCCTATCTATATGGGCGCCTATCTCCATGGGCGCGTCTCTTTAGGGGTACCAATCTCTCTAGGCACCTATCTCTAGGGGCGGGGTGATGGAAAGCGGGAGAATGGAGCGGGGTGGTGGAAAGCGGGAGAATGGGGCGGGGTGATGGAAAGCGGGAGAACGGGACAGGGTGATGGAAAGCGGGAGAATGGGGCGGGGTGATGGAAAGCGGGAGAATGGGGTGGGGTGATGGAAAGAGGGAGAATTGGGCGGGGTGATGGAAAGCGGGAGAATGGAGCGGGGTGATGGAACGAGGGAAAATGGGGCGGGGTGATGGAATGCTGGAGAATGGGGCGGGGTGATGGAAAGAGGGAGAATGGGGCGGGGTGATGGAAAGCGGGAGAATGGGGCGGGGTGATGGAAAGCGGGAGAATGGGGCTGGGTGATGGAAAGCGGGAGAATGGGGCGGGGTGATGGAAAGCGGGAGAATGGGGCGGGGTGATGGAAAGCGGGAGAACGGGGCGGGGTGATGGAAAGCGGGAGAATAGGGCGGGGTGATGGAAAGAGGGAGAATGGGGCTGGGTGATGGAAGGCGGGAGAATGGGGCAGGGTGATGGAAAGGGGGAGAATTGGGCAGGGTGATGGAAAGATGGAGAATGGGGCGGGGTGATGGAAGGCGGGAGAGTGGGGCGGGGTGATGGAAAGAGGGAGAATGGGGCGGGGTGATAGAAAGCAGGAGAATGGGGCGGGGTGATGGAAAAAGGGAGAATGGGGAGGGGTGATGGAAAGAGTGAGAATGGGGTGGGGTGATGGAAAGCGGGAGAATGGGGCAGGGTGTTGGAAAGCGGGAGAATGGAGCGGGCGAGGTGATGGAAAGCGGGAGAATGGAGCGGGGTGATGGAAAGCGGGAGAATGGGGCGGGGTGATGGAAAGAGGGAGAATGGGGCCGGGTGATGGAAAGAGGGAGAATGGGGAGGGGTGATGGAAAGAGGGAGAATTGGGCGGGGTGATGGAAAGCGGGAGAGTGGGGCGGGGTGATGGAAAGCGGGAGAATGGGGCGGGGTGATGGAAAGCGGGAGAATGGGGCGGAATGATGGAAAGCGGGAGAATGGGGTGGGGTGATGGAAAGCGGGAGAATGGGGCGGGGTGATGGAAAGCGGGAGAATGGGGCGGGGTGATGGAAATCGGGAAAATGGGGCGGGGTGATGGAAAGCGAGAGAATGGGGCGGGGTGATGGAAAGAGGGAGAATGGGGCGGGGTGATGGATGGCGGGAGAATGGGGCGGGGTGATGGAAAGGGGGAGAATTGGGCAGGGTGATGGAAAGATGGAGAATGGGGCGGGGTGATGGAAGGCGGGAGAATGGGGCGGGGTGATGGAAAGCGGGAGAAAGGGGCGGGGTGGTGGAAAGCGGGAGAACGGGGCGGGGTGATGGAAAGAGGGAGAATGGGGCGGGGAGATAGAAAGCAGGAGAATGGGGCGGGGTGATGGAAAGAGGGAGAATGGTGAGGGGTGATGGAAAGAGTGAGAATGGGGCGAGGTGATGGAAGGCGGGAGAATGGGGCGGGGTGATGGAAAGCGGTAGAATGGGGCGGGGTGATGGAAATCGGGAGAATGGGGCGGGGTGATGGAAAGCGGGAGAATGGGGCGGGGTGATGGAAATCGGGAGAATGGGGCGGGGTGATGGGAAACGGGAGAATAAGGCGGGGTGATGGAAAGCGAGGGAATGGGGCGGGGTGATGGATAGAGGGAGAATGGGGCGGGGTGATGGAAAGCGGGAGAATGGGGCGGGGTGATGGAAAGAGGGAGAATGGGGCGGGGTGATGGAAAGCGTGAGAATGGGGCGGGGTGATGGAAAGAGGGAGAATGGGGCGGGGTGATGGAAGGCGGGAGAATGGGGCGGGGTGATGGAAAGCGGGAGAATTGGGCGAGGTGATGGAAAGCGGGAGAATGGGGCGGGGTGATGAAAGGCGGGAGAATGGGGCGGGGTGATGGAAAGAGGGAGAATGGGGCGGGGTGATGGAAAGCGGGAGAATGGGGCGGGGTGATGGAAAGAGGGAGAATGGGGAGGGGTGATGGAAAGAGAAGAAGTGGGCGGGGTGATGGAAAGCGGGAGAATGGAGCGGGCGGGGTGATGGAAAGCGGGAGAATGGAGCGGGGTGATGGAAAGCGGGAGAATGGGGCGGGGTGATGGAAAGAGGGAGAATGCGGCGGGGTGATGGAAAGCGGGAGAACGGGACAGGGTGATGGAAAGCGGGAGAATGGGGCGGGGTGATGGAAAGCGGGAGAATGGGGTGGGGTGATGGAAAGAGGGAGAATGGGGCGGTGTGATGGAAAGAGGGAGAATGGGGCGAGGTGATGGAAACAGGGAGAATGGGGCGGGGTGACGGAAAGAGGGAGAGTGGGACGGGGTGATGGAAAGAAGGAGAATGCTGCGGGGAGATGGAAAGAGGGAGAATGGAGAGGGGTGATGGAAAGCGGGAGAATCGGGCGGGGTGATGGAGGCGCCTATCTCTATGGGCGCCCATCTCTAGGGGCGCCTACCTCTAGGGGCACCTATCTCTAGAGGTGCCTATCTCCAGGGGCGCATATATCTAGGGGCGCCTATCTCTAGGGGTGCCTATCTCTAGGGGCGGCTATCTCTAGGGGCGCCTATCTCTATGGGCGCCTCTCTCTAGGGGCGCCTATCTCTATGGGCGCCTATCTCTTTGGGCGCCTATCTCTATGGGCGCCTATCTCTAGGGGCGCCTATCTCTAGGGGCGCCTATCTCTATGGGCGCCTATCTCTTTGGGCGCATATCTCTATGGGTGCCTATCTCTATGGGCGCCTATCTCTATGGGCGGCTATCTCTATGGGCGTCTATCTCTATGGGCACCTATCTCTAAGGGCGCCTATCTCTAGTGGCGCCTATCTCTAGGGGCGCCTATCTCTATGGGCACCTATCTCAAGGGGCGCCTATCTCTAGGGGCGCCTATCTCTAGGGGCGCCTATCTCTAGGGGCGCATATCTCTATGGGCGCCTATCTCTAGGGGCGCCTATCTCTATGAGCGCCTATCTCTATGGGCGCCTATCTCTATGGGCGCCTATGTCATTGGGCGCCTATCTCTATGGGCGTCTATCTCTAGGGGCGCCTATCTCTAGGGGCGCCTTTCTCTATGGGCGCCTATCTCTATGGGCGCCTATCTCTAGGGGCGCCTATCTCTGTGGGCGCCTATCTTTAGCGGCGCCTATCTCTATGGGTCCTCTCTTTAGGGGCGCCAATTTCTAGAGGCGCCTATCTCTATGGGCGCCCATCTCTAGGGGCGCCTACCTCTAGGGGCACCTATCTCTAGTGGCGCCTATCTCCAGGGGCGCCTATCTCTAGGGGCGCCTATCTCTAGGGATGCCTATCTCTAGGGGCGGCTATCTCTAGGGGCGCCTATCTCTATGGGCACCTATCTCTAGGGGCGCCTATCTCTATGGGCGCCTATCTCTTTGGGCGCCTATCTCTATGGGCGCCTATCTCTAGGGGCGCCTATCTCTAGGGGCGCCTGTCTCTATGGGCGCCTATCTCTATGGGCGCATATCTCTATGGGCGCCTATCTCTACGGGCGCCTATCTCTATGTGCGCCTATCTCTAGGGGCGCCTATCTCTAGTGGCGCCTATCACTATGGGCGCCTACCTCTAGAGGCGCCTATCTCTATGGGCGCCTATCTCTATGGGCGCCTATCTCTATGGGCGCCTATCTCTATGGGTGCCTATCTCTTTGGGCGCCTATCTCTATGGGCGCCTATCTCTAGGGGCGCCTATCTCTAGGGGCGCCTATCTCTATGGGCGCCTATCTCTATGGGCGCCTATCTCTAGGGGCGCCTATCTCTATGGGCGCCTATCTTTAGCGGCGCCTATCTCTATGGGCGCCTATCTTTAGCGGCGCCTATCTCTATGGGCGCCTATCTCTAGGGGCGCCTATCTTTAGCGGCGCCTATCTCTATGGGCGCCTATCTCTATGGGCGCCTATCTCTATGGGCGCCTATCTCTAGGGGCGCCTATCTCTATGGGCGCCTATCTCTATGGGCGCCTATCTCTAGGGGCGCCTATCTCTATGGGCGCCTATCTCTATGGGCGCCTATCTCTTTGGGCGCCTATCTCTATGGGCGCCTATCTCTAGGGGCGCCTATCTCTAGTGGCGCCTATCTCTATGGGCACCTATCTCTAGGGGCGCCTATCTCTATGGGCGCCTTTCTCTATGGGCGCCTATCTCTATGGGCGCCTATCTCTATGGGCGCCTATCTTTAGCGGCGCCTATCTCTATGGGCGCCTATCTCTAGGGGCGCCTATCTTTAGCGGCGCCTATCTCTATGGGCGCCTATCTCTATGGGCGCCTATCTCTATGGGCGCCTATCTCTAGGGGCGACTATCTCTATGGGCGCCTATCTCTAGGGGCGCCTATCTCTATGGGCGCCTCTCTCTATCGGCGCCTATCTCTAGGGGCGCCTATCTCTATGGGCGCCTATCTCTATGGGCGCCTATCTCTATGGGCGCCTATCTCTATGGGCGCCTATCTCTAGGGGCGCCTATCTCTAGTGGCGCCTATCTCTAGCGGCGCCTATCTCTATGGGCGCCTATCTCTATGGGTGCCTATCTCTAGTGGCGCCTATCTCTATGGGCGCCTATCTCTAGGGGCGCCTATCTCTATGGGCGCCTATCTCTAGCGGCGCCTATCTCTATGGGCGCCTATCTTTAGCGGCGCCTATCTCTATGGGCGCCTATCTCTAGGGGCGCCTATCTTTAGCGGCGCCTATCTCTATGGGCGCCTATCTCTATGGGCGCCTATCTCTATGGGCGCCTATCTCTAGGGGCGCCTATCTCTATGGGCGCCTATCTCTATGGGCGCCTATCTCTAGGGGCGCCTATCTCTATGGGCGCCTATCTCTATGGGCGCCTATCTCTATGGGCGCCTATCTCTATGGGCGCCTATCTCTAGGGGCGCCTATCTCTAGTGGCGCCTATCTCTATGGGCACCTATCTCTAGGGGCGCCTATCTCTATGGGCGCCTTTCTCTATGGGCGCCTATCTCTATGGGCGCCTATCTCTATGGGCGCCTATCTCTATGGGCGCCTATCTTTAGCGGCGCCTATCTCTATGGGCGCCTATCTCTAGGGGCGCCTATCTTTAGCGGCGCCTATCTCTATGGGCGCCTATCTCTATGGGCGCCTATCTCTATGGGCGCCTATCTCTAGGGGCGCCTATCTCTATGGGCGCCTATCTCTAGGGGCGCCTATCTCTATGGGCGCCTATCTCTATGGGCGCCTATCTCTATGGGCGCCTATCTCTATGGGCGCCTATCTCTAGGGGCGCCTATCTCTAGTGGCGCCTATCTCTATGGGCACCTATCTCTAGGGGCGCCTATCTCTATGGGCGCCTTTCTCTATGGGCGCCTATCTCTATGGGCGCCTATCTCTATGGGTGCCTATCTCTTTGGGCGCCTATCTCTATGGGCGCCTATCTCTAGGGGCGCCTATCTCTATGGGGCGGGGTGATGGAAAGCGGGAGAATGGGGCAGGGTGATGGAAAGAGGGAGAATGGGGCGGGGTGATGGAAAGCAGGAGAATGGGGCGGGGTGATGGAAAGCGGGAGAATGGGGCGGGGTGATGCAAAGCGGGAGAATGGGGCGGGGTGATGGAAAGAGGGAGAATGGGGCGGGGTGATGGAAAGTGGGTGAATGGGGCGGGGTTATGGAAAGAGGGAGAATGGGGCGGGGTGATGGAAAGCGGGAGAATGGTGCGGGGTGAAGGAACGAGGGAGAATGGGGCGTGGTGGTGGAAAGAGGGAGAATGGGGAGGGGTGATGGAAAGCGGGAGAATGGGGCGGGGTGATGGAAAGCGGGAGAATGTGGCGGGGTTATGAAAAAAGGGAGAATGGGGAGGGGTGATGGAAAGCGGTAGAATGGGGCGGGGTGATGGAAAGCGGTAGAATGGGGCGGGGTGATGGAAAGAGGGAGAATGGGGCGGGGTGATGGAAGGCGGGAGAATGGAGCGGGGTGATGGAAAGCGGGAGAATGGGGCGGGGTGATGGAAAGCGGGAGAACGGGGCGGGGTGATGGAAAGCGGGAGAACGGGGCGGGGTGATGGAAAGAGGGAGAATGGGGCGGGGTGATGGAAAGCGGGAGAATGGGGCGGGGTTATGGAAAGAGGGAGAATGGGGCGGGGTGATGGAAAGCGGGAGAATGGGGCGGGGTGATGGAAAGAGGGAGAATGGGGCGGGGTGATGGAAAGAGGGAGAATGGGGCGGGGTGATGGAAAGCGGGAGAATGGGGCGAGGTTATGGAAAGAGGGAGAATGGGGCGGGGTGATGGAAAGCGGGAGAATGGGGCGGGGTGATGGAAAGAGGGAGAATGGGACGGGGTGATGGAAAGAGTGAGAAAGGGGCGAGGTGATGGAAAGCGGTAGAATGGGGCGAGGTGTTGGAAAGCGGGAGAATGAGGCGGGGTGATGGAAAGCGGGAGAATGGGGCGAGGTGATGGAAAGCGGGAGAATGGGGCGAGGTGATGGAAATCGGGAAAATGGGGCGGGGTGATGGAAAGCGGGAGAATAAGGCGGGGTGATGGAAAGAGGGAGAATGGGGCGGGGAGATGGAAAGAGGAAGAATGGGGCGGGGTGATGGAAAGCGGGAGAATGGGGCGGGGTGATGGAAAGAGCGATAATGGGACGGGGTGATGGAAAGCGGGAGAATGGGGCGGGTGATGGAAAGAGGGAGAATGGGTTGGGGTGATGGAAAGCGTGAGAACGGGGCGGGGTGATGGAAATCGGGAGAATGGGGCGGGGTTATGGAAAGAGGGAGAATGGGGCGGGGTGATGGAAAGAGGGAGAATGGGGCGGGGCGATGGACAGAGGGAGAATGGGGCGGGGAGATGGAAAGAGGAAGAATGGGGCGGGGTGATGGAAAGCGGGAGAATGGGGCGGGGTGATGGAAAGAGGGATAATGGGACGGGGTGATGGAAAGCGGTAGAATGGGGCGGGGTGATGGAAAGCGGGAGAATGGGGCAAGGTGATGGAAAGCGGGAGAATGGGGCGGGGTGATCGAAAGAGGGAGAATGGGGCGGGGTGATGGAAAGCGGGAGAATGGGTCAGGGTGATGGAAAGAGGGAGAATGGGGCGGGGTGATGGAAAGAGGGAGAATGGGGCGGGGTGACGGAAATCGGGAGAATGGGGCGGGGTGATGGAAAGAGGGAGAATGGGGCGGGGTGATGGAAAGAGGGAGAATGGGGCGGGGTGATGGAGAGAGGGAGAATGGGGCGGGGAGATGGAAAGAGGAAGAATGGGGAGGGGTGATGGAAAGCGGGAGAATGGGGCGGGGTGATGGAAAGAGGGATAATGGGACGGGGTGATGGAAAGCGGGAGAATGGGGCGGGGTGATGGAAAGCGGGAGAATGGGGCGGGGTGATGGAAAGCGGGAGAATGGGGCGGGGTGATGGAAAGAGGGAGAATGGGGCGGGGTGATGGAAAGCAGGAGAATGGGGCGGGGTGATGGAAATCTTGAGAATGGGGCGGGGTGATGGAAAGCGGGAGAACGGGGCGGGGTGATGGAAAGAGGGAGAATGGGGCGGGGTGATGGAAAGCGGGTGAATGGGGCGGGGTTATGGAAAGAGGGAGAATGGGGCGGGGTGATGGAAAGCGGGAGAATGGGGCGGGGTGAAGGAAAGAGGGAGAATGGGGCGGGGTGGTGGAAAGAGGGAGAATGGGGCGGGGAGATGGAAAGCGGGAGAATGGGGCGGGGTGATGGAAAGCGGGAGAATGTGGCGGGGTTATGGAAAGAGGGAGAATGGGGAGGGGTGATGGAAAGAGGGAGAATTGGGCGGGGTGATGGAAAGCGGGACAATGGAGCGGGATGATGGAAAGCAGTAGAATGGGGCGTGGTGATGGAAAGCGGGAGAATAAGGCGGGGTGATGGAAAAAGAGAGAATGGGGCGGGGTGATGGAAAGTGGGAGAATTGGGCGGTGTGATGGATAGAGGGAGAATGGGGCGGGTTGATGGAAAGCGGGAGAATGGGGCGGGTGATGGAAAGAGGGAGAATGGGCCGGGGTGATGGAAAGCGTGAGAATGGGGCGGGGTGATGGAAATCGGGAGAATGGGGCGGGGTTATGGAAAGAGGGAGAATGGGGCAGGGTGACGGAAATCGAGAGAATGGGGCGGGGTGATGGAAAGAGGGAGAATGGGGCGGGGTGATGGAAAGAGGGAGAATGGGACGGGGAGATGGAAAGAGGAAGAATGGGGCGGGGTGATGGAAAGAGGAAGAATGGGGCGGGGTGATAGAAAGAGGGAGAATGGGGCGGGGTGATGGAAAGCAGGAGAATGGGGCGGGGTGATGGAAAGGGGGAGAATGGGGCGGGGTGATGGAAAGCAGGAGAACGGGGCGGGGTGATGGAAAGAGGGAGAATGGGGCGGGGTGATGGAAAGCGGGAGAATGGGGCGGGGTTATGGAAAGAGGGAGAGTGGGGCGGGGTGATGGAAAGAGGGAGAATGGGGCGGGGTGATGGAAAGAGGGAGAATGGGGCGGGGTGATGGAAAGAGGGAGAATGGGGCGGGGTGATGGAAAGCGGTAGAATGGGGCGGGGTGATGGAAAGCGGGAGAATGTGGCGTGGTTATGGAAAAAGGGAGAATGGGGAGGGGTGATGGAAAGAGGGAGAATTGGGCGGGGTGATGGAAAGCGGGACAATGGAGCGGGATGATGGAAAGCGGTAGAATGGGGCGGGGTGATGGAAAGCGGGAGAATAAGGCGGGGTGATGGAAAGCGAGAGAATGGGGCGGGGTGATGGAAAGTGGGAGAATTGGGCGGGGTGATGGATAGAGGGAGAATGGGGAGGGTTGATGGAAAGCGGGAGAATGGGGCGGGTGATGGAAAGAGGGAGAATGGGCCGGGGTGATGGAAAGCGTGAGAATGGGGCGGGGTGATGGAAATCGGGAGAATGGGGCGGGGTTATGGAAAGAGGGAGAATGGGGCAGGGTGACAAAAATCGGGAGAATGGGGCGGGGTGATGGAAAGAGGGAGAATGGGGCGGGGTGATGGAAAGAGGGAGAATGGGACGGGGAGATGGAAAGAGGAAGAATGGGGCGGGGTGATGGAAAGAGGAAGAATGGGGCGGGGTGACGGAAATCGGGAGAATGGGGCGGGGTAATGGAAAGATGGAGAATGGGGCGGGGTGATAGAAAGAGGGAGAATGGGGCGGGGTGATGGAAAGCAGGAGAATGGGGCAGGGTGATGGAAAGGGGGAGAATGGGGCGGGGTGATGGAAAGCAGGAGACCGGGGCGGGGTGATGGAAAGAGGGAGAATGGGGCGGGGTGATGGAAAGCGGGAGAATGGGGCGGGGTTATGGAAAGAGGGAGAGTGGGGCGGGGTGATGGAAAGAGGGAGAATGGGGCGGGGTGATGGAAAGAGGGAGAATGGGGCGGGGTGATGGAAAGAGGGAGAATGGGGCGGGGTGATGGAAAGCGGTAGAATGGGGCGGGGTGATGGAAAGCGGGAGAATGGGGCGGGGTTATGGAAAAAGGGAGAATGGGGAGGGGTGATGGAAAGAGGGAGAATTGGGCGGGGTGATGGAAAGCGGGACAATGGAGCGGGATGATGGAATGCGGTAGAATGGGGCGGGGTGATGGAAAGCGGGAGAATGGGGCGGGGTGATGGAAAGAGGGAGAATGGGGCGGGGTGATGGAAAGGAGGAGAATGGGGCGGGGTGATGGAAAGCGGAAGAATGGGGCGGGGCGATGGAAAGCAGGAGAACGGGGCAAGGTGATGGAAAGAGGGAGAATGGGGCGGGGTGATAGAAAGCGGGAGAATGGGGCGGGGTTATGGAAAGCGGGAGAATGGGGCGGGGTGATGGAAAGCGGGAGAATGGGGCGGGGTGATGGAAAGAGGGAGAATGGGGCGGGGTGATGGAAAGAGGGAGAATGGGGCGGGGTGATGGAAAGCGGGAGAATGGGGCGGGGTTATGGAAAGAGGGAGAATGGGGTGGGGTGATGGAAAGCGGGAGAATGGGGCGGGGTGATGGAAAGAGGGAGAATGGGGCGGGGTGATGGAAAGAGTGAGAATGGGGCGAGGTGATGGAAAGCGGGAGAATGGGGCGAGGTGTTGGAAAGCGGGAGAATGGGGCGGGGTGATGGAAAGCGGGAGAATGGGGCGAGGTGATGGAAAGCGGGAGAATGGGGCGGGGTGTTGGAAATCGGGAGAATGGGGCGGGGTGATGGAAAGCGGGAGAATAAGGTGGGGTGATGGAAAGCGAGGGAATGGGGCGGGGTGATGGAAAACGGGAGAATGGGACGGGGTGATGGAAAGTGGGAGAATTGGGCGGGGTGATGGATAGAGGGAGAATGGGGCGGGGTGATGGAAAGCGGGAGAATGGGGCGGGTGATGGAATGAGGGAGAATGGGGCGGGGTGATGGAAAGCGTGAGAATGGGGCGGGGTGATGGAAAGAGGGAGAATGGGGCGGGGTGATGGAAGGCGGGAGAATGGGGCGGGGTGATGGAAAGCGGGAGAATGGGGCGGGGTGATGAAAGGCGGGAGAATGGGGCGGGGTGATGGAAAGAGGGAGAACGGGACGGGGTGATGGAAAGCGGGAGAATGGGGTGGGGTGATAGAAAGCGGGAGAATGGGGCGGGGTGATGGAAAGAGGGAGAATGGGGCGGGGTGATGGAAAGCAGGAGAATGGGGCGGGGTAAAGGAAAGGGGAGAATGGGGCGGGGTGATGGAAGGAGGGAGAATGGGGCGGGGTGATGGAAGGAGGGAGAATGGGGCGGGGTGATTGAAAGTGGGAGAATGTGGCGGGTTGATGGAAAGCGGGAGAATGGGGCAGGGTTATGGAAGGAGAGAGAATGGGGCGGGGTGATGGAAAGCGGGAGAATGTTGCGTGGTGATGGAAAGCGGGAGAATGGGGCGGGGTGATGGAAAGCGGGAGAATGGGGCGGGGTGATGGAAGGAGGTAGAATGAGGCGGGGTGATGGAAGGAGAAGAATGGGGCGGGGTGACGGAAAGCGGGAGAATGGGGCGGGGTGATGGAAAGCGGGAGAATGGGGCGGAGTGATGGAAAGCGGGAGAATGGGGCGGGGTGATGGAAAGCGGGAGAATGGGGCGTGGTGATGGAAAGCGGGAGAATGGGGCGGGGTGATGGGAGAATGGGGCGGGGTGATGGAAAGCGGGAGAATGGGGCGGGGTGATGGAAAGCGGGAGAATGGGGCGGTGTGATGGAAAGCGGGTGAATGGGGTGGGCTGATGGAAAGCGGGAGAATGGGGCGGGGTGATGGAAGGAGGGAGAATGGGGCGGGGTGATGGAAAGCGGGAGAATGGGGCAGGGTGATGGAAAGCGGGAGAATGGGGCGGGGTGATGAAAAGCGGGAGAATGGGGCGGGGTGATGGAAAGCGGGTGCATGGGGCGGGGTGATGGAAGGAGGTAGAATGAGGCGGGGTGATGGAAGGAGGGAGAATGGGGCGGGGTGATGGAAAGTGGGAGAATGGGGCGGGGTGATGGAAACCGGAAGAATGGGGCGGGGTGATGGAATGCGGGAGAATGGGGCGGGGTGATGGAAAGCGGGAGAATGGGGCGGGTGATGGAAAGCGGGAGAATGGGGCGGGGTGATGGAAGGAGGGAGAATGGGGATGGGTGATGGAAAGTGGGGGAATAGGGCGGGATGATGGGAAGCGGGAGAATGGTGCGGGGTGATGGAAAGCGGGAGAATGGGGCGGGGAGATGGAAAGCGGGAGAAAGAGGCGGGGTGATGGAAAGCGGGAGAATGGGGCGGGCTGATAGAAAGTGGGAGAATGGGGCGGGGTGATGGAAGGAGGGAGAATGGGGCGGGGTGATGGAAAGCGGGAGAATGGGGCGGAGTGATGGAAAGCGGGAGAATGGGGCGGGGTGATGGAGAGCGGGAGAATGGGGCGTGGTGATGGAAAGCGGGAGAATGGGGCGGGGTGATGGGAGAATGGGGCGGGGTGATGGAAAGCGGGAGAATGGGGCGGGGTGATGGAAAGCGGGAGAATGGGGCGGTGTGATGGAAAGCGGGTGAATGGGGTGGGCTGATGGAAAGCGGGAGAATGGGGCGGGGTGATGGAAGGAGGGAGAATGGGGCGGGGTGATGGAAAGCGGGAGAATGGGGCGGGGTGATGGAAAGCGGGAGAATGGGGCGGGGTGATGAAAAGCGGGAGAATGGGGCGGGGTGATGGAAAGCGGGTGCATGGGGCGGGGTGATGGAAGGAGGTAGAATGAGGCGGGGTGATGGAAGGAGGGAGAATGGGGCGGGGTGATGGAAAGTGGGAGAATGGGGCGGGGTGATGGAACCGGGAGAATGGGGCGGGGTGATGGAATGCGGGAGAATGGGGCGGGGTGATGGAAAGCGGGAGAATGGGGCGGGTGATGGAAAGCGGGAGAATGGGGGTGGGTGATGGAAGGAGGGAGAATGGGGATGGGTGATGGAAAGCGGGGGAATAGGGCGGGATGATGGGAAGCGAGAGAATGGGGCGGGGTGATGGAAAGCGGGAGAATGGGGCGGGGTGATGGAAAGCGGGAGAATGGGGCGGGGAGATGGAAAGCGGGAGAAAGAGGCGGGGTGATGCAAAGCGGGAGAATGGGGCGGGCTGATAGAAAGTGGGAGAATGGGGCGGGGTGATGGAAGGAGGGAGAATGGGGCGGGGTGATGGAAGGAGGGAGAAGGGGGCGGGGTGATGGAAAGCGGTAGAATGGGGTGGGGTGATAAAAAGCGAGAGAATGGGGCGGGGTGATGGAAAGCGGGAGAATGGGGAGGGCTGATGGAAAGCGGGAGAATTGGGCGGGGTGATCAAAGGAGGGAGAATGGGGCGGGGTGATGGAAGGAGGGAGAATGGGGCGGGGTGATGGAAGGAGGGAGAATGGGGCGGGGTGATAGAAAGTGGGAGAATGTGGCGGGGTGATGGAAAGCGGGAGAATGGGGCGGGGTTATGGAAAGCGGGAGAATGGGGCGAGGTGATGGAAGGAGGGAGAATGAGGTGGGGTGATGGAAGGAGGGAGAATGGGGCGGGGTGATGGAAAGCAGGAGAATGGGGCGGGGATATGGGAAGCGGGAGAATGGGGCGGGGTGATGGAAAGTGGGAGAATGGGGCGGGGTGATGGAAAGCGGGAGAATGGGGCGGGGTAATGGAAAGCGGGAGAATGGGGCGGGGTGATGGAAGGAAGGAGAATGGGGCGGGGTGATGGAAAGCGGGAGAATGGGGCGGGGTGATGGAAAGCGGGAGAATGGGGCGGGGTGATGGGAAGCGGGAGAATGGGGCGGGGTGATGGAAAGCGGGAGAATGAGGCGGGGTGATGGAAATCGGGAGAATGGGACGGGGTGATGGAAAGCGGGAGAATGGGGTGGGGTGATGGAAAGCGGGAGAATGGGGCGGGGTGATTGAAAGCGGGAGAATGGGGCGGGGTGATGGAAAGCGGGAGAATGGGGCGGGGTGATGGAAAGCGGGAGAATGGGGTGGGGTGATGGAAAGCGGGTGAATGGGGCGGGGTGATGGAAAGCGGAAGAATGGGGCGGGGTGATGGAAAGCGGGAGAATGGGGCGAGGTGATGGAAAGCGGGAGAATGCGGCGGGGTGATGGAAAGCGGGAGAATGGGGCGGGGTGATGGAAGGAGGGAGAGGTGATGGAAAGCGGGGGAATGGGGCGGGATGATGGTAAGCGGGAGAATGATGCGGGGTGATGGAAAGCGGGAGAATGGGGCGGGGTGATGGAAAGTGGGAGAATGGGGCGGGGTGATGGAAAGCGGGAGAATGGGGCGGGGTGATGGAAAGCGGGAGAATGGGGCGGGGTGATGGAAAGCGGGTGAATGGGGCAGGGTGATGGAAAGCGGGAGACTGGGGCGGGGTGATGGAAAGCGGGAGAATGGGGCGGGGTGATGGAAAGCGGGAGACTGGGGCGGGGTGATGGAAAGCGGGAGAATGGGGCGGGGTGATGGAAAGCGGGAGAATGGGGCGGGGTGACGGAAAGCAGGAGAATGGGCCGGGTTGATGGTAAGCGGGAGAATGGGGCGGGGTGATGGAAAGCTGGAGAATGGGGCGGGGTGAGGGAAAGCGGGAGAATGGGGCAGGTGAAGGAAAGCGGGAGAATGGGGCGGGGTGATGGAAAGCGGGAGAATGGGGCGGGGTGATGGAAAGCGGGAGAATGGGGCGGGGTGATGGAAAGCGGGAGAATAGGGCGGGGTGATTGAAAGCGGGAGAATGGGGCGGGCTGATGTAAAGCGGGAGAATGGGGCGGGGTAATGGAAGGAGGGAGAATGGGGCAGGGTGATGGAAGGAGGGAGAATGGGGCGGGGTGATGGATAGCGGGAGAATGAGGCAAGGTGATGGAAGGAGGGAGAATGGGGCGGGGTGATGGATTGCGGGAGAATGGGGCAAGGTGATGGAAAGCGGGAGAATGGGGCAGGGTGATGGAAAGCTGGAGAACGGGGTAGGGTGATGGAAAGCGGGAGAATGGGGCAGGGTGATGGAAAGTGGGAGAACGGGGCGGGGTGATGGAAAGCGGGAGAATGGGGCGGGGTGATGGAAAGCGGGAGAATGGGGCGGGGTGATGGAAAGCGGGAGAATGGGGCGGGGTGATGGAAGGAGGGAGAATGAGGTGGGGTGATGGAAGGAGGGAGAATGGGGCGGGGTGATGGAAAGCAGGAGAATGGGGCGGGGATATGGGAAGCGGGAGAATGGGGCGGGGTGATGGAAAGTGGGAGAATGGGGCGGGGTGATGGAAAGCGGGAGAATGGGGCGGGGTAATGGAAAGCGGGAGAATGGGGCGGGGTGATGGAAGGAAGGAGAATGGGGCGGGGTGATGGAAAGCGGGAGAATGGGGCAGGGTGATGGAAAGCGGGAGAATGGGGCGGGGTGATGGGAAGCGGGAGAATGGGGCGGGGTGATGGAAAGCGGGAGAATGAGGCGGGGTGATGGAAAGCAGGAGAATGGGACGGGGTGATGGAAAGCGGGAGAATGGGGTGGGGTGATGGAAAGCGGGAGAATGGGGCGGGGTGATTGAAAGCGGGAGAATGGGGCGGGGTGATGGAAAGCGGGAGAATGGGGCGGGGTGATGGAAAGCGGGAGAATGGGGTGGGGTGATGGAAAGCGGGTGAATGGGGCGGGGTGATGGAAAGCGGAAGAATGGGGCGGGGTGATGGAAAGCGGGAGAATAGGGCGAGGTGATGGAAAGCGGGAGAATGCGGCGGGGTGATGGAAAGCGGGAGAATGGGGCGGGGTGATGGAAGGAGGGAGAGGTGATGGAAAGCGGGGGAATGGGGCGGGATGATGGTAAGCGGGAGAATGATGCGGGGTAATGGAAAGCAGGAGAATGGGGCGGGGTGATGGAAAATGGGAGAATGGGGCGGGGTGATGGAAAGCGGGAGAATGGGGCGGGGTGATGGAAAGCGGAGAATGGGGCGGGGTGATGGAAAGCGGGTGAATGGGGCAGGGTGATGGAAAGGGGGAGACTGGGGCGGGGTGATGGAAAGCGGGAGAATGGGGCGGGGTGATGGAAAGCGGGAGATTGGGGCGGGGTGATGGAAAGCGGGAGAATGGTGCGGGGTGATGGAAAGCGGGAGAATGGGGCGGGGTGACGGAAAGCGGGAGAATGGGGCAGGGTGATGGAAGGAGGTAGAATGAGGCGGGGTGATGGAAGGAGAAGAATGGGGCGGGGTGATGGAAAGCGGGAGAATGGGGCGGGGTGATGGAAAGCGGGAGAATGGGGCGGGGTGATGGGAGAATGGGGCGCGGTGATGGAAAGCGGGAGAATGGGGCGGGGTGATGGAAAGCGGGAGAATGGGGCGGTGTGATGGAAAGCGGGTGAATGGGGTGGGCTGATGGAAAGCGGGAGAATGGGGCGGGGTGATGGAAGGAGGGAGAATGCGGCGGGGTGATGGAAAGCGGGAGAATGGGGCGGGGTGATGGAAAGCGGGAGAATGGGGCGGGGTGATGGAAAGCGGGAGAATGGGGCGGGGTGATGAAAAGCGGGAGAATGGGGTGGGTGATGGAAAGCGGGAGAATGGCGCGGGGTGATGGAAGGAGGGAGAATGGGGAGGGGTGATGGAAAGCGGGGGAATGGGGCGGGATTATGGGAAGCGGGGGAATGGGGCGGGGTGATGGAAAGCGGGAGAATGGGGCGGGGTGATGGAAAACGGGAGAATGGGGCGGGGAGATGGAAAGCGGGAGAATGGGGCGGGCTGATAGAAAGTAGGAGAATGGGGCGGGGTGATGGAAGGAGGGAGAATGGGGCGGGGTGATGGAAGGAGGGAGAAGGGGGCGGGGTGATGGAAAGCGGGAGAATGGGGTGGGGTGATGGAAAGCGAGAGAATGGGGCGGGGTGATGGAAAGCGGGAGAATGGGGAGGGCTGATGGAAAGCGGGAGAATGGGGCGGGGTGATCAAAGGAGGGAGAATGGGGCGGGGTGATGGAAAATGGGAGAATGGGGCGGGGTGATGGAAAGCGGGAGAATGGGGCGGGGTGATGGAAAGCGGAGAATGGGGCGGGGTGATGGAAAGCGGGTGAATGGGGCAGGGTGATGGAAAGGGGGAGACTGGGGCGGGGTGATGGAAAGCGGGAGAATGGGGCGGGGTGATGGAAAGCGGGAGATTGGGGCGGGGTGATGGAAAGCGGGAGAATGGTGCGGGGTGATGGAAAGCGGGAGAATGGGGCGGGGTGACGGAAAGCGGGAGAATGGGGCAGGGTGATGGAAGGAGGTAGAATGAGGCGGGGTGATGGAAGGAGAAGAATGGGGCGGGGTGATGGAAAGCGGGAGAATGGGGCGGGGTGATGGAAAGCGGGAGAATGGGGCGGGGTGATGGGAGAATGGGGCGCGGTGATGGAAAGCGGGAGAATGGGGCGGGGTGATGGAAAGCGGGAGAATGGGGCGGTGTGATGGAAAGCGGGTGAATGGGGTGGGCTGATGGAAAGCGGGAGAATGGGGCGGGGTGATGGAAGGAGGGAGAATGCGGCGGGGTGATGGAAAGCGGGAGAATGGGGCGGGGTGATGGAAAGCGGGAGAATGGGGCGGGGTGATGGAAAGCGGGAGAATGGGGCGGGGTGATGAAAAGCGGGAGAATGGGGTGGGTGATGGAAAGCGGGAGAATGGCGCGGGGTGATGGAAGGAGGGAGAATGGGGAGGGGTGATGGAAAGCGGGGGAATGGGGCGGGATTATGGGAAGCGGGGGAATGGGGCGGGGTGATGGAAAGCGGGAGAATGGGGCGGGGTGATGGAAAACGGGAGAATGGGGCGGGGAGATGGAAAGCGGGAGAATGGGGCGGGCTGATAGAAAGTAGGAGAATGGGGCGGGGTGATGGAAGGAGGGAGAATGGGGCGGGGTGATGGAAGGAGGGAGAAGGGGGCGGGGTGATGGAAAGCGGGAGAATGGGGTGGGGTGATGGAAAGCGAGAGAATGGGGCGGGGTGATGGAAAGCGGGAGAATGGGGAGGGCTGATGGAAAGCGGGAGAATGGGGCGGGGTGATGGAAGGAGGGAGAATGGGGCGGGGTGATGGAAGGAGGGAGAATGGGGCGGGGTGATGGAAAGTGGGAGAATGTGGCGGGTTGATGGAAAGCGGGAGAATGGGGCAGGGTTATGGAAAGCGGGAGAATGGGGCGGGGTGACGGAAAGCGGGAGAATGGGGCAGGGTGATGGAAGGAGAGAGAATGGGGCGGGGTGATGGAAAGCGGGAGAATGGGGCGTGGTGATGGAAACCGGGAGAATGGGGCGGGGTGATGGAAAGCGGGAGAATGGGGCGGGGTGATGGAAAGCGGGAGAATGGAGCGCGGTGATGGAAGAAGGTAGAATGAGGCGGGGTGATGGAAGGAGAAGAATGGGGCGGGGTGATGGAAAGCGGGAGAATGGGGCGGGGTGATGGAAAGCGGGAGAATGGGGCGGAGTGATGGAAAGCGGGAGAATGGGGCGGGGTGATGGAAAGCGGGAGAATGGGGCGTGGTGATGGAAAGCGGGAGAATGGGGCGGGGTGATGGGAGAATGGGGCGGGGTGATGGAAAGCGGGAGAATGGGGCGAGGTGATGGAAAGCGGGAGAATGGGGCGGTGTGATGGAAAGCGGGTGAATGGGGTGGGCTGATGGAAAGCGGGAGAATGGGGCGGGGTGATGGAAGGAGGGAGAATGGGGCGGGGTGATGGAAAGCGGGAGAATGGGGCGGGGTGATGGAAAGCGGGAGAATGGGGCGGGGTGATGAAAAGCGGGAGAATGGGGCGGGGTGATGGAAAGCGGGTGCATGGGGCGGGGTGATGGAAGGAGGTAGAATGAGGCGGGGTGATGGAAGGAGGGAGAATGGGGCGGGGTGATGGAAAGTGGGAGAATGGGGCGGGGTGATGGAAACCGGGAGAATGGGGCGGGGTGATGGAAAGCGGGAGAATGGGGCGGGGTGATGGTAAGCGGGAGAATGGGGCGGGGTGATGGAAAGCTGGAGAATGGGGCGGGGTGAGGGAAAGCGGGAGAATGGGGCGGGTGAAGGAAAGCGGGAGAATGGGGCGGGGTGATGGAAAGCGGGAGAATGGGGCGGGGTGATGGAAAGCGGGAGAATGGGGCGGGGTGATGGAAAGCGGGAGAATGGGGCGGGGTGATGGAAAGCGGGAGAATGGGGCGGGCTGATGTAAAGCGAAAGAATGGGGCGGGGTAATGGAAGGAGGGAGAATGGGGCGGGGTGATGGATAGCGGGAGAATGAGGCAAGGTGATGGAAGGAGGGAGAATGGGGCGGGGTGATGGATTGCGGGAGAATGGGGCAAGGTGATGGAAAGCGGGAGAAAGGGGCAGGGTGATGGAAAGCTGGAGAACGGGGCAGGGTGATGGAAAGCGGGAGAATGGGGCAGGGTGATGGAAAGCGGGAGAATGGGGCGGGGTGATGGAAAGCGGGAGAATGGGGCGGGGTGATGGAAAGCGGGAGAATGGGGCGGGGTGATGGAAAGCGGGAGAATGGGGCGGGGAGATGGAAAGCGGGAGAAAGAGGCGGGGTGATGGAAAGCGGGAGAATGCGGCGGGCTGATAGAAAGTGGGAGAATGGGGCGGGGTGATGGAAGGAGGGAGAATGGGGCGGGGTGATGGAAGGAGGGAGAAGGGGGCGGGGTGATGGAAAGCGGTAGAATGGGGTGGGGTGATGAAAAGCGAGAGAATGGGGCGGGGTGATGGAAAGCGGGAGAATGGGGAGGGCTGATGGAAAGCGGGAGAATGGGGCGGGGTGATCAAAGGAGGGAGAATGGGGCGGGGTGATGGAAGGAGGGAGAATGGGGCGGGGTGATGGAAGGAGGGAGAATGGGGCGGGGTGATGGAAAGTGGGAGAATGTGGCGGGGTGATGGAAAGCGGGAGAATGGGGCGGGGTTCTGGAAAGCGGGAGAATGGGGCGGGGTGACGGAAAGCGGGAGAATGGGGCAGGGTGATGGAAGGAGGTAGAATGAGGCGGGGTGATGGAAGGAGAAGAATGGGGCGGGGTGATGGAAAGCTTGAGAATGGGGCGGGTTGATGGAAAGCGGGAGAATGGGGCGGGGTGATGGGAGAATGGGGCGCGGTGATGGAAAGCGGGAGAATGGGGCGGGGTGATGGAAAGCGGGAGAATGGGGCGGTGTGATGGAAAGCGGGTGAATGGGGTGGGCTGATGGAAAGCGGGAGAGTGGGGCGGGGTGATGGAAGGAGGGAGAATGCGGCGGGGTGATGGAAAGCGGGAGAATGGGGCGGGGTGATGGAAAGCGGGAGAATGGGGCGGGGTGATGGAAAGCGGGAGAATGGGGCGGGGTGATGTGTCGGATACCTTCCTCCTTGTCTGCTTCAGGTCCCTTCCCACCTTGCTCAGTCCCCCTTGCACATCCCCTTTCCTCCCTTTCCCCTCTGCCCCATTTAGCCTTCATCTTCTTCTCTGCCAGCTAACTCCCCCTTGCCACTCTTCCTGCTCATCCCCTTTGTGTTGCTTGATACTCTGCTACTTCTCTTGATGAGCTCTAAGCTCCGTCACACACCAGCTCACACCTCCAACGCCTATTCTCCATTGCTCGTCATATCTCCCTGAGGCCACTGCTTGCTCTGATTTACAGCATAGCACTCGTGTTAAAAGGAAACATACAAGCAATGAATAGGACATTCGGGTATCCTCCAATTCTACCAGCGCTACCTCTGCCATCCTCCTATCCTGCCTCCCTGCCTATGCTAGCAACTATGAGATGCTTGGCACAGGTTTGCAGCCGTTCTGCTTCCTCCCACACTTCCCCGCCCTTGCTGCTTAACCTCCAGCTGGAACTCACACATCCAGCCGGCTTCCCGAACCTATCCTGCACACATGAAACAAACAAGCATGCATACATTCACCCATCCATCACATCCCGCGGTACTGCTTCCTGCTGCCGCTGCCTCGACTGCCTCCGTGCTTACAGCCGCCCACTTTGCTTACGTAAGTTCCTGCCCTCACTCGCCCATGCAACCCACCACCCCGCAGGCTCGGCAACTGCCAGCTCCCCTCCACCCCTCTTCATCTTCGAACGGTCGTGTGTCTCCTCAGCTCCCTTCCTCGGTACCATTCGACTCGCTATAAACAATATCTACAGTATGTACACGCCTTCTCGCGCCACCTTACCCTTCACATTCATGCAAATGTGACAGCTGTCGGATACCTTCCCCCTTGTCTGCTTCAGGTCCCTTCCCACCTTGCTCAGTCCCCCTTGCACCTCCCCTTTCCTCCCTTTCCCCTCTGCCCCATTTAGCCTTCATCTTCTTCTCTGCCAGCTAACTCCCCCTTGCCACTCTTCCTGCTCATCCCCTTTGTGTTGCTTGATACTCTGCTACTTCTCTTGCCCCCTCCCATGACCTGCCGTGGCCGTCCTCGCCCTGGTCATGGGACCAGTGTAGCTGCCTCCCCTCTGCTGCTTCCCTGCAAGGGCGACGTTAGTAACATGGTCCATGATTCTCTTGCCTGATGCATCCTCCAATACCAGCACGCCTGACTCCCGTACCTCTTTCACTTCCCACCTCTGCTGAGACACTCCCACATCCAGTCCGTCTTGCTTTGCCCGTCGCACGTACACTGCCTGTCCTTCCTCTACTACTGTCGGCTTCCCCGCCATCTTGCTGAGCTGTCACTGCTTGTAGCGGTGTATGTCCCGCAGCTGTGCCACCTTCAGGCTTTCCATAGCCGCTGGCAGCAGCTTCTTCAGGTATTTAGCCCGAGCGTCCGCCAACGCCACCCACTTCTCCACAGTGTTGGTCCTTACTGTATCGAGCAGCAGCCTCGGTGCATCCACCGGTAGAATGGGGTGCTTGCCAAAGAGCAGATAATATGGTGACACGTCCTTCAGTGATGCCTGCTTGCTAAACCTGTACCCCGCCATCACCCACGCCAGCTTCTTGTCCCAGTCGCCCTTGTTTGCTTCTCCATACACTCGCAGCCCCTTCTTTACAGTCTGCACCAGCCGCTCTGTTAAGCCATCACTCTGTGGGTGGTACCTGGAGGTGGTGCGGTGCTGAATGCCGTTCTCTGCTAACAGCTCCTTGAATTCTCCCTGGAATTCTGTCCCTTGGTCAGTCAACACTTCTCCACATGCCCCGAACCTCGTCAGCACCATCTCCTCAAACGCTTCTGCTACCGCTCCAGCCGTCTTGGCCACCAGGGGCCTAGCTTCCGCCCACTTGCTCACATGCTCGATCATCAGCAGCACGTAGCGTCTTCCCCTCCGAGACACCGGTAGCTCTCCCGCAATATCCAATGACCACCGATACCCCAACTCCACAATGTTCAGGGGCTGTAGTTCCGCCTGGCTCTTCAGCAGACTGGCTTTATTCCTGCAGCACAGCTCGCACCTGCCCACCCACTCCTTGACCTCCTTCCGCATCCCTGCCCACCACCACCCTGTCTGCAGCAGCTGCTGAGTCCGCAACGGGCCATAATGCCCCAGCTTGTTGTGGACTTCTCGAATGATACCTTCCCTCTCCTTCGGTGCGGGCACTCGTTTCCACCCGTCCTTGGTTTGTAGCTGCACTTGCTCCTGGAACCACCGGTAATGCTGCCCTCGCGCCCTCGCTCTTGCTCCGGCTCCCCCATCCTCCGCTGTCTCCCCTTTTATCCACTTCAGCGTCTCCTCATCTTGCCATACGTCTGCCGGTCCCTTCGGCTGCCCTCCTCCCGTCCCGCCTTCTCTCACCATGGCCGTCAGTGCTGCTACTGGGGGCTCTGGTCGATCTTCTGGCTCCGTCCTCTTGCATGCCCCTGGCGGGTTCCTGGAGAGTCCATCCACGTGCTGCATCGTGGCGCCTGGCCTGTGCTTCACGGTGAAGTCGTATTCTTGGAGCTTCATCGCCCATCGCGCATTTCTTCCGGTCAGGGTCTGATTGTGCATCAGCCACAGCAGGGGCTGATGATCTGTAACCAGTGTGAAGTGCCGCCCTTGAAGGTACACACGGAAGTGCCCCACTGCCCAGACTGCTGCCAACCCCTCCCCTTCATAGGACGAGTAGTTCGCCTCCGCGGGGCTGCAGGTCCGGCTGGCGAATGCCACCACCTTCTCTCCTCCGCTGTCCATCTGACTCAGTATTGCCCCCATTCCGACGCTACTCCAGTCCGTATATAAGGTGAATGGCTGCTTCCCGTCTGGCAGCTTCAGTACTGCCCCTGATTTGACTGCTTCCATCAGTCCCTGTAGTGCTTGCTCCTGTGCTTCCCCCCACTGCCACTTCTGCTCCTCCCGCAGCAGCCGATTCAAGGGTGCTGCTCGCTTGCTGAAGTTCTCGATGAACTTACGGTAGTAATTGAGGAACCCCAACAATGCCCTTAGACTGCTTCTGTCCTTCGGCCTTTCCACCCGGTCCAGCACCTCTACCTTCGCTTTCTGGATGCTGAGCTCTCCTCCGGCTACTTCGAACCCCAAGTATGCGACGCTCCCATATCCGAAGCGGCATTTCCCCGGATGGCAGGTCAAGCCGGCTGCCTCTATCGCCGTCAGGGTCGCCTCCACATCTCGCACGTGTGTCTCGGCGTCAGGGCTGAAAACAATCACATCGTCGATGTAGCATGCTGCCCCTTTCACCTCCCTCAGCACTGCGTCCATGACTCGCTGGAACACCGCGGATGCGTTCCTCAGCCCGAAGGGCATGAAGTTCCATTCATAAAGTCCATCCGGCCCGTGAAACACTGTTTTCTTCTTATCTTCCTCAGCTATTGGTATCTGGTTGAATCCTTGCCGCAGATCCAGTGTAGAGAAGACCCAGCTTCCGTGCAGCTGATCAAATATCTCCTCCGCCATGGGCATGGGGTATCGGTCCGTCGTTGTGACTTTGTTCAAGCCCCGATAGTCCCCGCACATGCGCCTAGACAATACTGCCCCCGTCAGGTCCGTCCGTGCCGCTACAACTGTTGCTGCGGCGTAGTCCGACGTTGATCGTCTGATAAGTCCCGCCGCTAACAGCTCCTGACATTTCTCAGAGCAGATGCTGAGGTCTTGCGGGCTCATCCTCCTTCGCCGCTGATACACGGGGACTTCGCTGATCAGAGGCAGATGCATGGTGCTGGTCACACACCTGCCCAGCTCCTGTATCGAGTGGGCGAACGCCGCTGTGTGTTGCCTCAGCACTGCCTCCAGCCTGATTGCCTCTGTGCCTTGTATGGCGCTCCCTATGTCCCAGCGAATCTCGGCTGCCCTCGCTGGTGCCTCTACCGGCCGTGCTCCTTCTGCTCTTTCTGCTGCTCTTATTGCTGCTGCTCCCTCCCTTGCCCGTACACCTACTCCTTCATCTGGCTCGGCTGACACATCCCCTGTCCTGGCTTCCATTGCTCCCTCTGCCACCCTCTCTCCTTTCTCTTCCTGCGCCCCTTCCTTCAGATCCTCCACTCCGCTAGCCATGTAGGCCCGGCTGGGTCCCAGGACGACTTCATCCGGGTCAGGGATCCACCGATCTGACGGATCCTCCTGCTCCTCCGAATCCCAATCCATCTCTGGCTCTCCTTCCCGCCACTCTTCCTCCTCCTCCTCTTCCTGGTCCGGATAGGTTCCTGGTATCCCTAAATGATCACTCAGCCTCTCCATCCGTTTCTCTCGCGGCACTCCTCTTCGCCTCATCTCCCATGCCTCCTCCTCCAACAGCTCCAGGAATCTCTCCGCTTGATATTCCTTCTCCTCATCGGCTTCCGTCTTGGGGTCTGCCCATGCAGCATGGTCCCTTTTTCTCTCCCATCGCTGGCGTTCCAGATGCCTATCCATTGTCGCTATCAACCAGTGTAATGCATTGAGGTCCATGGCCTTTCCCAGGGCTCTCCTCCTTTCTTCTTCTGTTACATCGGTGCTCTCAGTTGCTCCTGCCATGAAGCCCATTGCCAGTTCCCTTTCCATTGCGGTCGGCTCCTCCCAGACTCCCTTCAGCCGGTCATACACCATCCCCGGCCCTTCTTGCCCGTCCGTCAGCTTGAATCCTTCTGAGCTCTGGAATGACACCAGCGTAGGCCAGGCCTGCCTCGGCTTGCCTACTTCGTTGCACGGGTACTGCGTCTCGTGGTCTGCATGGCGCACCGGTGCTGGGATCCGAGCCGGCTCCAGTATGTCCGCTACCAGCCGTGGCTTCGGCCTCTCCATGAGGGACAGTTCATATTGCAGCGTGGTCTCTGGCAACACGTTCTGCCAATACCTCCTTGTCCTGTGTGCTCTGCTGCCGTTCTGCGCTGCGTCCCACACCACCCCTGCTCCTAGTTCGGCTCGAATTTCTTCTTCTGCTCGCTTCACTGCTTCTCGCTGATCATCCCTGGTGTCCACATTCTCCACTATGTAGGCCACCTCTCCTTGCTTGCGCTTGATCATCTTCAAAATCCTGATGAGTTCCCGGAACAACCCACTCCTCGGATCCGCCAGTCCTCTTCCTTCCCCTGCCCGAGACAGACCCTGACATTCCCACCCTGCCACCACCAGATCGATGTGCCCCCAGTGGGCCAGTGCATCTTCCTTCACATCCTCCACTCGATGGCAGGTCCACTCAGCCCCCTCCTGCACCGCTTCTGCGTATAATTGCGACGGATACCTTGCCTCCAGCTTCTTTATATGATGCCACGATATCGTGCTCGCCACTTGGTCATTATCCACGTAGATGTACTTCTTCACCCTCAGACCCGCTTTCAGCGCCGCTGCCAATCCCGTGCTGATCCCTCCGAACAACTCCAAGAGCACGATCGGCTTCTGGAACACCCGTGCGTCCAAGTGTCTTTGCCTCAGACCGCCGCTCTCTCCCCACTGCTGACGATGCCAGTCTCTGTACCTCCTCTCCTCCTCCAGGGCTTCCCAGTTCAAGTGCCCCAACTCTTCCTCCGCGGTCTTCACCTCCGCCTGATAGGCTTCTCGGGGCTCTCTCCGTATGAAGCGCACTGGCAGCTCAGCCACCTCTCCATCGTATTCCCAGTATGTCACTCGATACATCAGGCGTTCCTCCCACATGCAGATGGTGGATCCAATGCTGTACAAGAATTCCACTCCTAGTAGCAGGTCGTAGTCCTCAGAGGGCGAGAGGCCGCACTTCAGCTTCACCGAACATTCCTCCTGACTTCCTTGCCGTATCACGATTTCCACCGTGGCCCGTGTCTTGGGCATCCATTTCGTTCCACCTCCCTCCGCCGTCATCAGCAGCAGTCCTTCCCTTATCTGCCTCTCCGGCCGATCCAGCTGCAGCTGCTCCGCCAGTCGCCTTCCAATCAGCACCGGATGTGCCCCCGTGTCAATGATAGCCTGCTTCACTGGCAAGCCCCCGATGGTTATGTACCCCTTTTCCGCCACCAGCACGGATGCTGCACAACTGAGCCTCTCTAGCGGATGTCTGCGAGGCGCCACACCTGTCCTCTCTTCTCCGGCCAATCTTCTCGGTCCAAGCTCTTGCCGTCCTTCCGTCCTCTGTCTCAGGTTCCTTTCCCTCGGCCTTAATCCCAGCTCGTCTCTATCCCTGGCCGGCCTTGCCATGAATCCACACTCCTCTTCACTTTCTCCTTCTTCCTCCTCCTGCCTCGCCACCATAGCTGGCCTTCGCTCAGGCTCTCTCTCTCGGTCTTCCAGCTGGGCCTTCAGCCTCTCTATCTCCGCACGCATTTCCGCCATCTCCCCTTTTTCTCGCGGTTCTCCTCGTCGGGAGTAGCAGTCCTTCTCCGCGTGACCCCTTCTTCCACACTTGTCGCATGTCGGCGCCTCCGGGCAATCCCTTCGTAAGTGGTCTTCCTTCCCGCAAATGGAGCATGCCGGTGGGTTGCGACATTCTCGACGCAGGTGTCCGCTCCTTCCACAGTTGTGACATTTGCGAGCATCTGCCGGCCCCCTTGGCGGCCGCTCGTGTTCCACTGGACTGGCGCTCCACGCCGGCCGTCTCCTTTCCACCTGCCGTTCGGATGTCCTCTCCACCTCGAACAGCCTCCGTCCGGTCTCCACCCTCTTCGCCGTTTCGTATGCCGCCTTCAGTGTCGCTGCTGCCCCCAGCTCAAAGATCTTCACCTGTACGTCCCGCTGAAGCTCATAGTTGAGCCCGTTCAGGAATTTGCTGACGAGCCGCCCTTGATCCGTGCAGTTCATGTCCTCCCCTAGCTCCATCAGCCTCCCGTAATACGCCAGCAATGATTCTCCCGTTCGACGCCTGAAGTCACGAAACTCCACGACCCGCTCCGGCGTTTGCAGCGGAAACTGTTCCCGCAGCAGCTCCAAAAAACGCTTAGTCGGATCTCTTTCTCTCGCCTTCCCTTGCGACGCCCACTCCAGTAGCTCGCGACGACAGATCCGGTAATAAGTCTCCGCCTCTCCGGTCAAGGTATTCGCCAACCCGCGGAAGAAATCTTCCGGCGCCAGTTGGTCGCGCTCCCATCGCGCTCGCAGGTTATCCAGCTGCATGAGGTAGTTCTTAAGGGACGGTCCTCGTCGCACCTCTCCCGAGAACCGCTCTGGCACCTCCACTTTCGGCAGCATGGTATACCGCCATCGCGCCGACGCCGCCTCCTCCTCAAATCCTTGCCATGACGCACTGCGCTGATATGCTCGTCCTGCTCCAGTTCTTCCTCCTGCGTTCGTGTCAGAGGCCTCCGCTGCTGGCTTCTTCGCCTTGCCTTCTCCCGTTCCTTCCGTTCATTGCGTCTCCTCATGCACGGCGTCAGAGCCTGCGGCTCCTCCTGTCCTGCCGTGTTCGCCTTCCTTCGCGCCGTGCGCGGCGGCTCCTCCCTGAGCCGCATCTACGTTCTCTCCGTCTTCGCCCATCGCTTCGTTTCTCTCTATCAATTCCTTCAGTGCGAAATCCAAACCCGATCTCGTGGGCATACCGCTATTGATTGCTTGTATGTGATGAGCTCTAAGCTCCGTCACACACCAGCTCACACCTCCAACGCCTATTCTCCATTGCTCGTCATATCTCCCTGAGGCCACTGCTTGCTCTGATTTACAGCATAGCACTCGTGTTAAAAGGAAACATACAAGCAATGAATAGGACATTCGGGTATCCTCCAATTCTACCAGCGCTACCTCCGCCATCCTCCTATCCTGCCTCCCTGCCTATGCTAGCAACTATGAGATGCTTGGCACAGGTTTGCAGCCGTTCTGCTTCCTCCCACACTACCCCGCCCTTGCTGCTTAACCTCCAGCTGGAACTCACACATCCAGCCGGCTTCCCGAACCTATCCTGCACACATGAAACAAACAAGCATGCATACATTCACCCATCCATCACATCCCGCGGTACTGCTTCCTGCTGCCGCTGCCTCGACTGCCTCCGTGCTTACAGCCGCCCACTTTGCTTACGTAAGTTCCTGCCCTCGCTCGCCCATGCAACCCACCACCCCGCAGGCTCGGCAACTGCCAGCTCCCCTCCACCCCTCTTCATCTTCGAACGGTCGTGTGTCTCCTCAGCTCCCTTCCTCGGTACCATTCGACTCGCTATAAACAATATCTACAGTATGTACACGCCTTCTCGCGCCACCTTACCCTTCACATTCATGCAAATGTGACAGATAAAAAGCGGGAGAATGGGGCGGGGTGATGGAAAGCGGGAGCATGGGGCGGGGTGATTGGAGGAGGTAGAATGAGGCGGGGTGATGGAAGGAGGGAGAATGGGGCGGGGTGATGGAAAGTGGGAGAATGGGGCGGGGTGATGGAAAGCGGGAGAATGGGGCGGGGTGATGGAAAGTGGGAGAATGGGGCGGGGTGATGGAAAGCGGGAGAATGGGGCGGGTGATGGAAAGCGGGAGAATGGGGCGGGGTGATGGAAGGAGGGAGAATGGGGAGGGGTGATGGAAAGCGGGGGAATGGGGCGGGATGATGGAAGCGGGAGAATGGGGCGGGGTGATGGAAAGCGGGAGAATGGGGCGGGGTGATCGAAAGCGGGAGAATGGGGCGGGGAGATGGAAAGCGGGAGAAAGGTTCGGGGTGATGGAAAGCGGAAGAATGGGGCAGGCTGATAGAAAGTGGGAGAATGGGGCGGGGTGATGGAAGGAGGGAGAATGGGGCGGGGTGATGGAAGGAGGGAGAAGGTGGCGGGGTGATGGAAAGCGGGAGAATGGGGTGGGGTGATGAAAAGCGAGAGAATGGGGCGGGGTGATGGAAAGCGGGAGAATGGGGAGGGCTGATGGAAAGCGGGAGAATGGGGCGGGATGATCAAAGGAGGGAGAATGGGGCGGGGTGATGGAAGGAGGGGGAATGGGGCGGGGTGATGGAAGGAGGGAGAATGGGGCGGGGTGATGGAAAGTGGGAGAATGTGGCGGGGTGATGGAAAGCGGGAGAATGGGGCGGGGTTATGGAAAGCAAGAGAATGGGACGGGGTGACGGAAAGCGGGAGAATGGGGCAGGGTGATGGAAGGAGGGAGAATGGGGCGGGGTGATGGAAAGCGGGAGAATGCGGCGTGGTGATGGAAAGCGGGAGAATGGGGCGGGGTGATGGAAAGCGGGAGAATGGGGCGGGGTGATGGAAAGCGGGAGAATGGGGCGGGGTGATGGAAGGAGGTAGAATGAGGCGGGGTGATGGAAGGAGAAGAATGGGGCGGGGTGATGGAAAGCGGGAGAATGGGGCAGGGTGATGGAAAGCGGGAGAATGGGGCGGAGTGATGGAAAGCGGGAGAATGGGGCGGGGTGATGGAAAGCGGGAGAATGGGGCGTGGTGATGGAAAGCGGGAGAATGGGGCGGGGTGATGGGAGAATGGGGCGGGGTGATGGAAAGCGGGAGAATGGGGCGGGGTGATGGAAAGCGGGAGAATGGGGCGGTGTGATGGAAAGCGGGTGAATGGGGTGGGCTGATGGAAAGCGGGAGAATGGGGCGGGGTGATGGAAGGAGGGAGAATGGGGCGGGGTGATGGAAAGCGGGAGAATGGGGCGGGGTGATGGAAAGTGGGAGAATGGGGCGGGGTGATGAATAGCGGGAGAATGGGGCGGGGTGATGGAAAGTGTGAGCTTGGGGCGGGGTGATGGAAGGAGGTAGAATGAGGCGGGGTGATGGAAGGAGGGAGAATGGGGCGGGGTGATGGAAAGCGGGAGAATGGGGCGGGGTGATGGAAGGAGGGAGAATGGGGCATGGTGATGGAAAGCGGGAGAATGGGGCGGGGTGATGGAAAGCGGGAGAATGGGGCGGGGTGATGGAAAGCGGGAGAATGGGGCAGGGTGATGGAAAGCGGGAGAATGGGGCGGGGTGATGGAAAGCGGGAGAATGGGGAGGGCTGATAGAAAGCGGGAGAATGGGGCGGGGTGATCAAAGGAGGGAGAATGGGGCGGAGTGATGGAAGCAGGGAGAATGGGGCGGGGTGATGGAAGGAGGGAGAATGGGGCGGGGTGATGGAAAGTGGGAGAATGTGGCGGGGTGATGGAAAGCGGGAGAATGGGGCGGGGTGATGGAAAGCGGGAGAATGGGGCGGGGTGATGGAAAGCGGGAGAATGGGGCGGGGTGATGGAAGGAGAAGAATGGGGCGGGGTGACGGAAAGCGGGAGAATGGGGCGGGGTGATGGAAAGCAGAAGAATGGGGCGGAGTGATGGAAAGCGGGAGAATGGGGCGGGGTGATGGAAAGCGGGAGAATGGGGCGTGGTGATGGAAAGCGGGAGAATGGGGCGGGGTGATGGGAGAATGGGGTGGGGTGATGGAAAGCGGGAGAATGGGGCGGGGTGATGGAAAGCGGGAGAATGGGGCGGTGTGATGGAAGGAGGGAGAATGGGGCGGGATGATGGAAAGCGGGAGAATGGGGCGGGGTGATGGAAAGCGGGAGAATGGGTTGGGGTGATGGAAAGCGGGAGAATGGGGCGGGGTGATGGAAATCGGGAGAATGGGGCGGGGTGATGGAAAGCAGGAGAATGTGGTGGGGTGATGGAAGGAGGGAGAATGGGGCGGGGTGATAGAAAGCGGGAGAATGTGGCGGGGTGATGGAAAGTGGGAGAATGGGGTGGGGTTATGGGAAGCGGGAGAATGGGGCGGGGTGATGGAAAGCGGGAGAATGGGGCGGGGTGATGGAAGGAGGGAGAATGGGGCGGGGTGATGGAAGGAGTGAGAACGGGGCGAGGTGATGGAAAGCGGGAGAATGGGGCGGGGTGATGGAAGGAGGGAGAATGGGGCGGGGTGATGGAAAGCGGGAGAATGGGGCGGGGAGATGGAAAGCGGGAGAAAGGGGCGGGGTGATGGAAAGCGGGAGAATGGGGCGGGCTGATGGAAAGCGGGAGAATAGGGCGGGGTGGTGGAAGGAGGGAGAATGGGGCGGGGTGATGGAAGGAGGGAGAAGGGGGCGGGGTGATGGAAAGCGGGAGAATGGGGCGGGGTGATGGAAAGCGGGAGAATGGGGCGGGGTGATGGAAAGCGGGAGAATGGGGAGGGCTGATGGAAAGCGGGAGAATGGGGCGGGGTGATCAAAGGAGGGAGAATGGGGCGGGGTGATGGAAGGAGGGGGAATGGGGCGGGGTGATGGAAGGAGGGAGAATGGGGCGGGGTGATGGAAAGTGGTAGAATGTGGCGGGGTGATGGAAAGCGGGAGAATGGGGCGGGGTTATGGAAAGCGGGAGAATGGGGCGGGGTGACGGAAAGCGGGAGAATGGGGCAGGGTGATGGAAGGAGGGAGAATGGGGCGGGGTGATGGAAAGCGGGAGAATAGGGCGTGGTGATGGAAAGCGGGAGAACGGGGCGGGGAGATGGAAAGCGGGAGAATGGGGCGGGGTGATGGAAAGCGGGAGAATGGGGCGGGGTGATGGAAGGAGGTAGAATGAGGCGGGGTGATGGAAGGAGAAGAATGGGGCGGGGTGATGGAAAGCGGGAGAATGGGGCGGGGTGATGGAAGGCGGGAGAATGGGGCGGAGTGATGGAATGCGGGAGAATGGGGCGGGGTGATGGAAAGCGGGAGAATGGGGCGTGGTGATGGAAACAGGAGAATGGGGCGGGGTGATGGGAGAATGGGGCGGGGTGATGGAAAGCGGGAGAATGGGGCGGGGTGACGGAAAGCGGGAGAATGGGGCGGTGTGATGGAAAGCGGGTGAATGGGGTGGGCTGATGGAAAGCGGGAGAATGGGGCGGTGTGATGGAAAGAGGGAGAATGGGGCGGGGTGATGGAAAGCGGGAGAATGGGGCGGGGTGATGGAAAGTGGGAGAATGGGGCGGGGTGATGAAAAGCGGGAGAATGGGGCGGGGTGATGGAAAGCGGGAGCATGGGGCGGGGTGATGGAAGGAGGTAGAATGAGGCGGGGTGATGGAAGGAGGGAGAATGGGGCGGGGTGATGGAAAGCGGGAGAACGGGGCGGGGTGATGGAAGGAGGGAGAATGGGGCGTGGTGATGGAAAGCGGGAGAATGGGGCGGGGTGATGGAAAGCGGGAGATGTTGGTGCAACCCTATGGTTTGCACTCGGCTTGTTGTCCGTGTGCGTGCATGTGTGTGTGTGTATGGAATGGTATGAGGGCATGGGATAATATATATTTCATGCTTATAATTGTGTGTGAATGTTGAGTCATGATGTCGAGTGTATGTGTTGGGTCAATAGCGAGTTATCGCTAGACGCGTGTTACGCGGTCGTTTGTGTCTCGCGCGCGGTTTCTATTTTGTCGTGCGCGGTTTCTATTTTGTCCTGTGTCGAACGTTCGGTGTGTCGCAGGTGTGTGCAGCAGACCCATCAAGAACTCAAGGAGGAGTTTGTGATGAAGAGCCCGAGCCTTGGTGTCAAGCCTCAAGTGATTTCAAAGCTCGCCAAAAGGGTACACCTCAAGATATTGAAGATAGTTACATTACTTTGTGTAATGTAACATTTCACTTGGTGTAGGCCCTAGTGAAGGGTAGTTTCGAGACCCTTCGTGGTTGGGGACAGTGTGGCACTGTTCCACATCACTGTACCTCGGCTCTTGGGGTTTGTAGGAGCTGGGAGTCATTCCCAACTCGTAACTCTTCAGATCTCTTCCTATTTTGTGTTCTAAGACTATAGTGGCTGCCATAGTGCCGTTCGTTCAAACCGACACTGTGTCGTCAATACTTGGTCAAATCGTGCGATCTAAATTGCTTATTGTAGGCGACAATAAGACGCTCCAGATCCAAGTTGAATCAAGTAATTTGAAGCTGTCACCAGAACGCTATGAACGTTTGAAGCCGCTGTGCAGAAATCCGACTGTGCACTCTATCTTTCGTTTTAAGCACATTGGAGCCTACTGTGACAATAACAAGTGGTATCAGAGCCCCTTGGAGCAGTTTCGACAATGGCTGGACCTGAGGAAAGGGGTGGCAGAGGTGCTGGTGGCAGAGGAGAAGCCCAAGCTCAAGGCCAACCCCGTGACTCAGCCATGGCGCCCGTGCAACCAAGTGTTGGCCCATCTAGGGATGAGCCTAGAGTGTTTGGCCTTGACAAGTTCAATGGTGACAACTTTGCTGAGTGGTCCTTCAGAATGGAGAACATATTTGACCACTATGACCTGCTGGAGGTGATGGAAGGAACGGAGAAGCGTCCCGAGAACGACCCGGAGAAGAGCCCGTGGGTGCGGAAGAGCGCACAAGGCTACCTCCTACTTGGGCAAGCGTTGGGGAGCAGCCAAATCCGTCACATCAAGCCTTTCCAGCGTGAACCAGAGAAGGGACCAAAAGCATGGGCTGCTCTCAAGGGTGTACACGCTCCTGCAACAGCGGCGGTAGCTGTGGTGTTGGAACGGCAAATGGCGACGTTACGAATTGAAGAGGATGAAGCGGTTGAAGAAGGGGTGCAGAAATTCTTCGACTTGTTGACGCGGCTTGAGGGAGCTGATTTGAACTATAGTGAGCTCCAAAAGAAGACCAAGTTGCTGGCCCTACTCCCGGAGTCATGGTCCTCGCTCATCATCAACCTTAATCGCGACTTGCCCCGCCTCTCGCTTGAAGACGTGAAGCGAGCTATCCTTCAAGAGGATTTCCGCCGCCGTGAGTTGGCGAGTGCGGATGGCGCTGGGGCAGCGAGCATCGGCCGTGGATATGGTCGAGGAAGAGGCAGAGGACGAGGGGGAGGAAGGTTTGGTGGCAGAAACTTCGGCGGAGGCCGCGGGAGTGGCGGTTACGGCAGCGACGACAAGAGCTACGGACGCGGTCGCGGCCGATTCGACGGCGAGTGTCACTATTGCCACAAGAGCGGACACATGTGGCGCGACTGCTACAAACTCCCTGATGGTTGGACCCCTGCTCAAGGCCAAGAGGGTAGAGGAGCAGGAGGAGGGAGAGGACGAGGCCGTGGAGGCCGTGGCGGTCGCGGTGGCGGAGCTGCAAACATGAAGAGCGGAGACAACGACAAGGACCCGAGCGACGATCGATACCCGGGTCTATTCTACTTCGTGTCGACGCAAGTACCGGCTGGTCCAGAGAAGGATGAAGGCTTTGAGGAGCCAGCAGCTGTGGGGAAGGTGACCCTACACCCCCTGGACTATTGGGTGATTGATAGTGGCGCTACCTATAGCATGACACCTCGCCCGGACTTGCTCACCGAACTCGAGCCGTCACCGGTGAAGCATGTCACATCGGCTTTGGGGCAGCGAGCAGAGGTGAAAGGCATGGGGAAGGCCATGTTCAAGGGTGCTGATGGGAAGATGGTGGGCCTCAAGAACGTGCTTTGGGTGCCCAGCCTTGCTGCGAACCTGATTTCCGTGCGGCGGTTGGCAAAGGCCGGCATGGACACTAACTCGAAGGGAGCCAAGACCTACACCGCAAGGCTTGGCGATCGGATTCTTTGGGACCTTCATGAGGACAGAGATGTCTACAACGAGATGTGGCAGATCCCTGTGGTCCCAATGCCTAAGGAGAGGCAAGTGGCAGCAAGCGTCAGCACTAAAGGTGGAGCGATTGGTAGCGGCGATTGCGCGGACGGTCGCGCTAAGGAGAAGGAGTCCAAGAAGTGCAATCTTGGAGGGACCAGCAAGTTCAGTGAACCTAAGGAGAGTGGTGCAGCAACCAAGGAGCAGCAAAAGGGTGAGGAGAACCCCGAGGCAACAGCGGAGGAGGACTACGGAGAGAGTATGTGGGGCGCTATTGCGAGCGCGGCATTCTCCAATCCAACTTCGGCTACGGGGGAGTGTGATTGGCTCACCTTGCATCGGCGCATGGGGCATGTGGCCCTGCCCATCTTGCAGCAGCTAGTGAAGAATGAGATGGTTGCTGGCATACGTGTGAAGGGGGAGCCCGATGAGGTACTTGGCTGCCCGACGTGCATGCAAGCCAAGTTCACCCGTTTCCCATTCTCTAGTTCGGAGGCAACGGCTAAGGCACCACTTGATGAGGTGGTGATGGACGTGGTGGGCCCCCTGAAGCTTGGAGCTGCTGGAGCTGAGTACTTCCTCACTATTGTTGACGTCTACACCCGTATGACTTGGGTGTACGTGCTGGCCAAGAAGAGCGACGTGGCTGAAACGTTGAAGGCGGATTGGTTCCCGATGGTGGAGCGGCAACAAGACCGTCTAGTCAAGTCAATCCGCACCGATCGAGGGGGAGAGTTCCTGAGCAAGGAGTTTGGGTTGTGGCTGAAGAAGAATGGTATTCGACACTCCCTCACCATGCCATACTCCCCTGCAATGAATGGCATCGCTGAGCGAGCGAACCGCACAATCACGGAGGCGGCACGCGGGTTGCTCATTGAAGCCGGGCTACCCGACTATTTCTGGCCTGATGCGGTGCGGAGCGCATGTGTGGCCAAGAACAGAGCCTTGACTCATGTGGGAGCAGACAAATGGGTGCCCTATGTGGAGTGGCTAGGAAGGAAGCCAAAGGTGGATATGCTTCGGGTGTTCGGGTGCATGTGCATGGCGCTTGTGCCTAAGCATCTTCGGCACAACAAGCTTGGTGCCAAGGCGGTGTGGGCCGTGCACTTGGGCATGGCTCAAAACAGCAAGGGATGGCTTCTTTGGGACCCATTCACCAAGAAGTTCTTGGTGAGCAGGGACTGCAAGTTCATGGAGAACTTCATGTACAAGGATTGGAAGGCGGAGAATGAGGCGAAGATAGGCGTGCGGTTTGGGGAGGTGAAGAGTTCCGGTTTGGAGCATGTGGAGCTGCCTTTGGAGCTGAGCAGCGGCAGCACAACCACGAGGCAATCCTCCCTTGTGCATGGGGGAGAGGAGGCCACTGATGCAGAGGAAGAAGAGGAGGAGGTGCAGCAAGTGAGCGAGCGTGCACCGTCACTCCCTTCCCGTACCACGAGTGCTCCACGGAATCGAGCCACACCGCAGCAACGCCAAGGCCTTCAAGTCCCTGCAGCTGAGGAGGAAGGAAGGGGGAAGAGGAGAGTTCAACCCCCTAATAGGCTGACCTATGATGCACTTGGAAAGCAAGGCAAGACAGCCCTGGCCGGAGCGGCAATGATGGTCGGAGACGATGAGGAGAGTGACTACGAGGAGTGTGCCTTCGCGTTCTTCTCTCCGGTGGAGATGCCGGGAGAACCAGCAACTCTCAAGGAGGCTTTGGAGAGCAGTGATGCTGAGGAGTGGAAGAAGGCCATGGAGAGTGAGCTGAAGAGCATCGAGGAGAATGACACGTTTGAATTGGTGGAGCTACCGGAGGGGCGTACGGCGATAACGTCCAAGTGGCTCTTCAAAATCAAGTCGGATGCCGACGGCAAGATCGAGCGTTACAAGTCTAGGCTTGTAGCCAAGGGGTACCAGCAGAAGGAGAAGGTGGACTTCAAGGAGCTGTTTGCCCCCGTGGTGAAGCCGACGACGCTGCGAACCCTATTCGCGGGAGCCGCCATCAAAGGATGGGTGGTGAAGCAAATGGACATTGTGACGGCATTCCTCAACGGCATCCTTGAGGAGGAGATTTTTATGGCGCAGCCAGAGGGGTTTGATGATGGTAGTGGCAGAGTGTGGAAGCTGAAGAAGGCCCTCTATGGGCTGAAGCAGGCCCCTAGGCAATGGTACATGAAGCTGCGCGAAGTGTTGGAGGAGATCGGCTTCACTCCCTCAACGGCCGATCACTCCTTGTTCATGCTTGGCGAGGGGGAGCAGAGGAGCTTCATGGTGGTTTATGTGGATGACATTCTCATATTCTCACCCTCCTCTGACCTTGTGAAGGAGGTGATGCTGAAGCTGCATGACAAGTTCAAGTGCAAGTCCCTTGGTGACGTGAACTTCTACCTTGGGCTCCACATCGAACGAGACGTGGAGAAGCGGAGCATGCGAGTGCACCAACGGAAGTACCTGGAGGCGTTGGCTGCCAACTTTGGCCAGAGTGAAGGTCATGTGGCTACTCCCTTTCCCTCTGGGTTCAAGTGTGTGAAGGGGCCAGAGGAGGAGAGCGTTGGAGAAGAGGAGAGGCGCCGATTTCACTCGTTGGTGGGCAGCCTCATGTATGCGGCGGTAAACACCCGACCGGACGTCGCGTTTGCTACCGGGCAGCTGGCTAGGGTTGTGCAATGCCCTAATGAGGAGCAGGTAGCAGCTGGAATGAGGGTGGCCAAGTACCTTGGCCAAACACCGACCGTTGGGCTGCAATACTCGGCGGCGGCACAAAGGCGCCAAAAGGGCGCGGATGGTGTTGAACCCGGGCGTTTGTTCCTCACCGCCTACTCGGATGCTTCATATGCATCAGAACCAGAGGACATGACAAGTGTGGGAGGCTTCATATGCTGTGTTGGTGGAGGCCCAACTGCTTGGGAGAGCAAGAAGCAGGTTGACCAAGCTTTGAGCTCGGTGGAGTCCGAGTACATGGCACTCTTCCGTGCCGTACGGGAGATTGTGTGGCAGCGGCGTTTATTGGCTGAATTGGGGGAGGAGCAGCAAGGACCTACCCCACTATATTGTGACAGCCAGGGTGCCATTGCTCTTGCTAAGAACCCTGTGTTGCATGGACTCACGAAGCACATGAGGGTGAAGTGGCATTGGACGAGGAGCATGGTAACCGCGGGTGAAGTTGAGTTGCGCTACGTGAAAACCACAGGGCAGCCGGCTGACATGATGACCAAGAGGCTGGTGGAGCAGCAGCATTGGAAGTGTTGCAAGCTGGCTGGGATGGCTCTGAACTGAGAGAGCAACATATCCGAAGGCCAACAATCCGAGGGGGAGTTTGTTGGTGCAACCCTATGGTTTGCACTCGGCTTGTTGTCCGTGTGCGTGCATGTGTGTGTGTGTATGGAATGGTATGAGGGCATGGGATAATATATATTTCATGCTTATAATTGTGTGTGAATGTTGAGTCATGATGTCGAGTGTATGTGTCGGGTCAATAGCGAGTTATCGCTAGACGCGTGTTACGCGGTCGTTTGTGTCTCGCGCGCGGTTTCTATTTTGTCGTGCGCGGTTTCTATTTTGTCCTGTGTCGAACGTTCGGTGTGTCGCAGGTGTGTGCAGCAGACCCATCAAGAACTCAAGGATGAGTTTGTGATGAAGAGCCCGAGCCTTGGTGTCAAGCCTCAAGTGATTTCAAAGCTCGCCAAAAGGGTACACCTCAAGATATTGAAGATAGTTACATTACTTTGTGTAATGTAACATTTCACTTGGTGTAGGCCCTAGTGAAGGGTAGTTTCGAGACCCTTCGTGGTTGGGGACAGTGTGGCACTGTTCCACATCACTGTACCTCGGCTCTTGGGGTTTGTAGGAGCTGGGAGTCATTCCCAACTCGTAACTCTTCAGATCTCTTCCTATTTTGTGTTCTAAGACTATAGTGGCTGCCATAGTGCCGTTCGTTCAAACCGACACTGTGTCGTCAATACTTGGTCAAATCGTGCGATCTAAATTGCCTATTGTAGGCGACAATAAGACGCTCCAGATCCAAGTTGAATCAAGTAATTTGAAGCTGTCACCAGAACGCTATGAACGTTTGAAGCCGCTGTGCAGAAATCCGACTGTGCACTCTATCTTTCGTTTTAAGCACATTGGAGCCTACTGTGACAATAACAGGAGAATGGGGCGGGGTGATGGAAAAAGGGAGAATGGGGCAGGGTGATGGAAAGCGGGAGAATGGGGCGGGGTGATGGAAAGCGGGAGAATGGGGAGGGCTGATGGAAAGCGGGAGAATGGGGCGGGGTGATCAAAGGAGGGAGAATGGGGCGGAGTGATTGAAGGAGGGAGAATGGGGCGGGGTGATGGAAGGAGGGAGAATGGGGCGGGGTGATGGAAAGTGGGAGAATGTGGCGGGGTGATGGAAAGCGGGAGAATGGGGCGGGGTGATGGAAAGCGGGAGAATGGGGCGGGGTGATGGAAAGCGGGAGGATGGGGCGGGGTGATGGAAGGAGGTAGAATGAGGCGGGGTGATGGAAGGAGAAGAATGGGGCGGGGTGATGGAAAGCGGGAGAATGGGGCGGGGTGATGGAAAGCAGAAGAATGGGGCGGAGTGATGGAAAGCGGGAGAATGGGGCGGGGTGATGGAAAGCGGGAGAATGGGGCGTGGTGATGGAAAGCGGGAGAATGGGGCGGGGTGATGGGAGAATGGGGCGGGGTGATGGAAAGCGGGAGAATGGGGCGGGGTGATGGAAAGCGGGAGAATGGGGCGGTGTGATGGAAGGAGGGAGAATGGGGCGGGATGATGGAAAGCGGGAGAATGGGGTGGGGTGATGGAAAACGGGAGAATGGGGTGGGGTGATGGAAAGCGGGAGAATGGGGCGGGGTGATGGAAATCGGGAGAATGGGGCGGGGTGATGGAAAGCAGGAGAATGGGGTGGGGTGATGGAAGGAGGGAGAATGGGGCGGGGTGATAGAAAGCGGGAGAATGTGGCGGGGTGATGGAAAGTGGGAGAATGGGGTGGGGTTATGGGAAGCGGGAGAATGGGGCGGGGTGATGGAAAGCGGGAGAATGGGGCGGGGTGATGGAAGGAGGGAGAATGGGGCGGGGTGATGGAAGGAGTGAGAACGGGGCGAGGTGACGGAAAGCGGGAGAATGGGGCGGGGTGATGGAAAGCGGGAGAATGGGGCTGGGTGATGGAAAGTGGGAGAAAGGGGCGGGGTGATGGAAAGCGGGAGAATGGGGCGGGCTGATGGAAAGCGGGAGAATAGGGCGGGGTGGTGGAAGGAGGGAGAATGGGGCGGGGTGATGGAAGGAGGGAGAAGGGGGCGGGGTGATGGAAAGCGGGAGAATGGGGCGGGGTGATGGAAAGCGGGAGAATGGGGCGGGGTGATGGAAAGCGGGAGAATGGGGCGGGGTGATGGAAAGCGGGAGAATGGGGCGGGCTAATAGAAAGCGGGAGAATGGGGCGGGGTGATGGAAGGAGGGAGAATGGGGCGGGTTGATGGAAGGAAGGAGAATGGGGCGGGGTGATGGAAAGTGGGAGAATGTGGCGGGGTGATGGAAAGCAGGAAAATGGGGCGGGGTGATGGAAAGCGGGAGAATGGGGCTGGGTGATGGAAAGCGGGAGAATGGGGCGGGGTGATGGAAGGAGGGAGAATGAGGCAGGGTGATGGAAGGAGGGAGAATGGGGCGGGGTGATGGAAAGCGGGAGAATGGGGCGGGGTGATGGAAAGCGGGAGAATGGGGCGGAGTGATGGAAAGCGGGACAATGGGGCGGGGTGATGGAAAGCGGGAGAATGGGGCGGGGTGATGGAAAGCGGGAGAATGGGGAGGGGTGTTGGAAAGCGGGAGAATGGGGCTGGGTGATGAAAAGCGGGAGAATGGGGCGGGGTGATGGAGAGCGGGAGAATGGGGCGGGGTGATGGAAATCGGGAGAATTGGGCGGGGTGATGGAAAGCGGGAGAACGGGGCGGAGTGATGGAAAGCGGGAGAATGGGGCGGGGTGATGGAAAGCGGGAGAATGGGGCGAGGTGATGGAAGGAGGGAGAATGGGGCGGGGTGATAGAAGGTGGGAGGATGGGGTGGGGTGATGGAATGCGGGAGAATGGGGCGGGGTGATGGAAAGCGGGAGAATGGGGCGGGGTGGTGGAAAGCAGGAGAATGGGGCGGGGTGATGGAAAGCAGGAGAATGGGGCGGGGTGATGGAAAACGGGAAAATGGGGCAGGGTGATGGAAAGCGGGAGAATGGGGTGGGGAGATGGAAAGCGGGAGAATGGGGCGGGGTGATGGAAGGAGGGAGAATGGGGCGGGGTGATGGAAGGAGGGAGAATGGGGCGGGGTGATGGAAAGTGGGAGAATGTGGCGGGGTGATGGAAAGCGGGAGATTGGGCTGGGGTTATGGGAAGCGGAGAATGGGGCGGGGTGATGGAAGGAGGGAGAATGGGGCGGGGTGATGGAAAGAGGGAGAATGGGGCGGGGTGATGGAAAGCGGGAGAATGGGGCGGGGTGATGGAAAGCGGTAGAATTAGGCGGGGTGATGGAAAGCGGGAGAACGGGGCGGGGTGATGGAAAGCGGGAGAATGGGGCGGGGTGATGGAAAGCAGGGGAATGGGGCGGGGTGATGGAAAGCGGGAGAATGGGGCGGGGTGATGGAAAGCGGGAGAATGGGGCGGGGTGATGGAAGGAGGGAGAATGGGGCGGGGTGATAGAAGGTGGGAGGATTAATTGGGGTGATGGAAAGCGGGAGAATGGGGCGGGGTGATGGAAAGCGGGAGAATGGGGCGGGGTGGAGGAAAGCAGGAGAATGGGGCGGGGTGATGGAAGGAGGGAGAATGGGGCGGGGTGATAGAAGGTGGGAGGATTAATTGGGGTGATGGAAAGCGGGAGAATGGGGCGGGGTGATGGAAAGCAGGAGAATGGGGCGGGGTGATGGAAAACGGCAAAATGTGGCGGGGTGATGGAAAGCGGGAGAATGGGGCAGGGTGATGGAAGGAGAGAGAAGGGGGCGGGGTGATGGAAAGTGAGAGAATGTGGCGGAATGATGGAAAGCGGGAGAATGGGGTGGGGTCATGGGAAGCGGGAGAATGGGGCAGGGTGATGGAAAGCGGGAGAATGGGGCAGGGTGATGGGAGGAGGGAGAATTGGGCGGGGTGATGGAAGGAGGGAGAATGGGGCGGGGTGATGGAAAGCGGGAGAATGGGGCGGAGTGATGGAAGGAGGGAGAATGGGGCAGGGTGATGGAAAGCGGGAGAATGGGGCGGGGTGATGGAAAGCGGGAGAATGGGGCGGGGTGATGGAAAGTGGGAGAATGGGGCGGGGTGATGGAAAGCAGGAAAATGGGGCGGGGTGATGGAAAGCGGGAGAATGGGGCTGGGTGATGGAAAGCGGGAGAATGGGGCGGGGCGATGGAAAGCGGGAGAATGGGGCGGGGTGATGGAAGGAGGGAGAATGAAGCAGGGTGATGGAAGGAGGGAGAATGGGGCGGGGTGATGGAAAGCGGGAGAATGGGGCGGGGTGATGGAAAGCGGGAGAATGGGGCGGAGTGATGGAAAGCGGGACAATGGGGCGGGGTGATGGAAAGCAGGAGAATGGGGCGGGGTGATGGAAAGCGGGAGAATGGGAAGGGGTGTTGGAAAGCGGGAGAATGGGGCATCACCCCGCCCAATTCTCCCGCTTTCCATCACCCCGCCCCATTCTCCCGCTTTCCATCACCCCGCCCCATTCTCCCTCTTTCCATCACCCCGTTCCATTCTCCCTCCTTCCATCACCCCGCCCCATTCTCCGCTTCCCATAACCCCAGCCCCATCTCCCGCTTTCCATCACCCCGCCACATTCTCCCACTTTCCATCACCCCGCCCCATTCTCCCTCCTTCCATCACCCCGCCCCATTCTCCCTCCTTCCATCACCCCGCCCCATTCTCCCGCTTTCCATCTCCCCGCCCCATTCTCCCGCTTTCCATCACCCTGCCCCATTTTCCCGTTTTCCATCACCCCGCCCCATTCTCCTGCTTTCCATCACCCCGCCCCATTCTCCTGCTTTCCACCACCCCGCCCCATTCTCCCGCTTTCCATCACCCCGCCCCATTCTCCCGCTTTCCATCACCCCGCCCCATTCTCCCGCTTTCCATCACCCCACCCCATCCTCCCACCTTCTATCACCCCGCCCCATTCTCCCTCCTTCCATCACCCCGCCCCATTCTCCCGCTTTCCATCACCCCGCCCCGTTCTCCCGCTTTCCATCACCCCGCCCAATTCTCCCGCTTTCCATCACCCCGCCCCATTCTCTCGCTTTCCATCACCCCGCCCCATTCTCCCTCTTTCCATCACCCCGCCCCATTCTCCCTCCTTCCATCACCTCGCCCCATTCTCCGCTTCCAATAACCCCAGCCCCATCTCCCGCTTTCCATCACCCCGCCACTTTCTCCCACTTCACCCCGCCCCATTCTCCCTCCTTCCATCACCCCGCCCCATTCTCCCTCCTTCCATCACCCCGCCCCATTCTCCCGCTTTCCATCACCCCACCCCATTCTCCCTCCTTCCATCACCCCGCCCAATTCTCCCTCCTCCCATCACCCGACCCCATTCTCCCGCTTTCCATCACCCTGCCCCATTCTCCCGCTTCCCATAACCCTACCCCATTCTCCCGCTTTCCATCACCCCGCCACATTCTCCCACTTTCCATCACCCCGCCCACTTCTCTCTCCTTCCATCACCCTGCCCCCTTCTCCCGCTTTCCATCACCCCGCCCCATTTTCCCGTTTTCCATCACCCCGCCCCATTCTCCTGCTTTCCATCACCCCGCCCCATTCTCCCGCTTTCCACCACCCCGACTCATTCTCCCGCTTTCCATCACCCCGCCCCATTCTCCCGCTTTCCATCACCCCACCCCATCCTCCCACCTTCTATCACCCCGCCCCATTCTCCCTCCTTCCATCACCCCGCCCCATTCTCTCGCTTTCCATCACCCCGCCCCATTCTCCCGCTTTCCATCACCCCGCCCCATTCCCCTGCTTTCCATCACCCTGCCCCATTCTCCCGCTTTCCATCACCCCGCCCCGTTCTCCCGCTTTCCATCACCCCGCCCAATTCTCCCGCTTTCCATCACCCCGCCCCATTCTCCCGCTTTCCATCACCCCGCCCCATTCTCCCTCTTTCCATCACCCCGCCCCATTCTCCCTCCTTCCATCACCCCGCCACATTCTCCCACTTTCCATCACCCCGCCCCATTCTCCCTCCTTCCATCACCCCGCCCCATTCTCCCTCCTTCCATCACCCCGCCCCATTCTCCCGCTTTCCATCAGCCCGCCCCATTCTCCCACTTTCCATCACCCTGCCCCATTCTCCTGCTTTCCATCACCCCGCCCCATTCTCCCGCTTTCATCAACCTGCCCCCTTCTCCCGCTTTGCATCACCCCGCCCCATTCTCCCGCATTCCATCACCCCGCCCCATTTTCCCGTTTTCCATCACCTCGCCCCATTCTTCTTGCTTCCATCACCCCGCCCCAATCTCCCTCCTTCCATCACCTCGTCCCATTCTCCCGCTTTCCATCTCCCCGCCCCATTCTCCCGCTTTCCATCACCCTGCCCCAGTCTCCCGCTTTCCATCACCCCGCCCCATTCTTCCGCTTCCCATCATCCCGCCCCGTTCCCCCGCTTTCCATCACCCCTCCCCATTCTCCCTCCTTCCATCACCCCGCCCTATTCTCCCGCTTTCCATCACCCGCCCCATTCTCCTGCTTTCCATCACCTCGCCCCATTCTCCCGCTTTCCATCACCCCGCCCCATTCTTCTGCCCTCCATCACCCTGCCCCATTCTCCCGCTTTCCATCACCCCGCACCATTCACCCGCTTTCCATCACCCGCCCCATCTCCCGCTTTCCATCACCCCGCCCCATTCTCCCGCTCTCCACCAACCCCGCCCCATTCTCCCGCTTTTCATCACCCCGCCCCATTCTCCCGCTTTCCAACACCCCTCCCCATTCTCCCGCTTTCCATCACCCCGCCCCATTCTCCCGCTTTCCATCACCCCGCCCCATTGTCCCGCTTTCCATCACTCCGCCCCATTCTCCCGCTTTCCATCACCCCGCCCCATTCTCCCGCTTTCCATCACCCCGCCCCATTCACCCTCCTTCCATCACCCTGCCTCATTCTCCCTCCTTCCATCACCCCGCCCTATTCTCCCGCTTTCCATCACCCCGCCCCATTCTCCCGCTTTCCATCACCCAGCCCCATTCTCCCGCTTTCCATCACCCCGCCCCATTTTCCCGCTTTCCATCACCCCGCCCCATTCTCCCGCTTTCCATCACCCCGCCCCATTCTCCCGCTTTCCATCACCCCGCCCCATTCTCCCGCTTTCCATCACCCCGCCCCATTCTCCCTCCTTCCATCACCCCGCCCCATTCTCCCGCTTTCCATCACCCCGCCCCATTCTCCCTCCTTCCATCACCCCGCCCAATTCTCCCTCCTCCCATCACCCTACCCCATTCTCCCGCTTTCCATCACCCTGCCCCATTCTCCCGCTTCCCATAACCCTACCCCATTCTCCCGCTTTCCATCACCCCGCCACATTCTCCCACTTTCCATCACCCCGCCCACTTCTCTCTCCTTCCATCACCCTGCCCCATTCTCCCGCTTTCCATCACCCCGCCCCATTTTCCCGTTTTCCATCACCCCGCCCCATTCTCCTGCTTTCCATCACCCCGCCCCATTCTCCCGCTTTCCACCACCCCGACTCATTCTCCCGCTTTCCATCACCCCGCCCCATTCTCCCGCTTTCCATCACCCCACCCCATCCTCCCACCTTCTATCACCCCGCCCCATTCTCCCTCCTTCCATCACCCCGCCCCATTCTCTCGCTTTCCATCACCCCGCCCCATTCTCCCGCTTTCCATCACCCCGCCCCATTCCCCTGCTTTCCATCACCCTGCCCCATTCTCCCGCTTTCCATCACCCCGCCCCGTTCTCCCGCTTTCCATCACCCCGCCCAATTCTCCCGCTTTCCATCACCCCGCCCCATTCTCCCGCTTTCCATCACCCCGCCCCATTCTCCCTCTTTCCATCACCCCGCCCCATTCTCCCTCCTTCCATCACCCCGCCCCATTCTCCGCTTCCCATAACCCCAGCCCCATCTCGCGCTTTCCATCACCCCGCCACATTCTCCCACTTTCCATCACCCCGCCCCATTCTCCCTCCTTCCATCACCCCGCCCCATTCTCCCTCCTTCCATCACCCCGCCCCATTCTCCCGCTTTCCATCTCCCCGCCCCATTCTCCCGCTTTCCATCACCCTGCCCCATTCTCCCGCTTTCCATCACCCCGCCCCATTCTTCCGCTTCCCATCATTCCGCCCCATTCCCCCGCTTTCCATCACCCCTCCCCATTCTCCCTCCTTCCATCACCCCGCCCCATTCTCCCGCTTTCCATCACCCGCCCCATTCTCCTGCTTTCCATCACCTCGCCCCATTCTCCCAGTTTCCATCACCCCGCCCCATTCTTCTGCTTTCCATCACCCCGCCCCATTCTCCCGCTTTCCATCACCCCACACCATTCACCCGCTTTCCATCACCCACCCCATCTCCCGCTTTCCATCACCCCGTCCCATTCTTCCGCTCTCCATCACCCCGCCCCATTCTCCCGCTTTTCATCACCCCGCCCCATTCTCCCGCTTTCCAACACCCCTCCCCATTCTCCCACTTTCCATCACCCCGCCCCATTCTCCCGCTTTCCATCACCCCGCCCCATTGTCCCGCTTTCCATCACTCCACCCCATTCTCCCGCTTTCCATCGCCCCGCCCCATTCTCCCGCTTTCCATCAGCCCGGCCCATTCTCCCTCCTTCCATCACCCTGCCTCATTCTCCCTCCTTCCATCGCCCCGCCCCATGCTCCCGCTTTCCATCACCCCGCCCCATTCTCCCGCTTTCCATCACCCAGCCCCATTATCCCGCTTTCCATCACCCCGCCCCATTTTCCCGCTTTCCATCACCCCGCCCCATTCTCCCGCTTTCCATCACCCTTCCCCAATCCCCCGCTTTCCATCACCCCGCCCCGTTCTCCCGCTTTCCATCACCCCACCCCATTCTCCCTCCTTCCATCACCCCGCCCCATTTTCCCGCTTTCCATCACCCCGCCCCATTCTCCCTCCTTCCATCACCCCGCCCCATTTTCCCGCTTTCCATCACCCTGCCCCTATCTTCCGCTTTCCATCACTCCGCCCCATTCTCCCTCCTTCCATCACCCCGCCCCATTCTCCCGCTTTCCATCACCCCGCCCCATTCTCCCGCTTTCCATCACCCCGCCCCATTCTCCCGCTTTCCATCACCCCGCCCCATTCTCCCGCTTTCCATCACCCCGCCCCATTCTCCCGCTTTCCATCACCCCGCCCCATTCTCCCTCCTTCCATCACCCCGCCCTATTCTCCCGCTTTCTATCACCCCGCCCCATTCTCCCTCCTTCCATCACCCCGCCCCATTCTCCCTCCTTCCATCACCCCGCCCCATTCTCCCGCTTTCCATCACCCCGCCCCATTCTCCTGCTTCCCATAACCCCACCCCATTCTCCCGCTTTCCATCACCTCGCCACATTCTCCCGCTTTCCATCACCCCGCCCCATTCTCCTTCCTTCCATCACCCCGCCCCATTCTCCCTCCTTCCATCACCCCGCCCCATTCTCCCGCTTTCCATCAGCCCGCCCCATTCTCCCGCTTTCCATCACCCCGCCCCATTCTTCCGCTTTCCATCACCCCGCCCCATTCTCCCGCTTTCCATGACCACGCCCCATTCTCCCGCTTTCCATCACCCCTCCCCCCCTTCTCCCTCCTTCCATCACCCCGCCCCATTCTCCCTCCTTCCATCACCCCGCCCCATTCTCCCGCTTTCCATCAGCCCGCCCCATTCTTCCGCTTTCCATCACCCCGCCCCTTTCTCCCGCTTTCCATTTCCCCGTCCCATTCTCCCGCTTTCCATCACCCAGCCCCATTCTCCCGCTTTCCATCACCCCGCCCCATTCTTCCGCTTCCCATCATCCCGCCCCATTCCCCCGCTTTCCATCACCGTGCCCCAATCTCCCGCTTTCCATCACCCTGCCCCAATCTTCCGCTTTCCATCACCCCGCCCCATTCTCCCTCCTTCCATCACCCCGCCCCATTCTCCCGCTTTCCATCACCCCGCCCCATTCTCCCGCTTTCCATCACCCCGCCCCATTCTCCCGCTTTCCATCACCCTGCCCCATTCTCCCGCTTTCCATCACCCCGCCCCATTCTCCCGCTTTCCATCACCCCGCCCCATTCTCCCTCCTTCCATCACCCCGCCCCATTCTCCCTCCTTCCATCACCCCGCCCCATTCTCTCGCTTTCCATCACCCCGCCCCATTCTCCCGCTTCCCATAACCCCACCCCATTCTCCGGCTTTCCATCACCCCGCCCCATTCTCCTTCCTTCCATCACCCTGCCCCATTCTCCCTCCTTCCATCAGCCCGCCCCATTCTCCCGCTTTCCATCAGCCCGCCCCATTCTCCCGCTTTCCATCACCCCGCCCCTTTCTCCCGCTTTCCATCACCCCGCCCCATTCTCCCGCTTTCCATCACCCCGCCCCATTCTCCCGCTTTCCATCACCCTTCTCCCTCCTTCCATCACCCCGCCCCATTCTCCCTCCTTCCATCACCCCGCCCCATTCTCCCGCTTTCCATCAGCCCGCCCCATTCTCCCGCTTTCCATCACCCCGCCCCTTTCTCCCGCTTTCAATCTCCCCGCCCCATTCTCCCGCTTTCCATCACCCCGCCTCATTCTCCCGCTTTCCATCACCCCGCCCCATTCTTCCGCTTCCCATCATCCCGCCCCCTTCCCCCGCTTTCCATCACCCTTCCCCATTCTCCCTCCTTCCATCACCCCGCCCCATTCTCCCGCTTTCCATCACCCGCCCCATTCTCCCACTTTCCATCACCCCGCCCCATTCTCCCTCCTTCCATCACCCCGCCTCATTCTCCCTCCTTCCATCACCCCGCCACATTCTTCCGCTTTCCATCACCCCGCCCCATTCTTCCGCTTTCCATCACCCCGCCCCATTCACCCACTTTCCATCACCCGCCCCATTTTCCCGCTTTCCATCACCCCGCCCCATTCTCCCGCTTTCCATCAACCCGCCCCATTCTCCCGCTTTTTATCACCCCGCCCCATTCTCCCGCTTTCCAACACCCCGCCCCATTCTCCCGCTTTCCATCACCCCGCCCCATTCTCCCGCTTTCCATCACTCCGCCCCATTCTCCCGCTTTCCATCACCCCGCCCCATTCTCCCACTTTCCATCACCCCGCCCCATTCTCCCTCCTTCCATCACCCCGCCTCATTCTCCCTCCTTCCATCACCCTGCCCCATTCTCCCTCTTTCCATCACCCCGCCCCATTCTCTCGCTTTCCATCACCCAGCCCCATTCTCCCGCTTTCCATCACCCCGCCCCATTTTCCCGCTTTCCATCACCCCGCCCCATTCTCCAGCTTTCCATCACCCTGCCCCAATCTCCCGCTTTCCATCACCCCGCCCCATTCTCCCTCCTTCCATCACCCCGCCGCATTCTCCCGCTTTCCATCACCCCGCCCCATTCTCCCGCTTTCCATCACCCAGCCCCATTCTCCCGCTTTCCATCACCCCGCCCCATTCTCACTCCTTCCATCACCCCGCCCCATTCTCCCGCTTTCCATCAACCCGCCCAATTCTCCCGCTTTCCATCTCCCCGCCCCATTCTCCCGCTTTCCATCTCCCCGCCCCTTTCTCCCGCTTTCCATCACCCTGCCCCATTCTCCCGCTTTCCATCACCCCGCCTCATTCTCCCACTTTCCATCACCCCGCCCCATTCTCCCTCCTTCCATAACCCCAGCCCCATCTCCCGCTTCCCATAACCCCAGCCCCTTTCTCCCGCTTTCCATCACCCTGCCCCATTCTCCCGCTTTCCATCACCCCGCCTCATTCTCCCGCTTTCCATCACCTCGCCCCATTCTCACTCCTTCCATCACCCCGCCACATTCTCCCTCCTTCCATCACCCCGCCCCATTCTCCCGCTTTCCATCACCCCGCCCCATTCTCCCGCTTCCCATAACCCCACCCCATTCTCCCACTTTCCATCACCCCGCCACATTGTCCTGCTTTCTATCACCCCGCCCCATTCTCCCTCCTTCCATCACCCCACCCCATTCTCCTGCTTTCCATCACCCCGCCCCATTCTCCCGATTTCCATCAACCCGCCCCATTCTCCCGCTTTCCATCACCCCGCCCCATTCTCCCGCTTTCCATCATCCCACCCCATTCTCCCTCCTTCCATCACACCGCCCCATTCTCCCGCTTTCCATCACCCCGCCCCATTCTCCCGCTTTCCATCACCCCGCCCCATTCTCCCATCACCCCGCCCCATTCTCCCGCTTTCCATCACCACGCCCCATTCTCCCGCTTTCCATCACCCCGCCCCATTCTCCCGCTTTCCATCACTCCGCCCCATTCTCCCGCTTTCCATCACCCCGCCCCATTCTCCTTCCTTCCATCACCCCGCCCCATTCTCCCTCCTTCCATCACCCCGCCCCATTCTCCCGCTTTCCATCAGACCGCCCCATTCTCCCGCTTTCCATCACCCCGCCCCATTCTCCCGCGTTCCATCACCCCGCCCCATTCTCCCGCTTTCCATCACCACGCCCCATTCTCCCGCTTTCCATCACCCCCCCCCCCCTTCTCCCTCCTTCCATCACCCCGCCCCATTCTCCCTCCTTCCATCACCCCGCCCCATTCTCCCGCTTTCCATCAGCCCGCCCCATTCTTCCGCTTTCCATCACCCCGCCCCTTTCTCCCGCTTTCCATCTCCCCGCCCCATTCTCCCGCTTTCCATCACCCCGCCCCATTCTCCCGCTTTCCATCACCCCGCCCCATTCTTCCGCTTCCCATCATCCCGCCCCATTCCCCCGCTTTCCATCACCGTGCCCCATTTTCCCGCTTTCCATCACCCCGCCCCAATCTCCCGCTTTCCATCACCCTGCCCCAATCTTCCGCTTTCCATCACCCCGCCCCATTCTCCCTCCTTCCATCACCCCGCCCCATTCTCCCGCTTTCCATCACCCCGCCCCATTCTCCCGCTTTCCATCACCCCGCCCCATTCTCCCGCTTTCCATCACCCTGCCCCATTCTCCCGCTTTCCATCACCCCGCCCCATTCTCCCGCTTTCCAGCACCCCGCCCCATTCTCCCTCCTTCCATCACCCCGCCCCATTCTCCCGCTTTCCATCACCCCGCCCCATTCTCCCGCCTTCCATCACCCCGCCCCATTCTCCCTCCTTCCATCACCCCGCCCCATTCTCCCGCTTTCCATCACCCCGCCCCATTCTCCCGCTTCCCATAACCCCACCCCATTCTCCCGCTTTCCATCACCCCGCCACATTCTCCCGCTTTCCATCACCCCGCCCCATTCTCCTTCCTTCCATCACCCCGCCCCATTCTCCCTCCTTCCATCAGCCCGCCCCATTCTCCCGCTTTCCATCAGCCCGCCCCATTCTCCCGCTTTCCATCACCCCGCCCCATTCTCCCACTTTCCATCACCCCGCCCCATTCTCCCGCTTTCCATCACCCCGCCCCATTCTCCCGCTTTCCATCACCCCGCCCCCTTCTCCCTCCTTCCATCACCCCGCCCCATTCTCCCTCCTTCCATCACCCCGCCCCATTCTCCCGCTTTCCATCACCGCGCCCCATTCTTCCGCTTCCCATCATCCCGCCCCATTCCCCCGCTTTCCATCACCCCTCCCCATTCTCCCTCCTTCCATCACCCCGCCCCATTCTCCCGCTCTCCATCACCCCGCCCCATTCTCCCACTTTCCATCACCCCGCCCCATTCTCCCGCTTTCCATCACCCCGCCCCATTCTCCCGCTTTCCATCACCCCGCCCCTTTCTCCCGCTTTCAATCTCCCCGCCCCATTCTCCCGCTTTCCATCACCCCGCCCCATTCTCCCGCTTTCCATCACCCCTCCCCTTTCTCCCTCCTTCCATCACCCCGCCCCATTCTCCCGCTTTCCATCACCCTCCCCATTCTCCCGCTTTCCCGCCACATTCTTCCGCTTTCCATCAACCCGCCCCATTCTCCCGCTTTCCATCACCCCGCCCCATTCACCCACTTTCCATCACCTGCCCCATTCTTCCGCTTTCCATCACTCCGCCCCATTCTCCCGCTTTCCATCAACCCGCCCCATTCACGTGGACCTGGTCGTGGACCTGGTCGTGGTCGTGGACCTGGTCGTGGACGTGGACCTGGTCGTGGACGTGGACGTGGACGTGGACGTGGACGTGGACGTGGACATGGACGTGGACGTGGACGTGGACGTGGACGTGGACAAGGACATGGACGTGGACGTGGATGTGGACGTGGACGTGGACGTGGACATGGACGTGGACGTGGACGTGGACGTGGAGGACTTGGAGGTGGACATGGACGTGGACGTGGACGTAGACGTGGACGTGGACGTGGACATGGACGTGGACGTGGACGTGGACGTGGAAAGGGACATGGACGTGGACATGGACATGGAAGTGGACATGGAGATGGACGTGGACGTGGACGTGGACGTGGACGTGGACGTGGACGTGGACATGGTCGTGGACGTGGACGTGGACGTGGACGTGGACGTGGACATGGACGTGGACTTGGATGTGGAGGACGTGGACATGGACGTGGACGTTGACGTGGACGTGGACCTGGACGTGGACGTGGAGATGGACGTGGAAGTGGACATGGACGTGGACGTGGACTTGGACGTGGACGTGGACGTGGACATGGACGTGGACGTGGACGTGGAGATGGTCGTGGACGTGGACATCGACGTGGACGTGGACGTGGACATGGACGTGGACGTGGACGTGGACGTGGACGTGGACGTGGTCGTGGACGTGGTCGTGGACGTGGACGTGGACGTGGAGTGGACGTGGACGTGGACGTGGACGTGGACGTGGACGTGGACGTGGTCGTGGACGTGGTCGTGGACGTGGACGTGGACGTGGTCGTGGACGTGGACGTGGACGTGGACGTGGACGTGGACGTGGACGTGTGGACGTGGACGTGGACGTGGACGTGGACGTGGACCTGGACGTGGACGTGGACGTGGACGCGGACCTGGTCGTGGACGTGGACATGGACGTGGACGTGGACATGGACGTGGAGGACGTGGACATGGACGTGGACGTTGACATGGACGTGGACGTGGACGTGGACGTGGACGTGGACGTGGACGTGGACGTGGACGTAGACTTGGACGTGGACGTGGACGTGGACGTGGACGTGGACGTGGACGTGGACGTGGACGCGGACGTGGTCGTGGACGTGGTCATGGACGTGGACGTGGAGGTGGACGTGGACGTGGAGGTGGACGTGGACGTGGACGTAGACGTGGACGTGGACGTGGACGTGGACGTGGACGTGGACGTGGACGTGGACGTGGACGTGGACGTGGACGTGGACCTGGTCGTGGACGTGGACGTGGACGTGGACGTGGACGTGGACGTAGACGTGGAGGACGTGGACGTGGACGTGGACGTGGACGTGGACGTGGACGTAGACGTGGAGGACGTGGACGTGGATGTTGACGTGGAGAAGGACGTGGACGTGGATGTTGACGTGGAGATGGACGTGAACATGGACGTGGACGTGGACGTAGACTTGGACGTGGACGTGGACGTGGACGTGGACGTGGACGTGGACATGGACGTGGACGTGGACGTGGACGTGGACGTGGACGTGGACGTGGACAAGGACCTGGACGTGGACGTGGACGTGGACGTGGACATGGTCATGGACGTGGACGTGGACGTGGACGTGGACGTGGACGTGGACATGGACGTGGAGGACGTGGACATGGACGTGGACGTTGACGTGGACGTGGACGTGGACGTGGAGATGGACGTGGACGTGGACGTGGACGTGGACGTAGACTTGGACGTGGACGTGGACGTGGACGTGGACGTGGATGTGGACGTGGAGATGGACGTGGACATGGACGTGGACGTGGACGTAGACTTGGACGTGGACGTGGACGTGGACGTGGACGTGGACGTGGTCGTGGACGTGGACGTGGACCTGGACGTGGACGTGGACGTGGACGTGGACGTGGACGTGTGGACGTGGACGTGGACGTGGACGTGGACGTGGACGTGGACCTGGACGTGGACGTGGACGTGGACGTGGACCTGGACCTGGACGTGGACGTGGACGTGGACCTGGTCGTGGACGTGGACGTGGACGTGGACGTGGACGTGGACATGGACGTGGAGGACGTGGACATGGACGTGGACGTTGACGTGGACGTGGACGTGGACGTGGAGATGGACGTGGACGTGGACGTGGACGTAGACTTGGACGTGGACGTGAACGTGGACGTGGACGTGGACATGGACGTGGACGTGGACGTGGACGTGGACGTGGACGTGGACGTGGACGTGGACCTGGACGTGGACGTGGACGTGGACGTGGACGTGGTCGTGGACGTGGACGTGGACGTGGACGTGGACGTGGACGTGGACGTGGTCGTGGACGTGGAGAAGGACGTGGACGTGGACGTGGACGTGGACGTGGACGTGGACGTGGACGTGGACCTGGACGTGGACGTGGACGTGGACGTGGACGTGGACGTGGACGTGGACGTGGACGTGGACGTGGACGTGGACGTGGACGTGGACGTGGACGTGGACGTGGACGTGGACGTGGACGTGGACATGGACGTGGACGTGGACGTGGACGTGGACGTGGACGTGGACATGGACGTGGACATGGACGTGGACGTTGACGTGGACGTGGACGTGGACGTGGAGATGGACGTGGACGTGGACGTGGACGTGGACGTAGACTTGGACGTAGACGTGGACGTGGACGTGGACGTGGATGTGGACGTGGAGATGGACGTGGACATGGACGTGGACGTGGACGTAGACTTGGACGTGGACATGGACGTGGACGTGGACGTGGACGTGGACGTGGTCGTGGACGTGGACGTGGACCTGGACGTGGACGTGGACGTGGACGTGGACATGGTCGTGGACGTGGACGTGGACGTGGACGTGGACGTGGACGTGGAGGACGTGGACGTGGACGTGGTGGAGGACGTGGACGTGGACGTGGACGTGGACGTGGACGTAGACGTGGAGGACGTGGACATGGACGTGGACGTGGACGTGGACGTAGACGTGGACGTGGACGTGGACGTGGACGTGGACGTGGACGTAGACGTGGACGTGGACGTGGACGTGGACGTGGACGTGGACGTGGACGTGGACGTGGACGTGGACGTGGACTTGGACGTGGACGTGGACGTGGACGTGGACGTGGACGTGGTGGACGTGGACATGGACGTGGACGTGGACGTGGACGACTTGGAGGTGGACATGGACGTGGACGTGGACGTGGACGACTTGGAGGTGGACATGGACGTGGACGTGGACGTGGACGTGGACGTGGACATGGACGTTGACCTGGACGTGGACATGGACGTGGACGTGGACATGGACGTGGACGTGGACGTGGACGTGGACGTGGACGTGGACGTGGACGTTGACGTGGACGTGGACGTGGACGTGGACGTGGACGTGGACGTTGACGTGGACGTGGACGTGGACGTGGACGTGGACGTGGACGTGGACGTGAACGTGGACCTGGTCGTGGACGTGGACGTGGACGTGGACGTGGACGTGGAGGTGGAGGACGTGGACCTGGACGTGGACATGGACGTGGACGTGGACGTGGACGTTGACGTGGACGTGGACGTGGACGTGGACGTGGACATGGACGTGGACATAGACGTGGACATGGACGTGGACGTGGACGTGGACGTGGACGTGGACGTGGACATGGACGTGGACGTGGACGTGGACATGGACGTGGACATCGACGTGGACGTGGACGTGGACGTGGACGTGGACGTGGACATGGACGTGGACGTGGACGTGGAGGACTTGGAGGTGGACATGGACGTGGACGTGGACGTGGACGTGGACGTGGACGTGGACGTGGACGTGGACATGGACGTGTACGTGGACATGGACGTGGACGTACGTGGACATGGACGTGGACGTGGACGTGGACGTGGACGTGAACGTGGAGATGGTCGTGGACGTGGACATGGACGTGGACGTGGACATGGACGTGGACGTGGACGTGGACGTGGACATGGACGTGGACGTGGACGTGGACTTGGAGGACGTGGACATGGACGTGGACGTGGACGTGGACGTGGACGTGAACGTGGACGTGGTCGTGGACGTGGACGTGGACGTGGACATGGACGTGGACGTGGACATGGACGTGGACGTTGACGTGGACGTGGACGTGGACATGGACGTGGAGGTGGACGTGGAGGTGGACATGGAGGTGGACATGGACGTGGACGTGGACGTGGACGTGGACGTGGACGTGGACGTGGACATGGACGTGGACGTGGACATGGACGTGGACGTGGACGTGGACGTGGACGTGGACGTGGACGTGGACGTGGACGTGGACGTGGACGTGGACGTGGACGTGGACGTGGACGTGGACGTGGACGTGGACGTGGACGTGGACGTGGACGTGGACCTGGACGTGGACGTGGACGTGGACGTGGACCTGGACGTGGTCGTGGACGTGGACGTGGACGTGGACGTGGACGTGGACGTGGACGTGGACGTGGACGTGGACGTGGACGTGGACGTGGACGTGGACGTGGACGTGGACGTGGACGTGGACGTGGACGTGGACGTGGACGTGGAGGTGGACGTGGACGTGGAGGTGGACGTGGACGTGGACGTGGAGGTGGACGTGGACGTGGACGTAGACTTGGACGTGGACGTGGACGTGGACGTGGACGTGGACGTGGACGTGGTCGTGGACGTGGACGTGGACCTGGACGTGGACGTGGACGTGGAGGACGTGGACGTGGACGTGGACGTGGACGTGGACGTAGACGTGGAGGACGTGGACATGGACGTGGACGTGGACGTGGACGTAGACGTGGACGTGGACGTGGACGTGGACGTGGACGTGGACGTAGACGTGGACGTGGACGTGGACGTGGACGTGGACGTGGACGTGGACGTGGACGTGGACGTGGACGTGGACTTGGACGTGGACGTGGACGTGGACGTGGACGTGGACGTGGTGGACGTGGACATGGACGTGGACGTGGACGTGGACGACTTGGAGGTGGACATGGACGTGGACGTGGACGTGGACGTGGACGTGGACATGGACGTGGACATGGACATGGACATGGACGTGGACGTGGACATGGACGTGGACGTGGACGTGGACGTGGACGTGGACGTGGACGTGGACGTTGACGTGGACGTGGACGTGGACGTGGACGTGGACGTGGACGTGGACGTGAACGTGGACCTGGTCGTGGACGTGGACGTGGACGTGGACGTGGACGTGGAGGTGGAGGACGTGGACCTGGACGTGGACATGGACGTGGACGTGGACGTGGACGTTGACGTGGACGTGGACGTGGACGTGGACATGGACGTGGACATAGACGTGGACATGGACGTGGACGTGGACGTGGACGTGGACGTGGACGTGGACATGGACGTGGACGTGGACGTGGACATGGACGTGGACATCGACGTGGACGTGGACGTGGACGTGGACGTGGACATGGACGTGGACGTGGACGTGGAGGACTTGGAGGTGGACATGGACGTGGACGTGGACGTGGACGTGGACGTGGACATGGACGTGGACGTGGACGTGGACGTGGACGTGGACATGGACGTGTACGTGGACATGGACGTGGACGTACGTGGACATGGACGTGGACGTGGACGTGGACGTGGACGTGAACGTGGAGATGGTCGTGGACGTGGACATGGACGTGGACGTGGACATGGACGTGGACGTGGACGTGGACGTGGACATGGACGTGGACGTGGACGTGGACTTGGAGGACGTGGACATGGACGTGGACGTGGACGTGGACGTGGACGTGAACGTGGACATGGTCGTGGACGTGGACGTGGACGTGGACATGGACGTGGACGTGGACATGGACGTGGACGTTGACGTGGACGTGGACGTGGACATGGACGTGGAGGTGGACGTGGAGGTGGACATGGAGGTGGACATGGACGTGGACGTGGACGTGGACGTGGACGTGGACGTGGACGTGGACGTGGACATGGACGTGGACGTGGACATGGACGTGGACGTGGACATGGACGTGGACGTGGACGTGGACGTGGACGTGGACGTGGACGTGGACGTGGACCTGGACGTGGACGTGGACGTGGACATGGACCTGGTCGTGGACGTGGACGTGGACGTGGACGTGGACGTGGGCGTGGACGTGGACGTGGACGTGGACGTGGACGTGGACGTGGACGTGGAGGACGTAGACATGGACGTGGACGTGGACGTGGATGTGGACATGGACGTGGACATGGAGGTGGACATGGACGTGGACATGGACGTGGAGGTGGACATGGAGGTGGACATGGACGTGGACGTAGACGTAGACGTAGACGTGGACGTGGACGTGGACATGGACGTGGACGTGGACGTGGACGTGGACGTGGACGTGGACGTGGACGTAGACGTGGACGTGGACGTGGACGTGGACGTGGGCGTGGACGTGGGCGTGGACGTGGTCGTGGACGTGGACGTGGTCGTGGACGTGGTCGTGGACGTGGACATGGACGTGGACGTGGACGTGGTCGTGGACGTGGACGTAGACGTGGACGTGGACGTGGACGTGGACATGGACGTGGACATGGACGTGGACGTGGACGTGGAGGTGGACGTGGACGTGGACATGGACGTGGAGGTGGACGACGTGGACGTGGACATGGACGTGGACGTGGACGTGGACGTGGACGTGGACGTGGACCTGGTCGTGGACGTGGTCGTGGACGTGGACGTGGACGTGGAGGACTTGGAGGTGGACGTGGACGAGGACTTGGACGTGGACGTGGACGTGGACGTGGACGTGGACGTGGAAGTGGACATGGACGTGGACATGGACTAGACGTGGACATGGACGTGGACGTGGACGTGGACGTGGACGTGGACATGGACGTGGACGTGGACGTGGACATGGTCGTGGACGTGGACGTTGACGTGGACGTGGACATGGACGTGGACGTGGACGTGGACGTGGACATGGACGTGGACGTGGACGTGGAGGACGTGGACATGGACGTGGACGTTGACCTGGACCTGGACGTGGACGTGGAGATGGACGTGGACGTGGACGTGGACGTGGACGTGGACGTGGACTTGGACGTGGACGTGGACGTGGACATGGACGTGGACGTGGACGTGGACGTGGACATGGACGTGGACGTGGACGCGTGGACGTGGACGTGGAGGACTTGGAGGTGGACGTGGACGTGGACGTGGACGTGGACGTGGACGTGGACATGGACGTGGACGTGGACGTGGACGTGGACGTGGACGTGGACATGGACGTGGAGGTGGACGTGGACATGGACGTGGACGTGGACGTGGACGTGGACGTGGACGTGAAGATGGACGTGGAGGTGGACGTGGACGTGGACGTGGACGTGGACGTGGAAGTGGACGTGGACATGGACGTGGACGTGGACGTGGACATGGACGTGGACGTGGACGTGGACATGGAGGTGGACGTGGAGGTGGACGTGGACGTGGACGTGGACGTGGACCTGGACGTGGACGTGGACGTAGACGTGGACGAGGATTGGACGTGGACGTGGACGTGGACATGGACGTGGACGTGGACGTTGACATGGACGTGGACGTGGACGTGGACGTGGACGTGGACATGGACGTGGACGTGGACATGGACGTGGACGTGGACGTGGACGTGGACGTGGACGTGGACGTGGACATGGACGTGGACGTGGACGTGGACATGGACGTGGACGTGGACGTGGACGTGGACGTGGACGTGGACTTGGACGTGGACTTGGACGTGGACGTGGACGTGGACGTGGACGTGGACGTGGACATGGACGTGGACGTGGACGTGGACGTAGACGTGGACGTGGACGTGGACGTGGACGTGGTGGTGGACGTGGACGTGGTCGTGGACGTGGACGTGGACCTGGACGTGGACGTGGACGTGGACGTGGACGTGGACGTGTGGACGTGGACGTGGACGTGGACCTGGACGTGGACGTGGACGTGGACGTGGACGAGGACGTGGACCTGGACGTGGACGTGGACCTGGTCGTGGACGTGGACGTGGACGTGGACGTGGATGTGGACGTGGACATGGACGTGGAGGACGTGGACATGGACGTGGACGTTGACGTGGACGTGGACGTGGACGTGGAGATGGACGTGGACGTGGACGTGGACGTGGACGTAGACTTGGACGTGGACGTGGACGTGGACGTGGACGTGGACGTGGACGTGGACGTGGACGTGGACGTGGACGTGGACGTGGACGTGGACGTGGACGTGGACGTGGACGTGGACGTGGACGTGACCTGGACGTGGACGTGGACGTGGACGTGGACATGGTCGTGGACGTGGACGTGGACGTGGACGTGGACATGGACGTGGACGTGGACGTGGAGGACGTGGACATGGACGTGGACGTTGACGAGGACGTGGACCTGGACGTGGACCTGGAGATGGACGTGGACGTGGACGTGGACGTGGACGTGGACTTGGACGTGGACGTGGACGTGGACATGGACGTGGACGTGGACATGGACGTGGACGTGGACGTGGACATGGACGTGGACGTGGACGTGGACGTGGACATGGACGTGGACGTGGACGTGGAGGACTTGGAGGTGGACATGGACGTGGAGTGGACATGACGTGGACGTGGACGTGGACATGGACGTGGACGTGGACGTGGACTAGACGTGGACGTGGACGTGGACATGGACGTGGACGTGGACGTGGACGTGGAGGTGGACATGGACGTGGACGTGGACGTGGACATGGACGTGGACGTGGACGTGGACGTGGACGTGGACGTGAACATGGACGTGGAGGTGGACGTGGACGTGGACATGGACGTGGACGTGGAAGTGGACGTGGACGTGGACGTGGACGTGGACATGGACGTGGACGTGGACGTGGAGATGGACGTGGACGTGGACGTGGACATGGAGGTGGACGTGGACGTGGACCTGGACGTGGACGTGAACGTGGACGTGGACGAGGAGTGGACGTGGACGTGGACGTGGACATGGACGTGGACGTGGACGTTGACATGGACGTGGACGTGGACGTGGACGTGGACGTTGACGTGGACGTGGACGTGGACGTGGACGTGGACGTGGACGTGGACGTGGAGGTGGACGTGGACGTGGACGTGGACGTGGTCGTGGTCGTGGACGTGGACACGGACGTGGTCGTGGACGTGGACACGGACGTGGACGTGGACGTGGACACGGACGTGGACACGGACGTGGTCGTGGACGTGGACACGGACGTGGACGTGGACGTGGACACGGACGTGGACGTGGACGTGGACGGGGACGTGGACGTGGACGTGGACGGGGACGTGGACATGGACGTGGACGTGGACGTGGACGTGGACGTGGAGGACGTAGACATGGACGTGGACGTGGACGTGGACGTGGACATGGACGTGGACATGGAGGTGGACATGGACGTGGACATGGACGTGGAGGTGGACATGGAGGTGGACATGGACGTGGACGTAGACGTAGACGTAGACGTGGACGTGGACGTGGACATGGACGTGGACGTGGACGTGGACGTGGACGTGGACGTGGACGTGGACATGGACGTGGACGTGGACGTGGACGTGGACGTGGACGTGGACGTGGACGTGGACGTGGGCGTGGACGTGGGCGTGGACGTGGTCGTGGACGTGGACGTGGTCGTGGACGTGGTCGTGGACGTGGACATGGACGTGGACGTGGACGTGGTCGTGGACGTGGACGTAGACGTGGACGTGGACGTGGACGTGGACATGGACGTGGACATGGACGTGGACGTGGACGTGGAGGTGGACGTGGACGTGGACATGGACGTGGAGGTGGACGACGTGGACGTGGACATGGACGTGGACGTGGACGTGGACGTGGACGTGGACGTGGACCTGGTCGTGGACGTGGTCGTGGACGTGGACGTGGACGTGGAGGACTTGGAGGTGGACGTGGACGAGGACTTGGACGTGGACGTGGACGTGGACGTGGACGTGGACGTGGAAGTGGACATGGACGTGGACATGGACTAGACGTGGACATGGACGTGGACGTGGACGTGGACGTGGACGTGGACATGGACGTGGACGTGGACGTGGACATGGTCGTGGACGTGGACGTTGACGTGGACGTGGACATGGACGTGGACGTGGACGTGGACGTGGACATGGACGTGGACGTGGACGTGGAGGACGTGGACATGGACGTGGACGTTGACGTGGACCTGGACGTGGACGTGGAGATGGACGTGGACGTGGACGTGGACGTGGACGTGGACGTGGACTTGGACGTGGACGTGGACGTGGACATGGACGTGGACGTGGACGTGGACGTGGACATGGACGTGGACGTGGACGCGTGGACGTGGACGTGGAGGACTTGGAGGTGGACGTGGACGTGGACGTGGACGTGGACGTGGACGTGGACATGGACGTGGACGTGGACGTGGACGTGGACGTGGACGTGGACATGGACGTGGAGGTGGACGTGGACATGGACGTGGACGTGGACGTGGACGTGGACGTGGACGTGAAGATGGACGTGGAGGTGGACGTGGACGTGGACGTGGACGTGGACGTGGAAGTGGACGTGGACATGGACGTGGACGTGGACGTGGACATGGACGTGGACGTGGACGTGGACATGGAGGTGGACGTGGAGGTGGACGTGGACGTGGACGTGGACGTGGACCTGGACGTGGACGTGGACGTAGACGTGGACGAGGATTCGACGTGGACGTGGACGTGGACATGGACGTGGACGTGGACGTTGACATGGACGTGGACGTGGACGTGGACGTGGACATGGACGTGGACGTGGACATGGACGTGGACGTGGACGTGGACGTGGACGTGGACGTGGACGTGGACATGGACGTGGACGTGGACGTGGACATGGACGTGGACGTGGACGTGGACGTGGACGTGGACGTGGACGTGGACTTGGACGTGGACTTGGACGTGGACGTGGACGTGGACGTGGACGTGGACGTGGACATGGACGTGGACGTGGACGTGGACGTAGACGTGGACGTGGACGTGGACGTGGACGTGGTGGTGGACGTGGACGTGGTCGTGGACGTGGACGTGGACCTGGACGTGGACGTGGACGTGGACGTGGACGTGGACGTGTGGACGTGGACGTGGACGTGGACCTGGACGTGGACGTGGACGTGGACGTGGACGAGGACGTGGACCTGGACGTGGACGTGGACCTGGTCGTGGACGTGGACGTGGACGTGGACGTGGATGTGGACGTGGACATGGACGTGGAGGACGTGGACATGGACGTGGACGTTGACGTGGACGTGGACGTGGACGTGGAGATGGACGTGGACGTGGACGTGGACGTGGACGTAGACTTGGACGTGGACGTGGACGTGGACGTGGACGTGGACGTGGACGTGGACGTGGACGTGGACGTGGACGTGGACGTGGACGTGGACGTGGACGTGGACGTGGACATGGACGTGGACGTGGACGTGGACGTGGACATGGTCGTGGACGTGGACGTGGACGTGGACGTGGACATGGACGTGGACGTGGACGTGGACGTGGACATGGACGTGGACGTGGACGTGGAGGACGTGGACATGGACGTGGACGTTGACGAGGACGTGGACCTGGACATGGACCTGGAGATGGACGTGGACGTGGACGTGGACGTGGACGTGGACTTGGACGTGGACGTGGACGTGGACATGGACGTGGACGTGGACATGGACGTGGACGTGGACGTGGACATGGACGTGGACGTGGACGTGGACGTGGACATGGACGTGGACGTGGACGTGGAGGACTTGGAGGTGGACATGGACGTGGAGTGGACATGACGTGGACGTGGACGTGGACATGGACGTGGACGTGGACGTGGACTAGACGTGGACGTGGACGTGGACATGGACGTGGACGTGGACGTGGACGTGGAGGTGGACATGGACGTGGACGTGGACGTGGACATGGACGTGGACGTGGACGTGGACGTGGACGTGGACGTGAACATGGACGTGGAGGTGGACGTGGACGTGGACATGGACGTGGACGTGGAAGTGGACGTGGACGTGGACGTGGACGTGGACATGGACGTGGACGTGGACGTGGAGATGGACGTGGACGTGGACGTGGACATGGAGGTGGACGTGGACGTGGACCTGGACGTGGACGTGAACGTGGACGTGGACGAGGAGTGGACGTGGACGTGGACGTGGACATGGACGTGGACGTGGACGTTGACATGGACGTGGACGTGGACGTGGACGTGGACGTTGACGTGGACGTGGACGTGGACGTGGACGTGGACGTGGACGTGGACGTGGACGTGGAGGTGGACGTGGACGTGGACGTGGACGTGGTCGTGGTCGTGGACGTGGACACGGACGTGGTCGTGGACGTGGACACGGACGTGGACGTGGACGTGGACACGGACGTGGACACGGACGTGGTCGTGGACGTGGACACGGACGTGGACGTGGACGTGGACACGGACGTGGACGTGGACGTGGACGGGGACGTGGACGTGGACGTGGACGGGGACGTGGACGTGGACGTGGACGTGGACATGGACGTGGACACGGACGTGGACGTGGACGTGGACGTGGACGTGGACGTGGACGTGGACGTGGAGTACGTGGACATGGACGTGGACGTTGACGTGGACGTGGACCTGGACGTGGACGTGGAAATGGACGTGGACGTGGACGTGGACGTGGACTTGGACGTGGACGTGGACGTGGACGTGGACGTGGACGTGGACGTGGAGGGACGTGGACGTGGACGTGGACGTGGACGTGGACGTGGACGTGACTGACGTGGACGTGGACGAGGACTGGACGTGGACGTGGACGTGGACATGGACGTGGACGTGGACGTTGACGTGGACGTGGACGTGGACATGGACGTGGACGTGGACGTGGACGTGGACGTGGACATGGACGTGGACGTGGACGTGGACATGGACGTGGACGTGGTCGTGGACGTGGACGTGGACCTGGACGTGGACGTGGACGTGGACCTGGACATGGACGTGGACGTGTGGACGTGGACGTGGACGTGGACGTGGACCTGGACGTGGACATGGTCGTGGACGTGGACGTGGAGGTGGACGTGGACGTGGACGTGGACGTGGACATGGTCGTGGACGTGGACGTGGACATGGACGTGGACGTGGACGTGGACATGGACGTGGACGTGGACGTGGACGTGGACATGGACGTGGACGTGTGGACGTGGACGTGGACGTGGACGTGGACCTGGACGTGGACGTGGACGTGGACGTGGACCTGGTTGTGGACGTGGACGTGGACGTGGACATGGACGTGGACGTAGACGTGGACGTGGACGTGGACGTGGACATGGACGTGGAGGACGTGGACATGGACGTGGACGTAAACGTGGTCGTGGACGTGGTCGTGGACGTGGTCGTGGACGTGGACGTGGACGTGGTCGTGGACGTGGACGTGGACGTGGACATGGACGTGGACGTGGACGTGGACGTGGACGTGGACATGGACGTGGACGTGGACGTGGACGTGGACGTGGACGTGGACATGGTCGTGGACGTGGACCTGGTCGTGGACGTGGACGTAGACCTGGTCGTGGACGTGGACGTGGACGTGGACGTGGACGTGGACGTGGACGTGGACGTGGACGTGGACGTGGACATGGACGTGGAGGACGTGGACGTGGACGTGGAGATGGACGTGGACGTGGACGTGGAGATGGACGTGGACGTGGACGGAAACTTGGACGTGGACGTGGACGTGGACGTGGACGTGGACATGGACGTGGAGGACGTGGACGTGGACGTGGACGTGGACATGGTCGTGGACGTGGACGTGGACGTGGACATGGACGTGGACGTGGACGTGGACATGGACGTGGACGTGGACGTAGACATGGACGTGGACGTGGACGTGGACGTGGACATGGACGTGGACGTGGACGTGGACGTGGACGTGGACGTGGACGTGGACATGGACGTGGACGTGGACGTGGACGTGGACGTGGTCGTGGACATGGTCGTGGACGTGGACGTGGACGTGGACGTGGACGTGTGGACGTGGACGTGGACGTGGACGTGGACCTGGACCTGGACGTGGACGTGGACGTGGACGTGGACGTGGACGTGGACCTGGACGTGGACGTGGACGTGGACCTGGTCGTGGACGTGGACGTGGAGGACGTGGACGTGGACGTGGACGTGGAGATGGACGTGGACGTGGACGTGGACGTGGACGTAGACTTGGACGTGGACGTGGACGTGGACGTGGACGTGGACGTGGACGTGGACGTGGACGTGGACGTGGACGTGGACGTGGACCTGGACGTGGACGTGGACGTGGACCTGGTCGTGGACGTGGACGTGGACGTGGACGTGGACGTGGACGTGGACGTGCACGTGGACATGGACGTGGACGTGGACGTGGACGTGGAGATGGACGTGGACATGGACGTGGACGTAGACTTGGACGTGGACGTGGACGTGGACCTGGACGTGGACGTGGACGTGGACGTGGACGGGGACGTGGACATTGTCGTGGACGTGGACGTGGACGTGGACATGGACGTGGACGTGGACGTGGACGTGGACGTGGACGTGGACGTGGACGTGGACGTGGACGTGGACGTGGACGTGGACGTGGACGTGGACGTGGACCTGGACTTGGACGTGGACGTGGACGTGGACGTGGACGTGGACGTGGACGTGGACGTGGAGGTGGACGTGGACGTGAACGTGGACGTGGAGGTGGACGTGGACGTGGACGTGGACGTGGACGTGGACGTGGAAGTGGACGTGGACGTGGACGTGGACGTGGACGTGGACATGGACGTGGACGTGGACGTGGACGTGGACGTGGACATGGTCGTGGACGTGGACATGGTCGTGGACGTGGACGTAGACCTGGTCGTGGACGTGGACGTGGACGTGGACGTGGACGTGGACGTGGACGTGGACGTGGACGTGGACATGGACGTGGAGGACGTGGACGTGGACGTGGAGATGGACGTGGACGTGGACGTGGAGATGGACGTGGACGTGGACGGAAACTTGGACGTGGACGTGGACGTGGACGTGGACGTGGACATGGACGTGGACGTGGACGTGGACGTGGACGTGGACGTGGACATGGTCGTGGACGTGGACGTGGACGTGGACATGGACGTGGACGTGGACGTGGACATGGACGTGGACGTGGACGTGGACATGGACGTGGACGTGGACGTGGACGTGGACGTGGACGTGGACGTGGACGTGGACGTGGACGTGGACGTGGACGTGGACGTGGACGTGGTCGTGGACATGGTCGTGGACGTGGACGTGGACGTGGACGTGGACGTGGACGTGTGGACGTGGACGTGGACGTGGACGTGGACCTGGACCTGGACGTGGACGTGGACGTGGACGTGGACGTGGACGTGGACCTGGACGTGGACGTGGACGTGGACCTGGTCGTGGACGTGGACGTGGAGGACGTGGACGTGGACGTGGACGTGGAGATGGACGTGGACGTGGACGTGGACGTGGACGTAGACTTGGACGTGGACGTGGACGTGGACGTGGACGTGGACGTGGACGTGGACGTGGACGTGGACGTGGACGTGGACGTGGACCTGGACGTGGACGTGGACGTGGACCTGGTCGTGGACGTGGACGTGGACGTGGACGTGGACGTGCACGTGGACATGGACGTGGACGTGGACGTGGACGTGGAGATGGACGTGGACATGGACGTGGACGTGGACGTAGACTTGGACGTGGACGTGGACGTGGACGTGGACCTGGACGTGGACGTGGACGTGGACGTGGACGGGGACGTGGACATTGTCGTGGACGTGGACGTGGACGTGGACATGGACGTGGACGTGGACGTGGACGTGGACGTGGACGTGGACGTGGACGTGGACGTGGACGTGGACGTGGACATGGACGTGGACGTGGACGTGGACGTGGACCTGGACTTGGACGTGGACGTGGACGTGGACGTGGACGTGGACGTGGACGTGGACGTGGACGTGGAGGTGGACGTGGACGTGAACGTGGACGTGGAGGTGGACGTGGACGTGGACGTGGACGTGGACGTGGACGTGGAAGTGGACGTGGACGTGGACGTGGACGTGGACGTGGACGTGGACGTGGACATGGACGTGGACATGGACGTGGACGTGGACGTGGACATGGACGTGGACGTGGACGTGGACGTGGACGTGGACGTGAACATGGACGTGGAGGTGGACGTGGACGTGGACATGGACGTGGACGTGGAAGTGGACGTGGACGTGGACGTGGACGTGGACATGGACGTGGACGTGGACGTGGAGATGGACGTGGACGTGGACGTGGACATGCAGGTGGACGTGGACGTGGACCTGGACGTGGACGTGAACGTGGACGTGGACGAGGAGTGGACGTGGACGTGGACGTGGACATGGACGTGGACGTGGACGTTGACATGGACGTGGACGTGGACGTGGACGTGGACGTTGACGTGGACGTGGACGTGGACGTGGACGTGGACGTGGACGTGGACGTGGAGGTGGACGTGGACGTGGACGTGGACGTGGTCGTGGTCGTGGACGTGGACACGGACGTGGTCGTGGACGTGGACACGGACGTGGACGTGGACGTGGACACGGACGTGGACACGGACGTGGTCGTGGACGTGGACACGGACGTGGACGTGGACGTGGACACGGACGTGGACGTGGACGTGGACGGGGACGTGGACGTGGACGTGGACGGGGACGTGGACGTGGACGTGGACGTGGACATGGACGTGGACACGGACGTGGACGTGGACGTGGACGTGGACGTGGACGTGGACGTGGACGTGGAGTACGTGGACATGGACGTGGACGTTGACGTGGACGTGGACCTGGACGTGGACGTGGAAATGGACGTGGACGTGGACGTGGACGTGGACTTGGACGTGGACGTGGACGTGGACGTGGACGTGGACGTGGACGTGGAGGTGGACGTGGACGTGGACGTGGACGTGGACGTGGACGTGGACGTGAACGTGGACGTGGACGAGGACTGGACGTGGACGTGGACGTGGACATGGACGTGGACGTGGACGTTGACGTGGACGTGGACGTGGACATGGACGTGGACGTGGACGTGGACGTGGACGTGGACATGGACGTGGACGTGGACGTGGACATGGACGTGGACGTGGTCGTGGACGTGGACGTGGACCTGGACGTGGACGTGGACGTGGACCTGGACATGGACGTGGACGTGTGGACGTGGACGTGGACGTGGACGTGGACCTGGACGTGGACATGGTCGTGGACGTGGACGTGGAGGTGGACGTGGACGTGGACGTGGACGTGGACATGGTCGTGGACGTGGACGTGGACATGGACGTGGACGTGGACGTGGACATGGACGTGGACGTGGACGTGGACGTGGACATGGACGTGGACGTGTGGACGTGGACGTGGACGTGGACGTGGACGTGGACCTGGACGTGGACGTGGACGTGGACGTGGACCTGGTTGTGGACGTGGACGTGGACGTGGACATGGACGTGGACGTAGACGTGGACGTGGACGTGGACGTGGACATGGACGTGGAGGACGTGGACATGGACGTGGACGTAAACGTGGTCGTGGACGTGGTCGTGGACGTGGTCGTGGACGTGGACGTGGTCGTGGACGTGGACGTGGACGTGGACATGGACGTGGACGTGGACGTGGACGTGGACGTGGACATGGACGTGGACGTGGACGTGGACGTGGACGTGGACGTGGACGTGGACATGGTCGTGGACGTGGACCTGGTCGTGGACGTGGACGTAGACCTGGTCGTGGACGTGGACGTGGACGTGGACGTGGACGTGGACGTGGACGTGGACGTGGACGTGGACATGGACGTGGAGGACGTGGACGTGGACGTGGAGATGGACGTGGACGTGGACGTGGAGATGGACGTGGACGTGGACGGAAACTTGGACGTGGACGTGGACGTGGACGTGGACGTGGACATGGACGTGGACGTGGACGTGGACGTGGACGTGGACGTGGACATGGTCGTGGACGTGGACGTGGACGTGGACATGGACGTGGACGTGGACGTGGACATGGACGTGGACGTGGACGTGGACATGGACGTGGACGTGGACGTGGACGTGGACATGGACGTGGACGTGGACGTGGACGTGGACGTGGACGTGGACGTGGACGTGGACATGGACGTGGACGTGGACGTGGACGTGGACGTGGTCGTGGACATGGTCGTGGACGTGGACGTGGACGTGGACGTGGACGTGGACGTGGACGTGGACGTGGACGTGGACGTGGACGTGGACCTGGACCTGGACGTGGACGTGGACGTGGACGTGGACGTGGACGTGGACCTGGACGTGGACGTGGACGTGGACCTGGTCGTGGACGTGGACGTGGAGGACGTGGACGTGGACGTGGACGTGGAGATGGACGTGGACGTGGACGTGGACGTGGACGTAGACTTGGACGTGGACGTGGACGTGGACGTGGACGTGGACGTGGACGTGGACGTGGACGTGGACGTGGACGTGGACGTGGACGTGGACCTGGACGTGGACGTAGACGTGGACCTGGTCGTGGACGTGGACGTGGACGTGGACGTGGACGTGGACGTGCACGTGGACATGGACGTGGACGTGGACGTGGACGTGGAGATGGACGTGGACATGGACGTGGACGTAGACTTGGACGTGGACGTGGACGTGGACCTGGACGTGGACGTGGACGTGGACGTGGACGGGGACGTGGACATTGTCGTGGACGTGGACGTGGACGTGGACATGGACGTGGACGTGGACGTGGACGTGGACGTGGACGTGGACGTGGACGTGGACGTGGACGTGGACGTGGACGTGGACGTGGACGTGGACGTGGACGTGGACGTGGACCTGGACTTGGACGTGGACGTGGACGTGGACGTGGACGTGGACGTGGACGTGGACGTGGAGGTGGACGTGGACGTGAACGTGGACGTGGAGGTGGACGTGGACGTGGACGTGGACGTGGACGTGGACGTGGAAGTGGACGTGGACGTGGACGTGGACGTGGACGTGGACATGGACGTGGACGTGGACGTGGACGTGGACGTGGACATGGTCGTGGACGTGGACATGGTCGTGGACGTGGACGTAGACCTGGTCGTGGACGTGGACGTGGACGTGGACGTGGACGTGGACGTGGACGTGGACGTGGACGTGGACGTGGACATGGACGTGGAGGACGTGGACGTGGACGTGGAGATGGACGTGGACGTGGACGTGGAGATGGACGTGGACGTGGACGGAAACTTGGACGTGGACGTGGACGTGGACGTGGACGTGGACATGGACGTGGACGTGGACGTGGACGTGGACGTGGACGTGGACATGGTCGTGGACGTGGACGTGGACGTGGACATGGACGTGGACGTGGACGTGGACATGGACGTGGACGTGGACGTGGACATGGACGTGGACGTGGACGTGGACGTGGACATGGACGTGGACGTGGACGTGGACGTGGACGTGGACGTGGACGTGGACATGGACGTGGACGTGGACGTGGACGTGGACGTGGTCGTGGACATGGTCGTGGACGTGGACGTGGACGTGGACGTGGACGTGTGGACGTGGACGTGGACGTGGACGTGGACCTGGACCTGGACGTGGACGTGGACGTGGACGTGGACGTGGACGTGGACCTGGACGTGGACGTGGACGTGGACCTGGTCGTGGACGTGGACGTGGAGGACGTGGACGTGGACGTGGACGTGGAGATGGACGTGGACGTGGACGTGGACGTGGACGTAGACTTGGACGTGGACGTGGACGTGGACGTGGACGTGGACGTGGACGTGGACGTGGACGTGGACGTGGACCGTGGATGTGGACCTGGACGTGGACGTGGACGTGGACCTGGTCGTGGACGTGGACGTGGACGTGGACGTGGACGTGGACGTGCACGTGGACATGGACGTGGACGTGGACGTGGACGTGGAGATGGACGTGGACATGGACGTGGACGTGGACGTAGACTTGGACGTGGACGTGGACGTGGACGTGGACCTGGACGTGGACGTGGACGTGGACGTGGACGGGGACGTGGACATTGTCGTGGACGTGGACGTGGACGTGGACATGGACGTGGACGTGGACGTGGACGTGGACGTGGACGTGGACGTGGACGTGGACGTGGACGTGGACGTGGACGTGGACGTGGACATGGACGTGGACGTGGACGTGGACGTGGACCTGGACTTGGACGTGGACGTGGACGTGGACGTGGACGTGGACGTGGACGTGGACGTGGAGGTGGACGTGGACGTGAACGTGGACGTGGAGGTGGACGTGGACGTGGACGTGGACGTGGACGTGGACGTGGAAGTGGACGTGGACGTGGACGTGGACGTGGACGTGGACGTGGACGTGGACATGGACGTGGACATGGACGTGGACGTGGACGTGGACATGGACGTGGACGTGGACGTGGACATGGAGGTGGAGGTGGACGTGGACGTGGACGTGGACCTGGACGTGGACGTGAACGTGGACGTGGACGAGGACTGGACGTGGACGTGGACGTGGACATGGACGTGGACGTGGACATGGACGTGGACGTGGACGTGGACGTGGACGTGGACGTGGACGTGGACGTGGACGTGGACATGGACGTGGACGTGGACGTGGACATGGACGTGGACGTGGTCGTGGACGTGGACGTGGACGTGGACATGGACGTGGACGTGGACGTGGACGTGGACGTGGACATGGACGTGGACGTGTGGACGTGGACGTGCACGTGGACGTGGACGTGGACCTGGACGTGGACATGGTCGTGGACGTGGACGTGGAGGTGGACGTGGACGTGGACGTGGACGTGGACATGGTCGTGGACGTGGACGTGGACATGGACGTGGACGTGGACGTGGACATGGACATGGACGTGGACGTGGACGTGGACGTGGAGGTGGACGTGGACGTGTGGACGTGGACGTGGACGTGGACGTGGACGTGGACCTGGACGTGGACGTGGACGTGGACGTGGACATGGACGTGGACGTGGACGTGGACGTGGACGTGGACGTGTGGACGTGGACGTGGACGTGGACGTGGACGAGGACGTGGACATGGACGTGGACGTGGACGTGGACGTGGACCTGGTTGTGGACGTGGACGTGGACGTGGACGTGGACGTGGACGTGGTCGTGGACGTGGACGTGGACGTGGACGTGGAGGACGTGGACATGGACGTGGACGTGGACGTGGTCGTGGACGTGGTTGTGGACGTGGACGTGGACGTGGACGTGGACGTGGTCGTGGACGTGGTCGTGGACGTGGACGTGGACGTGGACGTGGACGTGGACGTGGACCTGGACGTGGACGTGGACGTGGACGTGGACGTGGACGTGGACGTGGACATGGTCGTGGACGTGGACGTGGACGTGGACGTGGACGTGGACCTGGTCGTGGACGTGGACATGGTCGTGGACGTGGACGTAGACCTGGTCGTGGACGTGGACGTGGACGTGGACGTGGACATGGACGTGGAGGACGTGGACATGGACGTGGACGTTGACGTGGACGTGGACGTGGAGATGGACGTGGACGTGGACGTAAACTTGGACGTGGACGTGGACATGGACGTGGACGTGGACATGGACGTGGACGTGGACGTGGACGTGGACGTGGACGTGGATGTGTGGACGTGGACGTGGACGTGGACGTGGACGTGGACGTGGACGTGGACGTGGTCGTGGACGTGGTCGTGGACGTGGACGTGGACGTCGATGTGGACGTGGACGTGTGGACGTGGACGTGGACGTGGACGTGGACGTGGACCTGGACGTGGACCTGGACGTGGACGTGGACGTGGACCTGGACGTGGACGTGGACGTGGACCTGGTCGTGGACGTGGACGTGGAGGACGTGGACGTGGACGTGGACGTGGACGTGTAGATGGACGTGGACGTGGACGTGGACGTGGACGTAGACTTGGACGTGGACGTGGACGTGGACGTGGACGTGGACGTGGACGTGGACGTGGACCTGGACGTGGACGTGGACGTGGACCTGGTCGTGGACGTGGACGTGGACGTGGACGTGGACGTGGACATGGACGTGGACGTGGACGTGGACGTGGAGATGGACGTGGACATGGACGTGGACGTGGACGTAGACTTGGACGTGGACGTGGACGTGGACGTGGACGTGGACCTGGACTTGGACGTGGACGTGGACGTGGACGTGGACGTGGACATGGTCGTGGACGTGGACGTGGACGTGGACGTGGACGTGGACGTGGACCTGGACTTGGACGTGGACGTGGACGTGGACGTGGACGTGGACATGGACGTGGACGTGGACGTGGACGTGGACGTGGACATGGACGTGGATGTGGACGTGGACTTGGACGTGGACGTGGACGTGGACGTGGACTTGGACGTGGACGTGGACGTGGACGTGGACGTAAACCGTGGACTTGGACGTGGACGTGGACGTGGACGTGGACGTGGACATGGACGTGGACGTGGACGTGGACGTGGACGTGGACGTGGACTTGGACGTGGACGTGGACGTGGACGCGGACGTAGACGTGGACATGGACGCGGACGTGGACGTGGACATGGACGTGGACGTGGACGTGGACGTGGACATGGACGTGGACGTGGACGTGGACGTGGACGTGGACGTGGACGTGGACGTGGACGTGGTCGTGGACGTGGACGTGGACGTGGACGTGGTCATGGACGTGGACGTGGACGTGGACATGGACGTGGACATGGACGTGGATGTGGACGTGGACGTGGACGTGGACGTGGGCGTGGACGTGGACGTGGACGTGGACGTGGACGTGAACATGGACGTGGAGGTGGAGGTGGAGGTGGACGTGGACGTGGACGTGGACGTGGACATGGACGTGGACGTGGACGTGGACGTGGACGTGGACATGGTCTTGGACGTGGAGGTGGACGTGGACGTGGACGTGGACATGGACGTGGACGTGGACGTGGACATGGACGTGGACGTGGACGTGGACGTGGAGGACGTGGACATGGACGTGGACGTGGACGTGGACGTGGACGTGGACATGGACGTGGACGTGGAGGTGGACATGGAGGTGGACATGGACGTGGACGTGGAGGTGGACGTAGACATGGACGTGGACGTGGACGTGGACGTGGACGTGGACATGGACGTGGACGTGGACGTGGACATGGACGTGGACGCTGACGTGGAGGACGTGGACATGGACGTGGACGTTGACGTGGACGTGGACATGGACGTGGACGTGGAGATGGACGAGGACGTGGACGTGGACGTGGACGTGGACTTGGACGTGGACGTGGATGTGGACATGGACGTGGACGTGGACGTGGACGTGGACTTGGACGTGGACGTGGACGTGGACGTGGACGTGGACGTGGACGTGGACATGGACATGGTCGTGGACGTGGACGTGGACGTGGATGTGGACTGGGACGTGGACGTGACATGGACGTGGACGTGGACGTGGAGGACTGGAGGGGACATGGACGTGGACGTGGACGTGGACGTGGACGTGACGGGCGTGGGCGTGGACGTGGACGTGGGCGTGGACGTGGACGTGGACGTGGACGTGGAGGTGGACGGGACGTGACCTGGACGTGGAGGTGGACGTGGACGTGGACGTGGACGTGGAGGTGGACGTGGACGTGGACGTGGACGTGGACGTGGACATGGACGTGGACGTGGACGTGGACATGGACGTGGACGGACGTGGACGTGGACGTGGACGTGGACGTGGACGTGGACATGGACGTGGACGTGGACGTGGACGTGGACGTGGACGTGGACATGGACGTGGACGTGGACGTGGAGATGGACGTGGACGTGGACGTGGACGTGGAG